AAGTCAATTTCAAAGTAGCCAGTGTCCACTGTTCTTTAATGTTAAGGGTTTTTTTGGTGAAACAGAATTTATTACCCAAGTTGATTTATATCATACAATACGACACAAATATCACTCGCAGAACAAACAAACAAATCGTACACATTTTTGTTTTTGCTGTCAATGACATAAGTAGTGTTGTGCCACTACTCGCGGAGGCGAATTACCCACCGAGTCCAATGTGTGTGGATAGCGGACGGACGGAGGGAAAATCTAATGTTGTAAAATCGTCGTAATCACTGACGGTTAAAACTGATAATTTTTTTATTTAGTTTGGGTGTTTCGAGTAGCCATTGCCAGTGGATAAAGAATTGGGTGGCGATACACTTGCATTTTCGGGTTCCATATCTGGTTTATGGCCGCAATCAACAGGTGGTGTTAATGGTGCTGAGGTGGCTATCAGCAACGTACAGTAGCATGCATGGTAGAAATATAAAACCAAACAAATCTACAATTCCCTATATATTTGACATTCAAATAGAAGACGCGTCCCTTCATCAATTACTTGCCCCCGTACTAACATGTCTGTTTAATCATTGTCAAATATATTTGTATGTAATGGGGCTCTTGACAAGTCCACTGATGGAACAAATAGATAAAATTACAGTTAATGAAGTATTTTTTGAATTTCTGAGACTTCGAGGCATTTGTTCAGAAGTCATGGTTTACATATTCAGACATTGTGGAGTCATTCGCTACCACATAGAGAACCTTTCCATAACCTCACGCCTGAACACCATTACATATCAAATAATATGAATTGTAAATATATATCAATTGTTTTGTGCATATATCTATAATGTGTCGTCTAATATTATAAGACCACATATATGCCCACTAATCGCTTAGGTCTTACATACTTGAGTTTTCCCATTAAATACAAGAAAAGCAAATTATTATTCTGTTATAAATATTTGTTCAATTAGTGCATTCTTTTTTGCATTACATATTTTAATTTACAATGACGCAAATTCTTGGACGCATTATTCGATAAAATAAAAATATAAGTTATGCCAAACAATTAACGGTCCATCAACAGGTTCGCACAAAAACCCCTTAGATAGCTGTACATTATTTGTATAGATGGCCAAATCGTATTTCACCAAAGGGATTAAAAGTATAATGAATAAAAGTAATGACGATGTACATTTTTTTACATTTTGGGGTCAGTTATTATAATTAAAAAAATTATAACCTAACAAATGCATTAATATTATGTCATTGGAACATCATTGTATATCGAGATTGCAATTTTTGTTTTGAAAAAATAAATTTTTTATGATATAAAACAATATTTAGTCATATAATCTAAAAAAGTGCAACCAACTTCAGACTGATGTCATTTCTAAGTCGAAGCATTTCCAGAAAAAAAGTTATTCGCGATGGAATTCGAGCGTGATAGTGTGATTTCTGTATATTTGGCTGGAAATCCACAAGTGGCTATCGTTAGAGCACTCCAGCATTTAAATGTAAATAAATCGTTTGTGTCTCCTACCATCGCTCGTTAGCGTGATACTAGCAGCGAAAACAGCAACATCAGCAGAAAAGGTTCGAAAAGTAAAGAAGCGACTTGATCGAAACCTGCGTCGCAGTGGCAGAAAAATGGCTTGTGAGCTGAACATATCGCAATATTCCTTTCGGCAAATATTAAAAAATGAGCTCGGCTCATTTTCCATTGAAATTCCAAAAAGTGCAAGAACTCACACCGCAACAGAAAGAAAATAGACTCAAAAGAGCTAAAGAGTTGCTTCGCTTGGCCGAAAGTGGTGAACTGCCGAATTTGGTTTTCTTCGATGAGAAAACATTCGTTGTCCAGCAGTTTGTAAACAAACAAAATGATCGTGTTTACTTGCCAAAGTGGTCAGCTGAAAAGTGCACCTTCGGTTGGCCACCAGAACTCAAGCGCCGGCCATGGTGACGGTGTGGGCCGATAGTCACTCTCCGCTCGTATTAATCGAACGTGGCATCAGAATAAATGCCAAATATTATCCCGAAAATATTCTGGAGGGTGTACTAAAGCCTTGGGAACGCAGACCTTGGACATTCCAACAGGACTCAGCACGCGCCAACCAAGAAGGGTTACAAAATGAGGTTCCTCGCTTCATTTCCTGCACACAATGGCCGCAAAAACCTCCGGATACCAATCCGTTGGACTATTGTGTCTAGAGAGACTAAAAAATACCAAAGTGTCGATCACCGCAAGCAAGCGCTTCGCCGGGAATACCGCATTCGCGAAAATACCGCAGAGCAACATTCGGGCAGCGTGTGACGGTTTCATTGGCCGTTTGAAGACCATAATTCGTGCCAAAGGTGAGCAATTCGAAGAAATCAAAACTTATTCTAAAATTTGATGCTACTTCCGAAACTTTTTGCTTTCATTCAATAACATTTAAAAAATATTTTTTTATCTCACCCTGTATATGTAATATTTTGTACAAAATATTGGGTTATCGTACATACCTAAGGTTATCATAAAAAATAAGGTATATTATTTAGATTCATCATGATGTTTATAAGTACTCCAAAATCGCAGGCGTTTATAATCAAAAATAAGGACGCATTTTTAAAACCACTATAAAAGTGGAATTCCAGATCTGAAATTATGCTTGAATGCTGGTCATGAGTAAAATGAATGACAGATGATTAACCAGTCAAATCAAAATTGAATCATTCACGCCTCAATCATGTCTACGGAATGGCCAGAATTCTACCTAACTCAAACCTGCATACAAACGGAAAAGATTGCTACAACAACAACTCCGATTTTGATCCATGCTAATGGAATACACTTCAAAAGAGGTTGTTCATAATCGGGTTGTAATCGAATGAATCTTTTCAACGGGCTCCAGAAAAAAAATTAAAAATGAATTATTAGCAAAAATTGATTTTTGGTAATAACGATCAAAATTTGAGTTAACTCAAATCTAACCAGATAGAGCGCTGATTAGAATTTACCAATCAAGCTATAGACGCGTAAAATATTAAATTATTTTTAGTCTTTCCAATTAAAGCCAAGTTCTTCCATTAGTGTAAATTAGTACAAAATTGCCAGCTTACATAATAAATTTACCATATACAAACTTTCCAAACCAGGGCTTAAATCCAGCAGCTAATGAAGTTAACCATAGCCTTTGAGTGCAACTTCGTTAAAGCCGTATGAGCAGCCGAAAATTAATTTTTATGATTGTGCATTTGTTATCGTAATGTAAGCCACACACGATACAACCGTTGTTACAACTTAGAGGGTATCAAAGTTGTATGGTACAACATGCCAAATATCAAAAAATTTTGATTTTTTGTACAACCGAGACACAACTTGGTACAACCGGGCCACAAACGATACAATCTTGAATACAACTTCTCCAAGTTGTACAACCAATTGTATCGTGTGTGGCTTTCATAAAAGTGGACAAATATTGGACTTTAGAAGAAAAACACTAAAAAATTGTATAAATCTGCCAGAAAAACTTTGATTTTTTTCACAAATATGTATTTGACAGCACATTTAGTAGTCAGATGGGCTTACTACGCGATCTTATATAGACCTTGAACAGCAGAAGAGCAACATTAAATCATTGAAACAAAAATAAATGGTATGTATGTTTATATAGTTCCAATGTAGGTACTTTTTTATATAAACTCATCTGCTTTAAAACCCATCATCCCAAGTTCAAAGAGTGGCAATAGCTGTTTGTCCCTTCGCTACTATGCATTCCATTTCAACTCTAGTTGGTTGCATAGTAAATTCCCAAATTTGAAATGTTAAGTGTTGGAAAACTGAGTAACTTTTAAAGAATTTATGTTATAAAAACTCTTCAGTTTCTTTTAGTGGTCACATGATTGGATAATTTTTAAGCGGTTCGGAAGTTATAGTCAAATTGTCGATTTTTTGGACCCGTATTTTTTTATAAAACCCACAAAAAGTCGAAAAAGGGCCCATTATGGGGGTCAACAAATACCTATTTGTCTATATCGGGTAAGTGGATCCCGGACTTTCGGGTCAAAAAACTGGAGTCCCAGGTCCGTTTCATACAAAGAAGTACGAAAATTTTGTTCAAACACAGAAACGTGCAGTATTTTCAATTATCAAACCAGACCAGACAAAATGTGTTGTAATTTTCTCCCTAGCACTAAAAAACTTTAGAATCATTTAGTTGATCCACCTTGGTGGGGAAACTTTTTTCACCGAATCAACCTTTTTTCGTTATCAAAACAAATTGATTTTTGATCTCTAAATGCTTTTGAACACTTAATTCATATTCGAGCCTCTTCAGTCGGAAACTGATGGTCCATTGTCCTGAAAAAGAGCCATTTTTTTATGTCGTTAGTTATTTAGATTCTTTAGAAGTTGGTTACCGTTATAATTTTCATGAACTAGAGTCAGAAGATACCAGTAGCCTTTGTTTCCGACCAGTAGACTTTAGTAAGAAACAGCTAAATACAATGTGTTCAATTGACTCGACGTCTTTCTAATAATCACATAGTGTACAAAATTCAGAATAAACAATCCCTGTCTTATATTGAATTCATTAAGAGAGAGTAAGGGCAGAATTTCTTAAGCTCCAATTACCGGCCAGGTCACACTCGATTCCTTACATCTATTGATAAAATATTGTCACTTCCGGAATTGAAATTATTTTTATTTGTAAAATCATTTTGAAGCTGTTATGTGCTTACACCTAGAAAGTGCCGACACAAAGGCTCCTATTCAAAACCAAAACAAATAATTTCAACGTTCTGAACCGGACAGCAAAACCACCTTTGGTAAACACTCAACGAAACTATGTTGTTGTGAATCTTTAGCTTTGAACTTTACATGTAAGTAACAGAAACATTGGTTCCAATATGTTGGCCATAAAAATAGATTGGGCATTTCACATAAAGAAGTATCGGATCGAATACCGACGGCAATAATTTCAAGTTATCGCTTTTCTATAGACGAAAATATTTCTTTCACTTACTTATTGGATGCTTGCAGGGATTTGTTACAAATATTTCCTGGAAGTATGGGCTGCATATGGCGAGGACAATTTTATGCGCCTGAAGAAGTTTTCCATCACATGCTAATGTCACATCGACCAGGTCTCCGCGATCATACAAACTTTGGAAGCCGGATGCAATATTGTCCTGGAAATTCTTCCAGCACAATTTGAACTCATCATCCATGATGATCGGCTGCTAAATTTCACTGGTCGCTCAATTCAGTTTTAACACTTTTCTACAGAAAATTACTATAGCTCAACCGAAACACTTTTGGACAATGTTATGAATGATTTTTGATTATTTACTAGCTTTCCTTTGAATTTAATTGTTTTGTTTATTCATATTTTCATTCTACTTTCATTGACATTTGGCGAGGATGGCGATGTAAAGAAACGGTGCGATGACACCAGCACAGCAAATAGGGATGCAAAAACCGACTACTGTCAGTAAAATACGTTCGTAAGTATAACGGCAATTAAAATTTATTGTTTTAGTTTCTACACATAATTGGATTTTCTGGTTTTGTTCTTGTTAGATCAAGTTTTTACTGAGAGATGAGTACACATATTTATTTGTCTCCAAGTTAGTATCTATTTTTTAGCACTTCAAATATTTTTCTTGTTTGTTGTATATATTTTTTACACCGGCTTGATGTACGTTTGCTTGTGCCGAATGCACGACAACGACCGTAATGAGCTACAATTATATTCACGTATAGATAAGTTCTTCTTAGGAAATCCTTCCGGCGAGTTTGGAGCCCAAAATTGATCTGTGCAGTAAGTGATTTGTTTATAATTTTAGAATGAAATAGGGATACGCAAGTCGATTTCTGACTTATCGACTAAATGCCAAATTGTCGATAGTAACAATTTTATCGAAGTTACAGGGAGACGCCGAAACGTTAAATTTCATACAACCCAGTGTTGCCGTTGGTAAAGTTTATTTCCGCCCAAAATAAATTTATATCCGAAATTTAAGAGTTGAAGAGTATTCCCTGATGTTGTAAGTGACACGACTTTCTCCACGTTTTTTAAAATCTGAAATGTATAATCTTTTGCAGCATGAAGATGTTGAATAAATGAATGAAAATTATAATATCGTTCATAATAAATAACCCGCCAGTGGATTATATATGGTATGTTCCGAAACTGCAAGTGTATAAAAGTTTTTACTACGTTAACCGATTTTTCCTTAACGTAATGTAAACAGCATAGGATTTAAATGGATCTGTTCCAGAATCTGAAATAATCTACCAATTTTGCAACTTTTTTCGATATCATAATGAGATAATTGGTTATCGTAGTAAAAACTCTTGCATTCTTGCAGTTCTGGAACAGAACAAATATGTTTATGTTCCAAAACCAGGAAAAATCTACTTATTTTCCACTGTTTCGATATTGTGAAGGAATAAAATTGCAAAACTTGTACACTCTTGTAGATTTTTTAACAGAAAAATTATTTGCAGTAATTAAAAGCATGGATGAGGAGGAGGTAGAACAGCTTCGTAAAAGTACAAAATTATAGAATTATTCAAAATTAGATTCAAGAGATTGTTCTAATTTATTTAATATTTTTCCTTATTTTGAATATTGATTAAAAAGTGTGAATGATGGAAGATAAGCCCGGATTTTCTTTGAGAAGCATTTTTATTATATTACATTATTGATCCATCTCGGCAAAACTCGTTATTACCTTTAATGTGCACCCTGCAATGTTAGTTTCTTCCGTGGTACAATAAGGAGGTAGAACAGCTTCGGGAAACTACAGAAATACAGCTCTGAGGCTATGCCCGCTTCCTGTCATATTTGCAAACAACAAGTTGTTTTCATTTATTCAATATTTTTCCTCATTTTTAAAATCATTTAAACAACGGGGAAAATGAATGAAATGCCTGGATTTCAAAAATATGATCTAAACACTTCTATCTTTCAATTCCATGGAAAAACTGGCAAATAGCTTTAATACGCGACTCGCAATATACGCGTCTCCCAAACATTGATTTTTAAAATATTCTGTTTTTATTTTTCAAAACAATAAATACATACACAAAATTGGCAGGAGTCGGGCACACTTAGAAAAAAAATTGTTATCAGCTGGTAGCTCTACCTTACCTTTTTATTGTATCATGGTTTCTTTTAATCATTGATTTTGATTCCGTTAATATTTTGTTTTCTTTTGGTGCCCTATTTTAGATTCAATCTTGTGGAATAACCCCAAAATTCCGTTCTTGTTTCGCGGACTTCCCTAATATAAGAATTTTGTAAAAAAAAATAAACAAAACCAACCAACTTTTGCAGATTTAAAAGTTTATTGTACACCATAAGACTACATCACAGAGTCACATTTTTTCTAGTTTCTTTGAAATTAAGCAACATGGTAAAGCCAGTAAAAAAAAATCTTTTTGTATCTTCACTTTAATAATTGGTCTGTTCCAATATTTTCTTTTCTGTTTTGCAATCTTTTCGATATCATAAAGAGAAAATCGGTAATTGAAGTAAAAACTTTTGCATTCTTGCAGTTCTGGAACAGAAGAATTTTTGAAGCTTTGGACAGCACAACACATATGAAATTATATTCCGTCTGATGGAGGCTTTATTATCACTAGCAAATACAACTCATGGTTAAAAAAACAGGTAGATGCGTTAAATTAAATCATTAGTAATAAAAAAGTGCTTTCAACAACTCTGCATAATAGTTTATTCATAGTTTTGAATATTAAAACATTTTTAGCAGTTCATTGTACCACCAGATGCATTGATGTGGCCACCTGTATCAACTTGTCATGTCAATTTCGATTAACCGATTGAACGAAAATCGACTTTCATATCCCTACAACAGGCGAACAGACGTCAAAACCAGAAGACAGCAGACATCGCCAGGTGAAAGTTTGTGTCGTCGGATTAGAGAAGTCTTGGAATAAAAGCGATACTAATATTGAAGAGATTTATCATGGCCGGTAAGTTAATATATTTTGCAAAGCAAATGCCGTTGGTAATTAACTTCAAATTCTTTTCAAAATTTAAGAGACACAATTACATAATTCTGTTTATTATTTGCTTCTTTCTTCGCAGGTCCAAATCCATTTGCGCACTTTCAAAAATCTTTTCAAAAGGAAGAAGTCAACTACAAGTATTTTGATTTGGCCTCAATAGATCCTAAATATGGTGAGTAGTCGCTGTATGGGCAATATCGGTAATGGCGGCCTATCAATAAGTGCAAAGGAAGTCGAGGGGTAGAAAAAATTGAAACGTAGTTGTGTTGGGCTGTACTGCCAAGTGTATCTATGGGATAATTAATTTGCATGGATTTGTTAAAGTTACACTTTTAAGTTGTTTTGTGAATAGTATAGCAGTGCATTAGAAATTGGAAAATGTGTGGGGCAAAAGAAAACTGATGTTGTGGCTTTGGAAAAGTAGAACAAGCTTAATATTAATGCGGCTGTTTTGAAAGCAACATATACGAACTTTGCTCTCTGTGGTTCGTTTATGCATAATTAAGTGAATTTCGAACTGTATTCTTTTATTTTCATTGTGAAAGAGGCGTGTGCTCTGGGACTTTGGTTTGACGAGGGTTGGCAGCAATAATTTAGGGAAATATTGGCATGTATGTATTAACACCACATTGTCACCTCCGGTTAGAACTTCCAGACTATTCGAAATCAAACATTTGGGAAGTAATGGAATTACTCAAAAATATAATTATTTTAACATTTCTCAAATTTGTTTTTTTTTTTTTATTTTTGTTTTATTGGAAAAAAGTCTACTTTGGTATAGAACCAAGGCAATCAATACTAGCGGAGAATCAACTAGTTTCAATTTCGAATATCAAATAGCTCTGCTTTATCAACGCTGACGCCGACATCGGCGCTATCTGTGCCAGATATGCACACACACACACGTTTGTGTCAAAATTAATTGCCAAAATATGTCTGGGCATTATGAGGCGATATGAGGTGATCTTACGCATGTTATCAACTTGATCTTGCATGAGTAGTTGAAACATTTTGCTCACCCAATTTTGAGGGAGTTTCTGATTGGAAATCTATAAAGATTATTTGTCATTATTTTATGGGAGAGATTTCAACTATGTAGAGTTATACCTATGGGCATTTTGTGGCCTATAGGTACTCTGCTTTAAAGTTATTAGCCAGATTATTTGCATGTTCTCCCAAAATAACAATTAAATTATTGTTACATATTTTTGAGACATAGCTACACTAAATACTGCAACTTTTAACACAGCGGAAAAAATACATTTCGAAGGCGATTTGACTTATCTTCACAAATATACCTATGTAAATAAATATGTTTATCTCAGTTATTTACATTGAGTGCTTTGTTTATTTGCTTCTCACCTATAATCTTTACTCTTTTGTTGTAGATCAACTGCCCTATTCCATTCGCGTGCTGCTAGAGTCTGCTGTCCGTAATTGCGATAATTTCCACGTTTTGGAAAAAGACGTTCAAAGTATTTTGGCCTGGACACCTGATTTGAAACAAGGACAAAACGATGTTGAGGTTTCTTTTAAACCCGCTCGCGTTATCCTACAAGTAAGAGGGAGATGCTGTTGAAAACATTATCTTCCAAATATAAAACTAATGTAACTATTTTGTATCAGGATTTCACTGGCGTGCCTGCTGTCGTCGATTTTGCTGCTATGCGTGATGCTGTCTGCGAACTGAATGGCGATCCAGAGAAGATCAATCCCATTTGTCCCGCCGATTTGGTTATTGATCATTCAGTTCAAGTTGACTTTGCTCGTACATCAGATGCCTTGTCAAAAAATCAAAATTTGGAGTTTGAACGCAACAAGGAGCGTTTTACTTTCCTCAAGGTACCTATGTTAAATATTTGAAGATAACTATTTGAGTTAATTTAAACATTGCTTCGTGTGTAGTGGGGAGCCCGTGCCTTCAACAACATGTTGATCGTTCCACCCGGTTCCGGCATTGTCCATCAAGTCAATTTGGAATATTTGGCTCGCGTCGTCTTCGAAGCCGACACTGAAGGTGGTAAAATGTTATATCCCGACAGTGTAGTAGGTACAGACTCCCACACCACAATGATCAATGGTTTGGGTGTTCTTGGTTGGGGTGTTGGAGGTAAGTAATTTTTCTGAAGTCATTTCTAAAAATGCTCATATTACATATTTGATTATAGGCATTGAAGCTGAAGCTGTTATGTTGGGACAATCCATTTCTATGTTATTGCCCGAAGTTATTGGCTACAAGGTAAGACTGACAGCACTAAATGCTTCTTCATGTGGCTTTATACTAAACACTTTATTTAACACAGTTGGTTGGCAAATTGGGTCCTCTTGTTACTTCCACTGATTTGGTATTGACAATTACAAAACATTTGCGCCAGTTAGGTGTGGTTGGAAAGTTCGTGGAATTCTATGGTCCTGGTGTGGCTGAATTAAGCATTGGTAAATTCTCGACACACCGATATCTGGCATTCTAATACATGTGTTTTCTCTTGATTTTAGCTGATCGTGCTACCATCAGTAACATGTGTCCCGAATACGGTGCCACTGTTGGCTACTTCCCCATCGATGAAAATACCTTGAACTACATGAAACAAACTAGTAAGTAGGAAGAAAGGTAATAAAAAATAGCTGTTTATTAATTATAATTTTTTTTTTTTTTTTTCATCAACCAATTCAGATCGTTCTGAAAAGAAAATTGAAATTATCAGACAATATTTGCAAGCAACCCGCCAATTGCGCAACTATTCCGATGAGTCGCAAGATCCCAGATTTACTCAAACTGTTACCTTGGATTTGTCAACTGTTGTAACATCTGTGTCTGGACCCAAGCGTCCCCACGATCGTGTCTCCGTTTCGGAAATGAAGAAGGACTTCCAGTCCTGCCTGGTTAATCCCGTAAGTATAGTTTTACACACTTAAATGTTCCGTTGTCTTAATTTCGTTATTATGAGATAAACAAAGCCCAGTGATGCAATCATTTGATTTGAAGCTCTTAAATATTTCTTATTTTAGAAATCCACAAAACTGAACTTGGTGTATCCCATAAATTGAAACTTCTTTGTTTAGACACATTAAATTGTTTTTACGCTTGTACACATTTGTGGCTTACAAAAGAGCTATCTAAAAGAAACAGCAACTGTGATATGTGAGATGTTTGCTGTGGATCAATAAAATCACGGCTACTATTTCCTTAGATAACTCGATATAATTTCTTGATTTGGTACAAGCAAACACAAACCGAATAGCAATATTTCACAGTACATTATAAACTTAGTCACAGTTTTGTATTCACAACGAAATACTTCGATGTCTGTAGCTTTATGACTTCAATCAGGGGTGTTCGCTTTATTTAGTTGGCTCATTTTTCCGGTCATCAAAAGCCACCACATCAAAGTAGTTTATTATGAAGTAACTCCTTAGAATTTAAAGAAACTCCTCGGAAACGATTTCTTGTCCGCTACACACAAGTGTGTCTTTTAAGCTTCGGGTTTGAACTAAACGTTCGCGGTAAGCAAATTGAAAGCCTTCTTATAAACTCTGCGTTCAATGCCACCATCATCATATTTTTTTCCGTATTCATTATGTGCCTCAGGTTTCCAGTTTGCAAAATTGTTGGTAATATTTTGGTATTGACCACTGCAACTGCATAGGTAAGCATTAAATATCATTTATTGCTTATAAATTTAAAAATAAAATAAAAAATGCAAGCTTATGTAAACTGTATACATATATACATACATTCTTTTTAGATTCTTTTTTTTTTTTGACTTGGGTTTAAGAACTTTCACTTCTCAATTATACTTCTCAAATTAATATTTTAAATTGAGTTTCATTATTTTGCATTTCATTATTTAAGGAAGCAATAATTGTGGTTATCATCCATCAATAATAAAAAATGACCTTATTTCACCATAATTTTGTTCTTTATACTGTATCTTCTTTGGTGGAACTATTTATGTGAGTCCAATATTGGCGACTATAACTAATGTATCCTCTCAAATAAGGTCTAAGATGTAATGATATGTTATTAAATATGTTGATACATTGCAATCACTTTCTTCACTTTAATTGTTAAGCAAAATTCAATCAGAATTAACTGGAGGCATATAATAATTCGTATCAAATTCAGTTTACAGCCAAATACCAAACTCTTATTCTAATATGTCTAAAATATGTAATAGTGGACAAACTATATAAACATCATTGGTCCGTACCAAATAGCAAAAATGTAAGCATTTTTTCTACAATTGACGATTTTCCTATTATGATATTGAAAACAACTGCAAAACTGGTATATTCTTGCAGGTTATATATAAAAGAGGATTTTATAATGACAGACATTTGGTTTTACATGAAGCTATCGCCACCGCTTTTTGCCGGTTTAAACTCTCCTCTATGGCAATTTAGAAAACAATAGAACAGAAAATCAGCAAACAGGAAAAATACCATCTCTTTAAAAATATCATAATTATTTAAAATCTCAGCTAGCAAGTACATTTTTAATTAATTTTACATGCAAAAACTATCAAGATGCAAAGCACCAGCCATAATTAGTAATATTCCAAACTATTTCTTAACTTCCGCAATAATTGCTGGAAGGCATAATGCTTGCCGAACAAATACAATTGCACTGACCTAATACATTTATTGTTTTCTACAAAGCTGTTACTATTCGAAGTTGAATGAACTTTTCAGTGCTAACGGCATTTGTGTCAAGTCAGCATTAAATAAAAGCGTTTTTGTTTTATTTTCAGGTCGGTTTCAAAGGTTTTGCAATTCCCGCCGATGCCATGGAAAATTCCGGAGAATTCCAATGGGATGATGGCAAAAAGTATACCATTAAACATGGTTCCGTTGTCATAGCCGCCATTACCAGTTGTACCAATACGTCAAATCCCTCCGTTATGTTGGGTGCTGGTATGTTGGCTAAGAAGGCCGTCGAAAAGGGTCTTAGCATTATGCCATACATCAAGACGTCCTTGTCCCCTGGTTCCGGAGTGGTCACCTACTATTTGAAGGAATCCGGTGTCATTCCCTATTTGGAGAAATTGGGCTTCAACATTGTTGGTTACGGCTGTATGACTTGTATTGGCAACTCTGGTCCTTTGGATGAAAATGTTGTAAATACGATCGAAAAGAATAACTTGGTTTGCTGCGGTGTCTTGTCGGGCAACAGAAACTTTGAAGGACGTATTCACCCCAATACCAGAGCTAATTATTTGGCAAGTCCTCTGTTGGTAATCGCTTATGCCATTGCTGGCCGTGTGGACATTGATTTTGAGACTGAACCCTTGGGCACTGATGCCAATGGACAAAATGTCTTCTTAAGGGATATTTGGCCCACTCGCTCCGAAATCCAAGAAGTTGAAAACAAGCATGTCATCCCAGCCATGTTCCAGGAGGTTTACAGTAAGTATTTATGATTTATTGTAATAATACGATTGTTTTCATAAACATAAAATGGTGATGCATTTCGTTTTCAGGCAAAATTGAATTGGGCTCGGAAGATTGGCAGACTTTGCAAGTGTCCGATGCCAAACTATATCCATGGAATGGTGAATCTACCTACATTAAGCGCCCACCCTTCTTCGAGGGCATGACTCGTGAATTGCCCAAATTTGATAGCATCAAGGACGCCCGCTGTCTGCTATTCTTGGGCGACAGTGTCACCACCGATCACATTTCACCCGCCGGCTCAATTGCACGCAACTCACCAGCTGCTCGCTACCTATCCGAACGTAAATTGACACCCAAAGATTTCAATTCTTATGGTTCAAGACGTGGCAATGATGCTATTATGGCACGTGGTACTTTTGCCAATATACGTCTGGTCAATAAATTGGTTCCGAAGACCGGACCTCGCACCGTTCACATTCCCAGTCAAGAAGAGATGGATATTTTCGATTGTGCCGAACGGTAAGTGTGTGCGTGCGTTAGATTTTTTTCCGACGAATGACTTGATTTTAAATCTTAACAGTTATCGCGAAGAAGGCACCCCATTGGTTTTGGTTGTTGGCAAGGATTACGGCAGCGGTTCCAGTCGCGATTGGGCTGCTAAGGGACCCTTCCTTTTGGGCATCAAAGCTGTTATTGCTGAAAGTTATGAGCGCATCCATCGTTCCAATTTGGTGGGCATGGGTATTATCCCACTTCAGTTCCTACCCGGCCAAAATGCCGAAACTCTTAATCTGACTGGTCGTGAAAAGTATAATATTAGCATTCCTACAGAAAATATTAAACCCGGTCAGAAGATTCAGGTTGATGTAAGTATTTGTTGTGGCCTCATAGAAATGCAAATGTTTCAAATGATAATTTTTCTTGTTTTCTAGGCTGATGGTATTACTTTCGAGACTATTCTCCGTTTCGACACTGAAGTTGATATTGAGTACTTCAAGAACGGTGGTATCCTGAACTATATGATTCGCAAAATGTTGAATTAATACTGTACTACATGATCGTACGTATGGTACGGGAATTATTTTATAGGAAACACAATATAATAACTTTTATATGCATTTTTGTCAATATATTGAATATAAATAAAATTAAGCTTGCGGTGATGAATATGGTTTAACCAATTTATACAAAAATGGAGATGATTTTTTATTAAGTTTAATAGGTGGTTTGTTATCATACACAGCTACCTAATAAGCGAATCTATTAACATAGCATATTTTTAGGGTAATCGCGAACAGTGCTGTAAATTTCCACCCACGAGTGCTTCCAGCAAATAGTGTACACATAAAATTTGATCAATCTAGTCTCGCCTGACTTGATATATTTGTTTGTGGTGCATAATGATATCAATTGTTGATTAATATACCAACAACATACGCCTGTTTGTTGTGCCTATCAGTCACAAACAAAACTCTTATCTCACCGTGAGTGACGTTGCGAAAAATAACAGTATGAAACACTCACACACACACAACATTGCATAATTGTTGAGCAAAGAAGAAAGATAATTTAAACACACAAATGAATGCTTTTCAATTTTTTTATTTGTACTTTATTACAAGTTTCGGTTTTGTTTGTTATTAAGTTCTTTTTTTTATATAAATTATTGTACATAGCTCTTCTTTTGCTATTTTTTTCATTCAAATTCCAATATTTTTTCTTTTAGTAATACATCTACATAAATTTCTATCGCAGCTAAATATTTGTATTATGGTACATTGACTTATCAATTAACAACATTTACAAAATTTTCAAAATTAAGTTAGCTCAAATGATGATTAGGTCCAGGTAGATAGTTTTCATTGTAACTAGCAACAAAAATTAAAATAAAATAATTGTAACAAGCAAACACATAAGATAAGCGCTATAATTATATTTTAAAGGTTGGCTTTTAAACTTAACAATAACAACAATTAAACACTGGTCCCAAAGACCAAGTTGGACTTTGAGGCAGGCCTCCTTCTCTTTTGTCTTGTCTGTCATTGCTATATAATTGGCTAATTAAAGTTTTGCATGGTTTTCAAATAATAATTAAAAAAAGACCACCAAATATACAAACAATTGTATTTACGTTTATGTACAAAAAGAAGTTTGATTGAAATGACTATGTGTTACATCTTCGGTCTTACATTACTAGAAAATTGTCTAAAACAATATGTTGCGATGAATACAAAGGGGGCTCCAGGTGATTTGTTTTAATAGGCCAACAAACCTCTTTGGCTAATTATTCTATATATAGATGATGGTTTAAAAAAAATCATGTTTTTTGTATTGTGTAGCGTTTTGTTCTTGCTATGTGTGTTGCATTTTGTCCAAAACTCGGTTATATATCTTTAAATGCATGGAACCATTCGGTTTTCTGTTTGTTGTCCGCTATTGTAAAATTATGGGGCAATTTGTCGTCATCACCATCATGATTGAATTTGTGCATTCCACGTTTAGTTGGTGGGTCTGGATTCGAGCTCCATAGAAAGGAAGGTCGTTCGTTCGCTGGGCTTAGGTGTATAGTATTACCAACGGATATTTTGTTTATACCTCTCATCAACTGCTATTCTCTTAATTGTCTCATAACCTAAAATTATACTAAATGAGAAGGCTGCAGATTGAACTAAACGAGCCGACAGTCCTTTGAAGAAACAATTTAAACCTTCCTCGCGCCAAAGTTCTCGGAAGGCAATTTTCATACTTTCGAGACGTTGAACCTGAAATTGTAAAAAATAGACATGTAATGTGTATTGATTCTTTTTCTTTTTTTGGAAAATTGTGTAAAGCACGTCCAAAATAGATATAACACTTAGTTATCTGCGGCATATTGAGAATACGGGAATAAAGAAATGTTTTATGGTGCAAGAGTAAGATATTTGCAGATACCTATCGTCTAAGAATTTACTTCAACATTATTAATAGCTTTTCACCGCAGAGCATTTTGTACGGACAGCCGTATTACCCAAATACGCAGCACGGTATCTCAATTAAATTCAAATCATTTAAAATTTAAAAATATTAAATTGTTATGAAAAAATACTCATAATTTCACTCTTTCTTTCTTGAATTATAGTTTTCCAATTAGAACATTTGAATTCAAGCAACCAGTGGTTGAAAAACTAATTGGTATGTATATATTTAAGTTTTGTGGTGAATAAAATCGCATGTAATGTATATGTTTACAATATCTGCAGAGGCATGGTAGAATCCTAATTAAGCGGGTTACTTCTCGTGTTGGTTTTGTCATTGATTTATTAGAATTTTTTTTCTAAACCATATTTACACTTAAAACGGAAACCCTAACTCCCTGCCAGGTTTGTTATTTCATAATTTGCACAAAATTTCATTTCAACTTACCTGCAATCTCGCTCTTACTATATCTAATGGATTTGTAAGTATCGTTGTTGTAAATCCACCCATACTGCCAGCAACACACTGTATAAGTAGATGTGAAACCCATGGTGGGCATATTCGACAAAGTTCATCTGGAATTGAAAGGAACAACAGATTTTAATAGCTCTATTTTTTTGATTTTAAGTTTTGTCTCATAACATACCTTGATACCAGTGATAAAATGCCCACCACATCGCTGAGTTCGGAACATAAGCCATTAAACTGGCAGTGTAGCCTCGATAAAAACCCTGAAATCCATCACGACGCATAATCTCTTTGGCTATATCTATGGAAATTGTTATACGACTGCGACCAGGACTTGTGTCTATACCGAGGGGATTTAGGTCAGCCTTGGGACCATGTCGTGCCATACCCAAGACCATGGCGTGTTGAGAAATTACATCGAAAGGAACTATAATTGTCTGCCCCACCAAGGATGCACATCCGCCGCCCACCAAGGCTTTTACATTATGTCCTGCTCCCAAATCTTTTAGAATATGTCGGACACCCTCGTACGTGCTGATATAGAATACACCCGACACAATTTGCACTGAAGAGATCCAGAAGCCGCGGTATAAACCGGGTACACCTTCTGAACGATAAATTTTGTATGCACAATCAAACATGCCCTTGTAAACGTCACTTTTGTGTTGAACTTGAAGCTGCGTCTTAATCACAGTCAGGGGGAACAGACAGCAACGCACCGAAAACGAACTCAGCATGGACAGGGGAAAGAATTTTGTCTTGTCCATCATGTCCCACTCAATGGTTTTGATAAAGGTCGAACTAGACGAGGTTTCCATATTGTTGTTGCCTGAGCTGCCGCTGGAAGGCACCGACATTGCACTACGACTCATATTTCCGTACGTGTGTGTAGGGCTCCGCAAAGTAAAATTTACTCAGATCCCACACACCACACACAGTATGCCTTCACGAACACTGCAGCTTCTTATAACGTAGGTCACGAGTTCATATGGACAGCTGGATGTGTAGAATGACAAATGTAAGAAGACAACAACAAATATCGACAAATTCGCTCGTTTGTCTCACTGAACAAAGCCTCTAGAAATAGAAAGAAGGAAAACACAATTATACTCTATATGCTAGACATTGTTTGTTTTTCATGTTTCGCTCAGAACGGTAGCGTAGCAAAACAACGCACTCCAAGGTGAACAGCCGATCCGATAGCCACCTTGGCCGTGACACCCGAAACGAGGAAAGCACCACAAAATAGCGAACTTTGGCCCCTCTTTCCCGCAACAACATAATCACACTACATCCTTTTGAGTGGAACGCACACACACATTGTTACAACGATAAACTCCACTAAAGAATCCTCCGTGTAATTATATAATTTGAAATCAAAATCATCCTCTGATATCTGTTGTCGTCGAATGATTTTTGCATCAATCACAGAACTCCCGCAACCCCCACCACATCGACATCCATATACATATGATTTATGTTCTTGTTGTTGTTTTTGTTAGGGTTGGTGCGTAAAGTTGTTGTTTTTTACTTATGACGACATATTTTGCAAGAAAAATACGCAATTCACGTAATTATGTCTACATTCTCTCACAGGTTTGAACCGCGTCCAATTATCACACAAACAACACTTACACTACTCGCAAATAGTTCCGATTAAACATTAGTGATTTTATTGAAGAAAGCCATCAATAAGCGAGTTTCCAGTTCGACGTCTAGTAAAGAATGTCACACGAAAAATATTTATTTTATTTATCGTGTTATCGTTTTACGGTGATTAGCAACAAATCTGTTCATCATTTTAGTTAGAATGATTAGTGAGTGAAGTAGCGTAACGTATGAGAGAGGAGAACATAAAGCCATGAGTAGTAACGGCTAGTATGTAATTTTTGGCGGAAATGCATGTTATATTTAGTTCTTTGCCAAGAAAAGAATGGAAATTACAGGGAAAATTGAATGTTAATACTTAAAGTTGTTATATCGGATTTATTAATGTTCATTGGTTGTCACAAAAGTAAGAAACGCTTGGAATGCATAAATTATTTGTTGGAAATGACGCTTAAAGCCTTTTAGCAAACTGTGACGTGATGACTCGAAATCAAATTCGGCGAAACGCGTCGCATTGTGGTGAGTGTGTGATAGTGTCTATCTGGCTTTCCTTTTCACCGCAAATTTCAGATCATTAAGCTTGTAAGCTCGAAAGAGAAACAAGCACATAAACATATGATCTTCGCCTTAACAAGGCAAAACTCAATTTTCATTCATGTTTTTAACTTTTTGTATAAATGTTGACATTTTCCATATATTTGTGTATTTTTCTGCTTTTAAATTCGGTTGGAGAGTCACTTGTCAAAACATTTTTTGTCGATACAAAATTTTGAGCTAAGTCAACCCAAACCTCCTTTGATCTTTTACGAAGAAGCCAGTCAAAAACGCGTTTTGTGTATTCTCAACCTTAAGTTCGGGCCGTATGGTTGGTATGCGATATGTTGCACCTAAATATACAGTTCTATTTCAAGGGGTAAAGTACTCAGAAAGAACTCTTTGTGTGGATTTTCAGACAATTCCAATGAAAATGTTGACTACAAGCGAGGTATCGTTATATGGTGGATATACGATATTGTGGACCTATATACACAAATTTTTTCCAGGGGGTAAAGCACTCCTAAAGAATTCCTCGTGAAGAATTTCTAATAATTTCATTGAAAATTTTGGCTAAAATCGTCGAAATCCCAAATATCGGGGGTACCGTTGTATAGGGGCTTTACGATATCGTGGGCCGATACTTGTCCTGCCTAATCTATGCAAATTTTTAGCTACCAATCCTAATTCGTTTGACTCTAGCGTGATAACTCTATACCGAATATATATGATACAGTCATATGTGGACTATACCCAAACTTGGATCTATACAAGGTGAGATACAAAAAAACTGCTACAAAATCAAACGCTATAATTTTTGAATTCTATTGAATGAAAGCAAAAAATGTCGGAAGTAGCATCAAATTTTAGAATAAGTTTAAATCTGTTCGAATTGGTTACCTTTGGCACGAATTATGGCCTTCAAAAGGCCAATGAAACCGTCACACGCTGCCCGAATGTTGCTCTGCGGTATTTTGGCCCATTCTCGGCGAAGCGATTGCTTGAGGTGATCGACACTTTGGTATTTTTTAGTGCCAACCTTGCTTTCCAAAATACTCCAGACACTATAGTCCAACGGAATGGTATCCGAAGATTTTGGTGACAATTGTGCGCTGGAAATGAAGCGAGGAACCTCATTTTGTAACCATTCTTGTGTGGTCTGCAGTCAAAATATTTGCTTGCCCAAGGCTTTAATACACCCTCCAGAATAATTTCGGGATAATATTCGGCATTTATTCTGATGTCACGGTCGATTAATACGAGCGGAGGGCACCCATCGGCTATTATGGCGGCCCACACCATCACCATGGCCGGCGCTTGAGTTCTGGTGGCCAACCGAAGATGCACATTTGCATCTGACCTCTTTGGCAAGTAAACACGATCATTATGTTTGTTTACAAACTGCTGGACAACGAACGTTTTCTCATCGAAGACGGAGAAAAACCGAATTCGGCAGTTCACCACTTTCGGTCAAGCGAAGCAACTCTTTAGCTCTCTTGAGTCTATTTTCTTTCTGTTGCGGTGTAAGTTCTCTCTCATCCCGAGTTCATTTTTCAATATTTGCCGAATGGAATATTGCGATATGTTCAGCTCACGAGCCATTTTTCGCCCACTGCGACGCGTGTTTCGGCTTTCGGACGAGTGGCTTAGAAATGACAGCATCCTGAGGTTGGTTGCACTTTTTTCATCTCACCCTGTATTATGGCGAATTCTACCAAAATTTATACGGACCTAAAATGCATTTCAACAAAATTTGATCAAACTACTTCATTTCGTTTCCATTTCCATCACGGACGGATATGGCTAAATCGATCAAATAGAATCTTATGTTGATCACGGTCTAAAATGTTCATTTCGAGGGGTTGCAAACGGAATGATTTACAACAAAATAATTGAACAAACAAAACAACTTGTTGCATGCAAATTAATGGCAATGCTCCTAGTAGAATCCATATAGGTAGGACTCTTTTCATACAAATTTCTCTGTTCCAGAACTGCAACAACGGGGAGGTAGAACAGTTTCGTCAAACTGAGGCTATGCCCGCTTCCTGTCAAAATTATAAAAAAAATGAGTTAAATGGCGCGAAAAATGAATGAAATGCCGGAATTTTCTTTGAAAAATATAATCTAAACTATTTAGTCTTCAATTCTATGGCAAAAATTGTTAAAAGCTTTAATGCGCGCCCTCAATATGCGTTTCTAATAACCATTGTTTTTCAAAATATTTTGTTTTTATTTTTCAAACCAATAAATGCATACCCAAAATTGGCAGTGGTCTGGCAAACTAAGAAAAAAATTGTAACGAGTTGGTAGCTTTACCTTACCTTTTTATTGTACTATGGTACTAAGGTAGGTTCCCTTGTTTATATTGACAATCAAATCAATCAAATTTGAGATTTTCAGATGATAACTAAATTTAAGGAAAATACGTTTAATGAATGGAATGATCTTGATTGTAGCCTCAAATTAATTCATTAAATTGTCTTTAATGAATGATACGCATCCTTTGGCCAATCGAAAAATTCAAACTAAGGACAAAATTGCAGCATTTTAGTTTCACGAATTTCTTAACCAAACTCTAGGTATGTTGTCACTTGTCGCATCAATGTATGCAGTTTCGCATTCGATCTGTTCCTCATTTTTCTCAAATTTCAATATTTAACCTTTTATCTAAATTTGCTTTCCATTCATGCAATATTCACTTCTTAAATTCCAAATATTCGTTTTAATGTTCAATGGCACAAAGCCAGATGCTATCGAGGCAGACAAAAAACTGTTAACTAACCTATTTTTTAACGGAAACGGATTTCCGTAGACTTTGCACCGAACAACATGTAATTGACCTTGAATAAGAGGCAATACCGGAGACTTTAAATATATCCGTTTAGCCAATGCAACACCAATGGAAATTTGCATTTATTGGAATCCGACACACAAACGTGTATTGGTATTTTCGTGTTGTGCACATGTACTTGGCCGTATTTATTTCTATTCTATCAACTGTGAAAAATAAATTAGATTTTGGGTTGATAATTTCTGCAGGATTTGGGGGGTGTGGTAGATCTGAGTGAAACACAAGATATGTCGCATCATAACAACAAAACACTTTAACACACATATGTATTTGATTTACATTTGTTCTTCCTTACATATAACATCCTTTGAATTATCGCTCTGTGTTGGCATCTCACAACCCCCTCCCTTTCGATTACAAATTTTCGTGTCAAAGCAACCAATCAAATTGTAGCATCTCGGTCCTGGACATGCGCAATTGCTCGAAGCCAAATGAAAAGGGATACGCCCCCTAAAGTATGCAATAAATCTTGTTCATCTTCATTTCTGAAATTAGTTGCGGCGCGTATTTTGTACTCAACGGATTTCGAATCTAGTGTTGTGATATTTAAATCAGACCGTTGTCCTAAAAAAATCAATGATTTTTTTAAGTGAAAAGTAACCTGAAAAACTTATTGCATTTTTGGAATAACATTCAAAAAAATGGTACAGCATAGAGAGTTGACGTTTTTTGTAATAAATAATTATTTTATATTTGGTTTCAATAATTTACTTAAACCTCGGGTGAAAAAAAAAACAAACATATAAAATATTCTATCTAAGCAATACATTGGCAATGGTTATTAGCCATAACTTATCGTATAGCCCATGTTTTCCATTAGAGTTTCTTTGATGGCCGGCTGAAGGGCCCTCTGCATGTATGTGGTCAAAAGACTGCGCACTCCCATCGAGAATAACTTTTCCAATTCATCTCGGAACGCATCATTGATATCGTCGCGATCTCCAAACATGTTGTCACCACCGCCACGATTGTTGTTGGAAAATATATCAGCAAATGCCCGGGCATCCGGTTGCAGCAAGTCCTGAACGTTATCATCTGAAAATCTCAAGATGTCATCGTCAAAGTTAACTTCGTCGTTCAAACGGTCCGTTGCCATGTGTCTAACTTGGCGTTGTCTATAGTAAGTGCTGCGCTTTTTACGAAATTGTCGGCGATAAAAATTATCGCCATTGGGGTCGAGCAGTTCCTGGGAATTGGCATCAGTCCATGCCAGATCTTCGTCGCGCATATTGGGCGGTATATAGCCTTCACTTCGTATGTCGAATATAACATCCGGTGTCAGTTGGGAAGTTGGAGGTTTGTGGCCCTCGTTAGGTTCTTCGTTGACGAAACTGTAGCGACGTTTTGAATTTTGCCGTAATTTTATTCCGGTTGGTCCTAAAATGAAATTAGATGAAATGCAATTTTAAAAATTAAAAACCAGCAAGGAATGTCAAAAGCCTGGCGGGGCCGACTATACGATACCCTACCCAACTATGCATATTTAGTAGAGATCTCGTAACAAAAGTATTTATTTGAAGTAGAGCATACCATCTATCAATATTTGGCTTCAGAGCAGTTATAATTTGGTTTCAGAGAGAACTAATATATAGGAGCCATATACAATTCTGAATCAATTTTCACTAAATTTGAGGGAAATAAGCTTGAAATCGGATTAAGAACATATGGTGGGAGCTATATCCAAATCTTAGCCGATCTCGATAAAATTTGTCAAAGGTATTTCCGATGTATTTCCTTCTGGATTGAATTCGATCGGATGTACCAAAATTCGGGTGATTTGGACTTATATTGGCCATTTGGTGAACAATTAACTTGAAATCGTTTGAAGATATATGTGGGAGCTATATCCAAATCTGAACGGACCCTGATAAAATTTGGCAGAGGTATTTCTGGGCTACATCTGATATCGGATAGCAAACATTCAAATATTTTTGTGGAGTGCATATTACGAGTGGAGGGGTCTTTACAACCAAATCAGATGAAACCTATATATGGGAGCTATAGCTATATCTGAACCAATTTTCTCCGAATTTGATGTACTTACTTCTAGACAGAATTTGGTCGGATATACCAAAATTCAGGTTATTTGGACTGATATTGGCCATTTAGAGCACAATTAACCCGAAATCGGTTAAAGATATATATGGGAGCTATATCTAAATTTGAACCGAATCTCACAATAAAATTCGTCCTTGGGCCAAACAAATATTGTTTGGAAAATTTCATCTCAATCGGATAACAAATGCGACCTGCATTTTGTTCACAAGAATGCAAATGAGGATCGATATTGAAAATCTCTCGTGGAGCAAATTGGTATTATTCATAATCCGAAATTTATAATTACAGTCCATTGAACGTATGCACACATCGCAGAAGCAGACAATTTTATGGGTTGAAAGATTCTTCTCACATTTTGAAGTTCTATTTCGACTTGATAGTGTGATACTGAACACATATGGTATAGGTATAGGTTTTGGTATATTTTCCACCCCTAATATTCTTATCGCTTGTTCCATAATGTAATTGTATATTCGTTGGTATTTTGAGGCCTACGTTTAAGATTTCTCATAGATAAGACTATAAAAAGTTCGTCTTAACTTAACATTGTTTTTTAATTCATTAGAGTCTCTTAATCCTTTTTGTATATACATACCTTGGCAGCCATGGGCAAAGACCGATATAAATCCCGGCTCTGCAAAATGTGAATCTGTCCTAACAGATGCCGCACCAATTCGTCGGGACTCCTCACCACTGATCTTCTCGAATCCAATGGGTACCGTGTGAAATTCTATGCCAGCATGTCTCAAACGCAATATCATATTACATTTTCCACCCGTCGGCTGCAACACGATTCTGCCGCTCAAAGTCAAATCGGGAAATATTAAACGTGTATCCAGTGTTGAGTTCTCCGAAATGAACTTGCACTTGTCAATTTCCACCCATCTTGCACTTGCCTCCGGTGGCAATCGAACGCGTAAGTCTTCAACTTCCACTCGCGATACTTGCAATTTATGTGGCTGCCTTTGGCTTTGATATTTCTGATATATCGACGACGGTGGTGGTGGTGGTTGGGTATGTTGATACGAGGATAGGGCCGCATCAAAATCTAATCTTGAATTTGGTCCATAATTTCGATTAATATTTTTGGCGTAATAACCACGATTCGGTTGGGGATGATAAAAATCATCGTCGATATTTTCATCTGCCGGGCCATAGAGGGAATGATACAGAGCATAGGGTGATTGCAAGGGAGTGTAAGAACGAGCGGACTTCGTCTGGAAACTTCGTCTTCTCATGTGTTCCAGGGCATTCTCCAAGCGATTTGAGCAGCGTTGTGTGTTGCGGTACGGTTGTGATGAGACCACTGTTGAGTATAGGAAATTATTTTCGATTATGGTAACTTCTTTGTTTAATATATATTTTTGATTTTCAGACACAATTGTATATATATTTTTGAAATAAGCGAAAATTAAAAAATCGAAAGAAAAAAGTCAAGTAAAACTAGGTTGGGATAAAACCTAAATTAGATATACTTTTTGAACAAACCTCGTAGATATATGCCAAATTGTAAGTGACATTTAATTTCAACGCAATGCTTCTTCATATTACCTGCTACATTTTATAACATGCAGAAATAATGAGCCTATATCCTATATCATTTTGTCCGTCTTTCCGATGTATTACATATTGTTCACAAATGTCGGAAAATATTTAAATGTCAAAACTGTGCATGTAATTGAGGGAATCTTTTTATACCCTAAGCCACATGGCTATCAATTGATATGGCCAAGACGTGTCTTATCGAAATAACGGTTTTTAACCTAGGTCTTTTTGGACCAAATCCTTTTCTGGACATTTGGAGTCCGTCCGTCTGTCGAGCTGGCTGGTGCGCACGCTAACTCTCGATGGGAGTATCCGATTTGATCCAAACTTGGTACATCGTAATATTATTATCAAACGTAGATGGGGTTCGAAGATGGGTATTATCGGTCCATTCCTTCTGCTACTTCCCCCACAAAAGGTCTATAACAAGAAAAGATCATCCAATTTTGTGCACATTTTGCAAATCACAAAATTTTGCATCAGTGCCAGGTCAGGTGCGAAAATGGACAATCAGTCAACTCCACAAAGTGCCTCCCCCACAAAAGGTTCAAAATTTGGAACAACTTAAAACTTTTATAAAATGTAATGGAAGAGTCTGATTGCCTTGGAATTACACACATCACAATATTTTTATTAACCCAAGGTCTGATGTGATGATGGAATATATCGGTTCACTCCTTCTGGTACCTCCCCCACAAAGGGTCAAAATTTTGAATTAACATTCGATTCCATTCAGACTTGGTACATCTCAATATTTCCATCAACACAAGATCTTTTATAAAGATGGTAGAGAACGGGCCATTCCTCCTGCTATCACATATTATTTTTTTAACCCAAGGTCTGATGTGCAGATGAAATATATCGGTCTACGCCTTCCGGTACATCCCCACAAAGGGTCAACATTTTAAATATTTATTAAACTCAAAAAACACGAAATTCAGACTTGGTACATATCAATATTTCTATCAACAGAAGATCTGCTTTGAAGATGGGAAATATGGGTCCAACTTCGTAAATCCTAATATTTGCATCAGTTCTAGGACAGGTACCTTCCCAACAAAGGGTCAACATTTTGAATACTTAAAACTCTTATAAAATGTAATGTGAGAATTCGATTGTCTTAAAATTACTCATATCACAATATTTTTATAATATCCCAAGGTCTGGTGTGAAAATGGTAGTTACAAACGGGAGGGACAACTTTGTATACCCTCCACATTATGTATGGGGAGGGTATAAAAACCGATTTTTTAATGAATTCATCTATGTTTTTCTAGAACTCTCTTTTGTGTCAATTTGGGGATTTACTTCACCAGTTTCTTTTTAAAAACTTTTTTTACTAATTTTCAGTTAAACACACCCTTTTTCTGAATGTTAACATCACAGATAAAAAATTCAAAACACACACATATTCCAATAAATATTCAATAATTTCTGAGGCTATGGGTTTTAAATTGCAGAACTCATCAGGGCATATTTTCTTTATTTTTCCAGCTGTTGTTTGGCCAAGATAAAAAAGTAACTTATAGATTTATCCGTCACTCTTTTTACCCACATTAAGTCAATGTAAAATCTTCTCGAAGTATCTCCGCTCGCGATTGTAACAAACTTTACAATATTTTTTTATAAAAACACTCTTTTTTAGGCACATCCTGAAATTATTAATTCATTTTTACCTTCGAACAAGACAAATAATAAAATAACAAGTTTTGAATTGGATTTCAAATAGCCGCTGTAGGATTTTATTCGTCGGAAAATTCTTAGTTCTTTGGTGGGAAGGAAATACATTTTTGGGTAAGACACAACTTTTTTTCGTTTGAGACAAGTCAATTGTTAAACACAGTTCCGTATATTTTTTTGGCCAACGGTGGTTGCAACAACGTTACGGGGTGAACTGCCTTCGACAGCAACTACACTGGAAATGTTGGGTGAGACGGCACAACACATATCGTTTGCCGACTCCAACACTTCCATCTGAAGACAGACAAAAGCAGAAGACCAACACCACAAAAGTGGATCATCACCCAACGATCAGCAGTTTCAGTCATTCGCATAGCCCAACGCTCAGTTGGCACAACGTGAAAAGTTTCTTTTCTTTGAATTGCCTGGCTGGTGTCTTTTTGGAGGGTGCCCATTTGTCTGCCACACATGTATGTACATATATGTTACAACCAAAATAACACGCCGAACTCACACACACACACGCTCACATGTGGCTACAACACTAATTTTCAATGCAAGCTTTGGATGGATTGCTATTATTTGTGGCTTTTCCGAAAGCAGGTGAACCCTACCATTCAGTGTCAATTTTGAGCGTGGATTCGTTGTCACATCTCAACATCAGTGAAAGTGTTTTCCATACATGAACGAAGACTGCAAGTGTATGTGTGTGTTTAAGAAAGAAACATACATTGTTGTTTCTTTTTGTTTTCATTTTGGAGTAATTATTCCTCCATCCTCTATGTGAAAATTAAGAAGACACATTCGTAACTTACCTGCCCAACATTTCATCCAACAACCCAACCATCCATCCATCGCAGCTTTAAACAAAAATTATAATTAGTTTTATGCGCTCTCTCATTTTGTGGAAGAGGTGATGAGTTTTGTAATCCATGCGAATATGGAAATAAAACACCAACAACAAGCTTAAAAAACTGTTCATAATTTACGGCTGTTATTCGAGCGCCCTACAGAAAGCAATTTGGGAATGCAAAGGGCGCATCGTTTTTGTTTTGCCAATCCATTCCAGAAAGTATCGATTCTAGCTTTTTTTGTTTCTTAGGCGGGCTCAAGCGCCCACTAAACCTCTAAAGTAGTTTCTGAGTACATCCTAACTTTTTCAATTGTCAAATGTTTGCAAAGATATGTATTCGAAGTTGGACTACATTGAACATAAAGTCATTTGTAAATGTGTGAGATTGAACTTTCGTCTTGTGGCTACCAAGGGTATATAAATATCAGTTTATAAAGGTGCAAGTACATAAAAAGCTTGAAATCATGGCTAGGCATATTAATGTCAAATTATAATGGAAAACCACGGCTGGATTTTAGTACGGCTCTGTAATCCCTTTATGAAATGTCACAAAATATGCCTAGCCATAACTTCAAGCATTTTATGTACTTACACCTTTGGACCAAGATGTCGCTCATCGAAATGAGGCATATTTGGAGACGATATAACCATAAAATAAACTGATTATTAGTGATTCCAACTGAATTCATCCTAAAAACAAGTACTTCAAATTTGGAGAAAATCGTTTCAGATATAACTATTGCTCCCATGTAGGTTTCATTCGATTTGGGGTTTCAAATCACGTAATATGCACTCCACAACAATTATATTTGATACCGGATATCATATGCAGCTCGAAAATACCACTGCCAAATTTTATTGAGATCGGTTCAAATTTTTATATAGCTTCGATATACATCTTTATCCGATTATAGGGTTATAATAAATTTTTTTCATATTCAACCGAATTTTACCATTTAGTAAAACTCTCTATACCTATTGATCCAATAAATATTTTTTTATATAATGCTTGTCGCAGTCATATCATGCCCTATACGGTAATATTATTTGGTTCACATAAATTTCCAATATACTGTACTAAATACGCATAGTGATGTATATGTTCCTTATCTCAGAAAAACGGCTTTTATTTATATCGTCTTAAGCTTGCAAATGTAATAATGGAGATTTTAAGTCCTTCATCTTAACTCGAGTACTCCATTGACGTTTTATTTCAAATCATCAAAACACCAGAATAACCGCCTGAAAAATATTGGGAAAATCTTCACAATACTCTGCAATAAAATTAAGACCAATCAGACTGAAAATTTGGGATGACAATCTTTTATCAGCATTACAGGAAAACAAGCCGCGACATTTTCGATCTTCACACCTATACTAGCTGCCGCAAAATGGTGCTTTGGGACAAAATGCAACCAACCCATAATCAAGCCTTCCATTACTTACGAGGCTAATATTTTTGTTTATATATTGTATTTTTTTTGAAGCTGTGTCAAATTTTGAAGCTCTACGTCAAAAAATGTGGACTGTTTCGCAATTTCAACAGACGGACATCGTTAAATCGACTTAGAATTTATGCTGATTATGAATATATATATACCTTATGGGGTCTACGATGAATATTTAGGGATGTTACAAACGGAATGACAAAGTTAATAACTGAACGTAATTTTCCATAGTCAAATTTATTGCGATTGGTCAATTTTCGGGGTTAACCTTGATAAAGATTTGTATGTAAACATATTTTAGCAATAAAATACTGAACAAGAGAAATCTTGAACTGAACACATTTCGAAGAAGAACATAGCGTATTTTGGCTAAATCCGTTATTCGATTTTAATTCACTGTTTCTTACTTTTGTGTGGCAAAGACTTTGAAAAATTCAGTGCATTACTTTATTGTTGTTATTTTTGTTTTTCCTCTTCGATTCCTTATTGCTTCAGCTAAACTGCAAAACTCGTGCCACTACTTCACGCTCTGTTGGCGAAAGATTGTGCGTTTTGTATGGTGTTTTTTTATTTTTTGAAAACTCCAATTCACATACTCCGATTGTCCGCAAGTGTGTGAGAAAATGACTAAATATGGTTAAAAGTCTAAACATTTTGAAAACCCATTTGTTGCAAATTGACATTTTGCAGACGAGTTGTGTCGCGGTTGTGTCACTGAAATGCAACCGACAACGACAACACATTGCATCTACCAACACCCCCCAACCCCACCCGCACACAACGTTTGGATAATTTGTTTAACCCAAATGCATGAAAATACGATATACACAATGCTGGTAATAGACAATTTTCCCCAGTTACAACATCTAAACGTTTGAAAATTATAGTTACGCCATAATCTTTGCCGTTTATAACATCGCAAATGAAGAGGTTAGAGTTTTCTCAAAACAACAAGAAATTCTCGTCAATTGTCGTTTTCTCGCTGCTATTTTGTAGCAACCTCTTCTTCATTTGATGAAACGATCGGCTGAGGCACGTCTTTATTGGATATGTCTTTCTTTTGTCAGCCAACGTCAATTAAGGGCATTTGTGCGCCTCTGCAAAGCGATTAAGAGCGGCGAGAGTGCCAAAACCAGAAATATACATGACTTTTTCACAAATAAAATTATTATACATACATACGCACATACACATGTACATGTACCTATATTGGTGGGTATACAGTTTCTTTTACAATCCGTGTACCAGAAACATGCATGACAACAGTACCTTAACTAAAAGTGGATCTTCTTCTGACGCTTGGCTAACTCTACAGCCATCGCTTAACTTTAATTGATTTATGTGATTCGCTTTTCTCGATTTTTCATTTTTGGGGAAATTTCACATTTTTCTCCAAATTCGAAATTAGAGTAATTAAAGAAATAAAAAAAATGGAAATGTAAAATATTGGTTTAAAATTGAACACTAAATACTGGGACTATACCAAAACTTGGACCTATATAAATAGTTATCTGTAAAGATATTTCCTACAAACTAGGAACACGAACTGGCAATTTACAACCAATTCGGTTTATAACTGAGACTAAAACACCTTGAATCTGCCGGTACAGTTATATGAGGGAAATACGAGTAAAACTTGGACTTATATGGCCCATTTTCAATACCAACAATTCTGCGGACCTAAAATACATCTGGATAAAATTTTATCACCTACTCCTTTTTTTCGGACGTTAGAGTGATTTCCACAGATAGAGGGCGACATAGAATTTTATGCTGATAAAGAATTTATATACTTTACTTTGTAGGGTCTAAAGTGGATATTTCGAGGTGTTACAAATGGTATGACAAACTTATGCATACTATGGTGGAGGATTTAAGAAAGTATATTCCTAATATATATCTAAACAAGCTAAAAAGTACTAGTTGGTTTTGCCGACAAGTTGTAAAGAATCGCAGACTTTATCGCAAGTTATGACAGATAAAAGTATCGAAAATTGTGACCCTTTGTGGGTGAGGTACCAGAAGGAGGAGTGTCAACATCTAGCCGCGAACACTTCAAAGCAGATCCTATGTTAGTAGAAATAATCGGATGTGTGTATTATTAAGGGAACCGGAAGCTTATTTCGAATTTTATAATTGTTTTGGTTATTCAAAATTTTGACCCTTTGTGGGGGTGGCATCAGAAGGAATGGTCCGATCTCTAGCATATTTATAACAGATCTTATTTTTATAGAAATATAGAGATGTGCCACATCTGAATGGAATCGGATGTTAATTTCGAGTTTTATGAGCTTCATGGGTATTCAAAATTTTGACCCTTGGGGGGGAAAGGTACCAGAAGGAGTAGAATGTTGATCCATTGTGGGTGAAGTACCAAAAGAAATGGGCCGATCTCTGCCATTTTCATAACAGACCTTTTTTAGTGAAAATATTGAGACGTACCAATTCTGAATGGAATCAGATATTAGTTTCGCATTTTATGAGCTTCACGGATATTCAAAATGTTGACCCTTTCTGGGACAGGTACCAGAAGGAGCGGACTGATATATTACATCTCAACACCAGTCTTGGGTTAATAAAATATTGTGATGTGTGTAATTTGAAGAGAACCCGATGCTTATTTCGGATTTTATGGTCGTTTTGGTTATTCAAAACTTTCACCCTTTGTGGGTGGAATGGACCGACATATTACATATTCACACCCGACCTTGGGCTAAAAAAATAATATTATGTGTGTAATTTGAATCGGACTCTTACAACATAATTTATAATAGTTATAATTATTCATAATGTTGATCCCTTGTGAGGGAGGTACTAGATGGAGTGGACCGATAATAATATTACGATGTACCAAGTTTGGACCAAATCGAATACTCTCTTCGAGAGTTATCGTGCGCACCAGCCAGACAAACGGACAGGCATCTCTGGATCCACTCCAAATGTGATGAAACGGATTTGATTCATAGGAGACCTAGGGTCTGAAACCGTCATTTCGATGAGGCATCGTATCAAATGATACATACCCTCTCTATACCTGAGGGTATAAAAAGGAACGTCGTATGCCGATACCTTTGACGAAATCTTATAAGGTTTACTTTTAACCTCTTTCTGTCCTGTATGTTTATGTTTATGTTCATTCTTTTATTGAATGTTACAATGATGATACATGCAGACACCCACCGGTTCACCCACATTTTCAAAAATAGCCTGTTAATAAAACGAACTTACCTTGCTCATAATCAACCACAGCCACAATTGAATTGACATAATTAAAAGTATATTTGACACTTGCACTTTCCCACCCGAATGGGTATCAATTTGTGTCGAAGTGAAAAATAACAAAGGCTACACGAAGACCACCAACCAACCCTTGCAACTGAAATCGAGTTATTTTCAAACTCCATTACTTAATTGTCAACATCTAGTCGTGAACACTTAAGTACATCGCCCCAAAGTAGAACACATGCAGCTACACTTGGCGTTGGCAGAGTGGATGGATGGACGACGTACTTCAAAGCTTGACCATACATTTCTAGTTGTAACTTATATCTGTGGACGTCTTCGCCAGTGCGGGTTTGGTGTTCAACGTTGCTTTATAGTTGTTTCGCACCAAACAAAACCTTAAGTACAATGGGCAAAGCTGTTAAACTAATTACACCTTACTTGCCTAACTAGCTGAGCCCTCCAATCCATCCAGCTGAGAGAAAATAAAAAAACTCCGTTAATATGAAACTGGCTAAACAATGTCGTTCATTATTAGAGTTCAATTACAGGTCACATACAGATTTCACACACATACACATTGAACCAAATGCTAAAGCAATGATCGGGTGTGGAGTATTTGTATTAACTTGTCAAAGTAGACTAACTATAATGGCAAGAGATTCGTTTGCTTTTAATTGTATCATTTAACAAATAACAAACATGTATCCTAATTAATTTCTTCCCAATGGGGTTTAAAAGTTCCGAGTCTATTTTATATCATGTTCAGGAAGAACATAATTTAAATAATAAATTTTATAAAATTTAAAAATGGATTTTATAAAAACATCAATAACGGGATTAAGCCAAACTATTTTGCAAAAACAAAATTCTATGGTATCCCGAAGAAACATGTCAACACTGTTATATAAAAAATAAATAACACACTAATTCTATATTACGTCATTTGTCAAAATTACAGCTTATGCTCAAAACTAATTCAAGCACCTTGCGAGCATTTGTTGTTTCTTCATTGGATGTCATAATGACAGAATTAAATGATTTCAATAAAAAAGCTGAAAAGTATCAGACGGTTTTGCCGACAGAAGTATACCCTCAGCTAATGTTCGATTATTTAAATATATTTTGACTTCTGTTATGACCCTGTATGGAGCATGTTCCGAAGAAATGGGCCAATATTGTTCATTTCCTATCGGACCTAAATAAATATGATACAAATATTGCGACGTGTTTGGGTTGGGACTGTTGACAACTTTTTTCACTTTATATGAGTGGCATGTATGAGATGTAGTCGGCCGAAGTATTCCATTTTCATACTTCATCTAATACGGAGAAAAATATTGGTATGGGCAAAATTACAAGAAAATCGAACAATTTTATAAGAAATCATAAATTTCATATTCATTTCAGGTTTCTGGTTGAGAGGTATATTTAGATATAGCAAGTTGTAAAGAATCGCTGACTTGCTTCGCAAGTTATGACAGAAATAAGTATTGGAAATTGTCACCCTTTGTGGGTGAGGTACCAGAATGGGTTCGCAGATATATATCATCTTCACAAAATTGAACAGAGTTGGATACTTGTTTTGCTTTCTTTGAAAGGTTTGTTTTTTAAAATTTCAAACCCTATGTGGGGGAGGTACCAGAAGAAATGGTTCGATCTCTATCATCTTCATAATAGATCCAGTGTTGATAAAAATATTGAGATGTACCAAGTCTGAATGGAGACGGATGTTAATTTCGCGTTTTAAGAGCTTCACGGATATTCAAAATTATGACCCTTTGTGAGGAAGGTACCAGAAGAAGTGGGCGATATTTTCTATCTTAACACCAGACCTTGGGTTAATAAATACATTAGGATGTGTGAAAATTTGAAGACAATTGGACTCTTACTTCACCCTTAAGAAAAGTTAAAATTATTAAAAATGTTGACCCTTTGTGGGGGAGGTACTTGATGGAGTGGAGCTATATTGTCCATTTTCGCACCTAACCTATCACTGATACAAATATAAGTATTTCCGAAATTGGAGCAAAATCGCAATATCACTTCTCTTTCCGTGCAGAAAAATATTTTTTTGAAAATGTCAACCTTTTGTAGGGGAGTTTCCAGACGGAGTGGAGTCCATCTCCGAACTCGATGTAAGTTTAATAGTATATTACCATGTACCAAGTTTGAGCCAAATCGGATACTCCCTTCGAGAGTTATCGTGCACACCAGCCAGACAGACGGACGGACGGACATCGCAGGATCGACTTCAACCATTTATCGAAATTTTAAAGAGTTCACAATTATGTCTCCTTCATAACGGTAGAGTGCCAAAAGAGTTCGCTGTGACTGAACTAAATATTGTTTTCACTTGTTTCATTACATAATTGATTTCGACGGCACTGCTTGAGCACTGAACCAAAAACGGGGTTGTTGTTCTAAAGGGTAGCTATTCCGCAACTTCCTTATTAGAAAGTCATTACAAAGACATCCTGTTAAGGATTGACTTGTTTCCTTGCCAAATATTAACTCATTGCAAAATTGAAAATAAAAATAAATTATTACACACCTAGGCACAAAATGAACCAATTTAAATTAAGGGGAAATGTATGGGTATTTTGGTTTAGAGACGAATTGTGGTTGTGAATGTAACATTTATAGGGGGGCCCGGCTGAATAAATTTAGTTTTTTTTTTTGAGAGTTTAACTATAAATGGGGATGTTTGAAAAAAGGAAAATATTTACTATATGAAAGGAATTAAGGACATAAGTACGAGTACATAAACTTTGGTTGTCATACGAAAGGCGTTTTTAATGGTATTTGATGTTTAATTTTGATTTGATTTGACGATACTTGTTTTACTCTAATACTTTCAAGAAACCAAAAATAAAATATGGAACTTATGCTTCTTTTTTGTTTTGATTGTAAATCAAATTTCTTCAAATTGTGTTTATTTACAATATTCAATTTTTCTCTAATTTAGACCGACTACGTCAATTCGTCTAGTAACAGTGGCAATAACAACAACAACAACAGCAGCAACAACTCCAACAATTTGGTCTTGGAAAATCTGCACATCAATCGTCATCACATTGACAATATTAACCCTATCAACAGCAATTCCTATTCGTCCTCTCCACCGACTAACCACCATTCGGCTAATGCAACAACACAAAGTGATGTCTCCACAGCATCCGCCGCAGCCGCTGCGACAACAATTCATAAATCGTCTCATTGCACCGGCAGTCATGGTCGTGGTGGCAACAGTCCCACAATCCTTGAAAAAAAGAAATGCCTTGAACTGCAATCCACCAGTGGTGGCGTTGCCACCACCATCATTCACAACAGCAACAATAACAACAATTTATTGGATACCACCGGCGACATAGATAAGGGTCATTGCTGTATGGCAACATCATTGACCAGCATTTCATCAAGTGTGTCTTCCACGGCAGTCGTGACAGCATTACCGAGCACAGGTATGGCAAATGACATTCCGTTTTTTTAACATTCGTATTATTTTCCGTTCATTTTTATGTTTTTGTTATTGTTAACTAAATTTAACACTTTTTTAAGATATTACCCGAGAGCAATGGTATGTCCACCACACGCCCGCCCATCCTCAACACCAGTTGCCGGAAGAATTTGTTATGTATGCTCCCACATTGCCCACCAGCGGTTCTGCCTCGTCCATCGGTAAATTTGGCATTGAAAGTTCAACGGAAAGTTATTTGAATTCAAGATATAACGGTAAGTTATTTCGATAAAAAAAAATTAGTTAATTTTAGGACGAGGTAATATAATGTTAAATGAGGCGATAGTCGCCGACTTTATGATACCCTAGGGCCGACTTTATGATACCCTACACCCATTTACATATTTAGTAAAGCTTCATATAACAAATAAAAAACATAACAAATCGGATGAACAATATATTTGGGCTAAACATATGGGAGCTATATACAAATCTGAACCGATCTCGAAAAAATTTGGAAAATGTATTTCTGTGCCTATCTCGTTTCCTTTTGCCTGTTACCAACAAATGCACAAAGACATAATACCCTAACCACCTTGTGGTGTAGGGTATACATACATATCTGTAAAATAGGGACGAACGTTTATTTCAAAATGTCTTCAATTATTATTCAAAGAGCCCGAAAGGGGTATTTAAAGAATGGAATGGAATGGGAATTATTTAGAATAGTACGTGAGCTATTAGTGTCTGCTGAAATAAAAAAATAATAGGAAGTTTTAAAAAACGTATTTTTTCAATTTTTTTCATATCCAAACTTTTCACAAAATTGTAAAGTATTGTGGAAGAAATATATTAAAGTTACTCTGATCTTTTAGGTTAAGAATTCTTACTTTTTTAACCAAAAATAATATTATAATTTTTGAAAAATTGAAAGGATACGAAAAGTACCAAAATTGGCTAAAAATTGATTGCTTTGCATTGGTCAGACGTAACGAGTTAAAATTTTTGAAATTAGGGGTGAGAGTCATTGATGGAGTGCAGAATAGATCTACCAAAGGGTTTTTGGAAATTCGCACTTAAAGGTTACGAAAAGTTGAACTTCAAAATGATACCATTTGGCATTATGTGAACGGATAGAAATAAAAACGTGAAATTTGCAATGAGAAGGGTTGGAATGTACGCTTTATATATGTACGGGGTTTTGGAAATGTGCGAACTGTACTAAGTGGAACTAAATTTGGAACAGTTTGGAATAGTACTACATTAGTACTACAAAAGTACGGAATAGTACTACATTTGGTACTGGGTGAAAAGATAGAGATAAAATTCTGAAATTTGATATCGGTAGGAAATGCGTCCTATATTTGTACGAAAGGTACTTATTTGGCACTTAGATGAAGGGATAGGGCTGGAATCCTCAAAATTTGATATTGAGGTCTCTGTTGGAGACTGGAATTATGTTCAATAATAGTACGAAAAGTACTGAATAGTACTAAATTTGGTATGGGGTGAATGGATAGGTCTGCAATCCTCAAATGTAATATTGAAGTCTCAGTGTCTGGAATTGAGATAGAGAAGTGGTTCCGGAAATATGTCCCATAATTGTACGAAAAGATCCTAATAGTACTAAGCTGAAATTTTATCTGAGGTTCCGATATGTTTTCAAAATAAAATGTTGAAACTGTGCGAAAAGAACTAAATGCTACTAAATTTGGTATTGGCTGAAGGAATAGCGCTGAAATTTGGTGTGGATGTCACTTTTGGTGTCTGTAGTTGAGAAAAGGAAGTGATTCAGGAAATGCATAGGATAAGCATAAAATTCAACAAATTTTGCCGGTGTCTGTTGTCATAGAGATGGAAATCTGAAATTTGGTAAGGAGATCACTGTTGGTGCCCTGGGTGGAGAGAAGAATGTGGTTTTGTACATGCGTAGTATAACTGTACGAAAAGTTTGGTATTAGCTTTGGGATTGGACTTAACATAGAGCTGGAATTCTGAAAGTTGATATGGAGGCCACTGTTGTTGTATAGTTTTGAGAGAAGGAGGTGGATTTGGGAATTTGTACTAAATGGAACTAAATTTGCCGCTAAGTGGATGGATAGAGATTGAATCCTGAAATTTGATATTGAGGTCAATGTTGGTTCCAAGGTTTTAGATATGGTTGTGGCCAATTTCTATTATGAAAATACGTTGAACTAGGGTGTGGAAGATTTTGGATTTTTTGGTATAAAAATAACCAATTTTCGATTATCCTTTTCGATAAAGATAAACTTAAATATGAATAAAGTGTTATCGACCTAGTGCAGCTGAGAAGTTAATACGAATTACGAGTTTTGTTTGGAATTACTAAGAAGAACTGTCTAAGAGTCTAAGGTGGACTTTTCGCTAACGAAGTAGCGGACAATTGCTAGTAAAATAATTTCAAATATTTATTAAAAATCAAAATTCACATTTATATATCTGAACATTCGCAGAGAACACTTTTGAATTTAAAAAAAAAATTGAAAGCTAAATGAGCACTAGCATTGGTTTTTTATAGAGATTTCGACTTGGCTAAATCGGTCAGAAGAATTTTTTAAATCGAAACATTATAATTTCAGTAAGAATAATGTAAGATAAAAAACCACTTTCATAACCAATAATTCTTTTGCCAACTTTCACTCATACACTTGCAACTGTTTACCATAAAAAATGTTGAAACACAAATACATCAACTGTTTGTCTTTCTTATAATTTCATTACAGCACGTGCACGTTTCTACGCACCCCATGGTTTACAGAACATGCCTCGGGGGCTGACTGACTTTTTTTTTTTTGTTTGGTAAACAGTCGACGGCGACTTTTTTACGCTACGAATCGAACAAATATTTACATTGATTGTTATTGCTAAACAAGAAACATCCTTAATATGGGGAAACTCCTCCCACAACTGGTTGGGTAATACAAATCTTCAGATGTGTGGAGAAAAACTAATTTTCCCCAACAATGGTAGTAGACGTTGGGATGGACTGGGAAGTCTTGACTCATGACTCCTGTTGAGTGTTAATATGAATTCTCTTTCTTTTCGATTCTTTGATATTTAACATATTATTATTATTGTTGTCGTTGTTGTTATGATGTTGATAACAATCAACTGGCGACAAGCCGCAATTATGTTTAAGAATAGTCGACTTTGGTTAGTTGTTTTTTGTTGTTGTTGTACAAAAGAATAAAAAGAAAGATAGAAAAAGTGAAACTCAACTTCATTTCTTTTCCTTGCAGTGAATGTCAAAGGAGTGCGACATGAAAGAACCTCATCTTTTTTCGACATTCCAGCTGTGACGCATCCATACCCATGTTACAGGTAAATTAATGGAAACTCCCGCAAAATGACTTTTTTATTTGATGGTGGCTAAAGACGACAAGCCCCATGAACTGCCTCCACCTCAAAACGGGCTCATTGATATTAAATTGATTCGTCTGTCTCCGTTACCCACGACTGAGACGATGATAAACCGAAGGTTAAAGTTTAAAGTGATTTTTGTTGTTTCTTTCTGTTTTCTATTTCACATCTTCTCCGCCCGGCCTCATCTGCTTGAATATAGATTTCCATCATCACCACCTGCAGGGATTTTAAAGAAAAGCGATGAAGGTAAGTCGATTAAACTAAGACGATTTTCAGGTCACGAGTTTCGATACCAACCAACAACAATATAAGCCAAATGAACAATATTGTTTAAATTCATTTGTTTTAATTTAAGAATGAGAGCAAATATTAAAAAGAAACCAACCCGCGACATTGCGCGTTTTTTCCATTGTTTTCATTGTTGACTGGCAGGCGTCTTACAGGATTGTGGCAATTCTGAAAAACATTATGCGCCTCATCAACGCCATACCAATAACTGAATTTGTTTTTATTAAATTTTCTCAATATAAACAAATTGAGAGCAAAGAAATTTATCAAAAAAAAAAAACGTGGAATATCAGAGACAGCTTCTTGTTTTTTTCTCGGTTCCCACCATTCAAATGCTAAAATCATTGGCATATGACAGATTGCGTTCCCCCACGCCGTTCCCTTTGCAATAATGAACCGCTAACTATGCACCACCAGTAAAATGCGATTACGTTTTTTTTTAAAGAAAAAAAGTGAATGTAATCAATATTCCGGTTGAAAATCGTGTTGTTAGTTATCCGATTGTTTAACCAAATTATTTGGAACCATAATCCTGAAGTGAAATTTAATTTTCCCTTGCTAGGCATATTGCATATTGAAAATCGAATTAAGTTTGCAAAGAAAATTAATGGAGTATTGGAATGTGGAAATCACAAAATAAAATCTGTGCCGCCAATTATTATTTAGGATTTGAAAATAGTTATTTTACCAAACTTATATTAAATTCGATATGAAATATATTGTTTTCTTCACTAGAAAAAGGACAACCAAAAGTTCATTAAGGATGATCTTAAGGCATTATAATCCAATTAAGAACTCGTATGAGCTCTTTTTCGGCAGAAGTTCTGATAATATGGGAACCTGAATTTGTTAAAAAAAAGTTATGTTAGAATTACTATATAGTCAATTTAGTTCAAAAGCTTTCAACCTGAACCTTTTATCCATCAGACAGAATTAAAACTCTGTTAAAATAAGTCGATACATAATAGTGGAGCCATAATCTGAAGAACCAACGTTTAACCTTTAGCTGACGAGGTGATGGTAAATTCAACCCTCCCTTCACATTTTCTAAATATACTCTCTTTTATTGCGATGAATAGAAGTTTTGTTTAAATGAAAAAAAAAACTGTTTTTTTACTTATTGTAATTTAATAGAACAGCGTTGTCATGTTTGTTCGGGATACCATCGTATTTTACGGGGTGAGATAAAAAAATGCAATACAGTCAAAAGCCATATTTTTTACATTTTTTTAAATTGTGTTCAATAAAAGCAAAAAAGGTAGAAAATAGCATCAAATTTTAGGATAAGTTAAGATTTGTTCGAATTGGTCACCTTTGGCACGAATTATGGCCTTCAAACGGCCAATGAAACCGTCACACGCTGCCCGAATGTTGATCTGCGGTATTTTGGCCCATTCCCGGCGAAGCGCTTGCTTGAGGTGATCGACACTTTGGTATTTTTTAGTGCCAACCTTGCTTTCCAAAATACTCCAGACACAATAGTTCAGCGGATTAATATCCGGAGATTTTGGTGGCCATTGAACGCTGGAAAAGAAGCGAGGAACTTCATTTTGTAACCATTCTTGGGTGGCGCGTAACAATTCCGGTGCATAATGTCTTTAATATCATCAAAATACCGAATAAAGAGAAGTACTGTTATATGTAGGTTATACGAAGTCGTGGATCTGCATATACAATTTTCTGGTTTAGGTTGTAGTATCCATTTGAAACAATTCTGGAGAATAATGTCTTTAAAATTATCAAAACACCGAATATCGGGAGGTATCATTATATGGGGGTTATACGAAGATGTGGGCCTGCATAAGTAACTTTTTGTCATAGTTTGTTGTACTCATTAGGATCTTCCAATACGAAATTTGAAATAATTCCGGTTAATAATGTCACTAAAAATATTGGAAAGTACTGTTATATGGGGGTTATACGAAATCGTGGACCGACATGGCCCATTTATGAACTTAACTTGCCTACTGGCAAAATACACATGTGTGACAACAGACAGAGGGATTTCGCTAAATCCGCTCAGAACCAAAATAAATAAAATATAAGTTCCGTCAATGTTGATATTGTGCACCTTTGAACATTTGTACCTTCGACGTATTTCGGTAAGATTCATATAAATACATGTGTTCAAATTCAGTTGTGAAAAATGTCGAAGGCGTAAGTCTGGTATTAGTTAGGGGTGTGATAAGGTAAATTACGGAATATACACAGTAGGACACCCTTTTTATACCCTCCACCATAGTATGGAGGGTATATTAAGTTTGTCATTCCATTTGTAATACCTCGAAATATACATTTTAGACCCCACAAAGTATATATATTCTTGATCAGCATAAAATTCTATGTCGATTTAGCGATGTCCGTCAGTCTGTCCGTCTGTGGAAATCACTCTAGCTTCCGAAGGTCCACGTCGTCGTATGAAGTCGGTTGATAAAATTTTACTCAAATGTGTATTATGTCTGCAGGACTTTTGGTATTTAGAATGGGTCATGTAGATCCACGTTTTGGTATAGCCCCCATATAATGGTACCTCCTTTTATTTTGGCGATTTAAACGACATTCTTCACCGGAAATATTCCAAATTTGAAGTTCGAAATAAAAACAAGAACCTAAGACAGAAATTTGTCTGTGCAGGTCCACGTCTTCGTATAATCCCCACATAACGGTAAATCCGATATTCGATATTTTGATGATTTTAGCGACATTATTCACCGAAATTGTTTCAAATTTAGTGTTTGAAGTTCGTGACAGATGCTACAGCCTATGACAGAAAATTGTCTTTGTAGGTATAAGTCTTCGTGTAGCCCCCATATAACGGTATCTCCATATATTCGGTATTTTGATGATTTTAATGATGCAGGTCCACGTCGTCGGGGCTATACCCCTCATATACATTCGGTATTTTTAAGATTTTAACAACATTTTTAACGGATTTGTTTTATTATTATTATTATTTTTTTTTTTTTTTTTTTTTGAAAAAATCTTTCCAAATGATTGAGGGTATTCAAAGATCGGCCCAGCCTGTTTCTGTACATTTCGAAAATTACATTTTCAAAAACACGATTTGTTATTATTTCCTTATTTCTGTATTTATTTCTGCCATTGCGAAACACTCTTAACCCTTTTTCAAATTAAATTTCAATCGGCCCTCCACCTGAAAAAGATTCATAATAATTTGTTTTTATTTTTCACACAATCTGTAATAATCTGCTTAATGATAAACAAAAGAACAACATCGGCAGTATAGCTAAATGGCCATCATAAGGTCGACTTACCAACTCCTCTCCTCCCCCCCCTCTTTTTTGGCCAAATAAAGCCATTTAAAAACAATGAGGATTAATTAAATATACATGGATTTGTTTGCTACTCCCACAACAAACACAGCAACAGCTTTTAAATAAAATTCTTTGGTTGTTTTGCCCCTTTCGCATTACTTAACGTTGCGTTATGTTTGTAGGTATGTTCGAATATTAAATGTCTGTGCACTCAACGAAGCGAAAATACCTGTAAATTGTGCGAGTCAATTTAGGCCAGGTCGCAACTAAGTATCCTCCTCGTTCGTTGTGACTGCATCTTGAAAGCGATATGCAGAGAATGTTTGCCACGGCCACAATGTGTTGCCACTGGTGCTCTACGTTTCGTTTCGACCCACTCGCTTCTGTTGAAATATTCAACAGATTCCTGCATAATCTATGAGCAAGTGTCGGAGTGGCATGAGTTAATACTCGTGCAGTGCAGACAGAGCTTTGGTAGTGTGTGTGTGTGCAAGGATGTTTGCTTTTATGAAAACTCAATCCAAACGGCGGAAAGGGCAACAACAACAACAAAGAAACATTAATAATAACAACATCAACAATCATCAGATACCAGAACGACCAGTGGTGTGAGAAGTAATGTCTGTCATGGGGGGATGCTGAGGTGAGGGTGAGTTGTTGAGCAAAACCGATAACTTAATGGAGATGAAAATAGAGTTAAAATGTTGCGTAAACATTCCCACAGGATCATCAAATATTAGCCGTAGAAAAGGAAAACTGAATCCCAAGAGGTGGCAGGAGTTTCAAGAAACAAAAAAAGGGGGAAATTTTAAAGCGGTCAATACTTTGTTGTATTACAATAAACAAGTAAAATAATATCAGTCGGTTTTGCCGACAGATGTATAGCCCCAGCCTTGAGTTATGATTATTCAAACGGTTGATCCTTTATGGGGGTGATTCCGAAGCAGTTGGCCAATTCGTATCTGACCCAAGACTGAAAAAATATTACAACGTGCCAGATTTGTGTGCAATTTGAAGAGAGTTGGATGCTTATATCGCTTTCTTTGACCAAGTCTGAATGGAATCGGATGTCAATTTCGCGTTTAATGAGCCTCATTGATATTTAAAATTTTGACCCTCTTCACACCAGACCTTGGATTAATAAAAATATTGTGATGTATGCAATTTGAAGACAATCAGACCCATCAAATTTTATAAGAGTTATAATTATTCAAAATGTTGACCCTTCGTGGGTGACGTAGTTGCTGGAGTGACCGATATTGTTCATTTTCGCACCTGACCTAGCACAGATGGAAATATTAAGATTTGCAAAGTTAGAGCAAAATTGGATTATCCTTTCTCTTTCTGTGCAGTAAATTATTATTATTTTTTTTGGAAATGTTGACCTTTTGTGGGTGAGGTACCGGAGGGGGTGGACGAATATTACCCATCTCCGAAATCGATCTAAGTTTGACAATAATATTATGATGTACCAAGTTTGGATCCAATCGGATACTCCCTTCGAGAGTTTTCGTGCGCACCAGCCAGACAGACGGATAGACGGACGGACGGACATCGCTAGATCGACTCTAAAATGTCCTGAGACGGATTTGGTCCAAAGAGACCTATGGTCTAAAATCGTTATTTCGATGAGGCAAGTTTTGGCCGTATCAAATCATATATACCTCCCTAGCCATATGGCTGAGGGTATAAAAATGTTGTCAAATTGAAAAAGCAGTAAAGTTCGGCCGGGCCGAACCTTTTATACCATCCTCAATTTTAAAAGTAACTCATGTAAAAATATGTCTATAAATGCGGAGGTATGTCTGTTATTAGGAACATCCAATCCACGCTTCAAACAATTCTTTAACAAAAACTGCTACAATATCAGGATGATAGGGGCTATAGAAAAACGTTGACTTAGGTAGAAATTATAAGTCATTATATAATATGGCTAAAATCGTCAAAATTCCGAATATTGAGAACAATTTATTATAGGGGAGAAAAAGAAAAAAATGAGGTCCTATATAGGCAATATTCTGCAACAAGAGGTAAAATATATTTTAAACTCTAAATACCGAATTTTAATTTTTTCCATTAGAAAGTGCTACTAAAAGCGCCAATCTACCGAATATGGGGAGGTACAATTATATGGGGACTATACGAAAACGTTGACCGATATGGCTCATCTTCGATGTTGACCTGACTACAAACAAAAAACAAGTCTATGCAAATTTTTAGCTTCCTATCACATGCTGTAGACGGACAGACAGGGCTAAATCGACTTTAAATGATAAACTAAGTGTTCCCTCCATACTATGAATGTGGAGGACATAAAAAGGTCTAACACGAACTATTGGAACGAATCTATAATTTTAGGGTGGACTTTTCGCTGACGAGGTAGCGGGCACTTGCTAGCGGTGATTTTTTTAGTAAACAATAATGTTATTAAGATTTATTCTGAATTCTTGGATAGTTTTTACCTGGCTTTCTTTTTCCACTACAAATTTTGGATCATTAAAGTTCGTCTCAAGTTCTCCTGTGTTCCATTTGCCTTATTACCATAACTAAAACGCCTAAATAAAACCATTAAAGACCCCAACTGTTATCGTCTAAACTATTTCGTTTCAGAAAATTCATTTTGCAATAATTCTGTCGTCTCATCATCCCTTCAATTTGGTCAACATTTTCACAATTCCAAAGCGGAACATCCCGACTCGACGACTACCTCGCATCTCAGCAATCCGCACAACCCAGCTGCCCATCCACATGCTCATCATCATCCGCACCATCACACATTTAATCCTCATCACCATCCTCACCATTTGTCGCCTCATCATTCGTCGGCATTTAAATTTAGTCATTCCAATGTTTTGAGTTCCACCTCACCGCCCAGTGTTTACCATCATCATCATCATCCACACCATCAGTATAGTGGACAGAATTCATCGTCGGCGTATGGTTTGAGGACATCATCGGATATAACATCACTAACCTTGGCTCCCGTGTCTACCACATCGGAGGTGGATATTAAATATGAAAATCCCTACAATACGGCGATATCCTCCAGCTATGCTCTTAGGTCGGGAAATTGTGTAGACTCGTCGACGGGAGTTTCGTCCTCTGACTCAGATTTCAAACTGGAGAGTCTGTATGCGGCCAATAATGGCATTACTACCAGTCACACTGTCAGCCAAAGACGAGGATCTCTACAATTGTGGCAGTTCCTAGTGGCTCTGCTGGATGAACCCACTACAAAGTAAGTAGTTCACTTCTTCTTCTTCTTGTTGTTCTTTAATTTTACCTAGTGTCATCCGCAAATACTAATCTATTAGCTCCAGCTGCATTGCCTGGACGGGTCGTGGCATGGAATTCAAATTGATCGAACCGGAAGAGGTGGCACGTCGCTGGGGCATACAAAAGAACCGACCGGCCATGAACTATGACAAACTGTCCCGCAGTCTACGCTACTACTATGAGAAGGGCATCATGCAAAAGGTCAATGGCGAACGTTATGTTTATCGATTTGTTTGCGATCCAGAGGCATTGTTCAACATGGCCTATGGTCATCTCAATGCCGGCTCGAATTCCACGGGAGGAACAGGTTCAAAAATCGAAGGTCATCAGCATCATCACCACGCCCACCACGGCCACGGTCATTTGTTGCCGTCGGTAGGAAAGAATAATTTAGATGCTGGACTGTTGTTAAGAGATACCAGTGCGCCGGGCGCATTAGACGACGACTCGACAAATCGTGAAAGGTCTTCCACGAATCACATCTCCATAGCTGCGACTAAGCATCACGAACAGCTGTATTATGGGAAGTTTTAATGTGTGTTCGACGGATGCACACCATATATCTTTATTGTATGTATGTATGTATATCAGTAGATTTCAATTGCAGTGTTGAGAGGACATGTGAGATATTATGGAGGTAAAAAATCAAGTATTGTTGAATTCTTAATAAAATTAACAAACCTATATACATACATACTTTGTTTTATTTGCATATTTTAATGTTAACAGTTATTGTGGGGATATCAGATTCAAGAAAACTAACAAAAAATTGAGATTAGGATACAGAATCCTTTTTTTCTAACTTGTTTTGAAGTCGATCCCGTTTTCAAAACAACAACTCTATTGATGTTTGCAGCTATATATTTATCCAAAAATACCAGAAAATATGTGTTACAAATCTGAATTTGAAACACATTTACATTTCAATACAAAATAAACACTTAAATCTATTTGCAAAAAAGGACATTATGATTAAGTACTACAAAAAAAGTGATCTAGAATGGCTCAGGAAGTTTTGGCTTTCTTGGCAGGAGACTCGCCATTTTCTTCTTTGTCTTCTTTCATTTTCTCATCTTTACCGCTGTCTGCCTCGTCATCGGAATCGCTGCCACTGCTGCTACTACTCGCCGATTCGTCTTCGCATTTCCGTTTTTCGGCCTTCTTGGGGCATTCGGATTTTAAGGTGGCGGCATAACTTTTGACCTTGTCCGGCTGTGGACTGTATGCCCAGTGGATTAACTGCAGATGGAGATCACTTGGCTTGCCTTGGTCATCGAACAGCTTGGCATCTTCTTCTTTGATTTTTGCCAAAATTTTGGCAATATTCCTGTTGCGTATGATGTCCCATGATGTGCTGTCGTCCTCCTCGGGGTACATGGTGCGTAGATGTTTGTAGTTGCCCTTGGCTTTGGGACCGCCGTAGGCTTTGAGGAATTCCGCTTGCAATTTGTCTTCGGGCTGGGGTAATTTAGCAATGACATCGTAGGCAAAATAGGCACGATTGTTTTTCATGAGATTTTCGGTTTCAAATTTTTCGAGGAAATCTTCCAGAATTTTTACACCTTCCTTGATGGATTGGATTTTCTCTTCATTTTTAGTGCCAGATAAAACACGTTTCGAGCTGCCGATAAGACCTTTAATGGCCAACTTTTGATATTCAGGATCGCGGTCTTCTAAAATTCTGCAAAGAAATATAGATGGGGAGAATTGTCATTTAAATGTTGGTATTTCATTCAAACAAAGAAATAATAAAATAGATTAAATTGTACTCCCTACCGTATGAGTAATGCATACCTCATACGTCGTATTGTTACACAAGTACACAAGTGAAACGAAAGATAAATAACGTTTTTAGAGAATAACCAGTAAAGAGAGTCTTAAAGTCGCTCGGGTCCGACTTTATGATAACCTACACCACTTTGCATATTTAGTAGAGCTTCACATAACAAATACAAGTTTTTATGCAGAATTTGTGAGAATTAAGTAATACCAAATATGATTATAATTACAATTTAAAGTCCAACGGAACTAATATATATCTCTCTCTGAATCGAATTCTACTAAATTTGCCGAGGCATTTGTGCTTTTTCAATTCGGGGTGGTATTACTCATTTGGTGCACAATTAACTTGAAATCGCATAAAGGTATATATGGGACCTATATCCAAATCTGAACCGATCTCGATAAAATTTGGGTTCAATAGGGTTCGTCCTTGGGTCAAACAAATGATTCTGCGACCTGTACTTTGTTTACAAAAATATATGGACAGACATACGGATATGCATAAATCGACTCATAATGTGATTCTATGCAGATCATGAAAAGGAACTATGGGTCTATCCCGTCTCCTATTGCTTGTTACAATCAAATGCACAAATACGTAATACCCTGTATGATAAAAAATATAGACTTAATGTCATCATGTCGTTATTATTATTATTATTATTATTATTATTATTATCATTATCATTATTATTATTATTATTATTATTATTATTATTATTATTATTATTATTATTATTATTATTATTATTATTATTATTATTATTATTATTATTATTATTATTATTATTATTATTATTATTATTATTATTATTATTATTATTATTATTATTATTATTATTATTATTATTATTATTATTATTATTATTATTATTATTATTATTATTATTATTATTATTATTATTATTATTATTATTATTATTATTATTATTATTATTATTATTATTATTATTATTATTATTATTATTATTATTATTATTATTATTATTATTATTATTATTATTATTATTATTATTATTATATAAATTATAAAAACCTTCTATGTACTTTCACCGTTAGATTATGACATTTTATAGTTCAGTAGGAAATGCGAATATTATGAACTGTATAGATCACTACTTAATGAAGTCATTTGTCAGATATAAGGTTGTATTCTGTTGCGCTTGAAAATGTTACAAGCCAATACATCTGTGGATAAACAAATTGTTGACATCATCTACATTTTTAGCTCAAACTTTAAACAAGTTTTCACTCAATGCCAATACATAATTGTTGGTCATTAAAACACAACTCTATTTCAAACACCACATAAAATATTAACAAACATCATCGTGATGGAGAATGAATTTCAAATACGCATTATTGTTTGGGCTTCGTCGTTTATGCTCGTTTATATTCCCAATGAGTGTTCGTCTATTCTCTGTTTTTTTTTTTTCAAATGTCACTGATGTCCATACATGTGTACGTCATCACATCCACTAAGGTATTTTTTGTCTTCCGACTTAACGACAATATTAATTATAATGGCAAGATGTGCTATTTATTAGTCCACGGTTGTGTTTGACTCAATATTTATTTATATGAACACGGTCAATGCATGCGAGTGTCGAGAGAGTGTTCATAAGCAGCCGGCAAAAGTTTACGATAAACATTAGTCAATTGTTTTGTTGTTTTCTTGTATATATGTACCTACCCACTATTTTGATTGTGTTTATGGCATTATGTATATATGTACATACATTACTATACTCAAACACCATACATATTTTAAATATACCTAAGAGTATATACACATATTTTTCGTTGGAATTTCATCAATGCAATTATTGGAATTTAAATACAAGTGTGGACCTTATAAAAGTTGGCCGAAATTAAAAATAAGGCTAATTAATACAAACATATTGGCTTCCTCCCAAGTCCACAATGATGAAAAATGGGAATTTCAAAACATATATATACATAGGGTAAGTGTGCCTAAGTTCGGCATGTCCCAGTAGTCGGCACTTCTTATTTTTAAGCCCAAATAAATGAAACTATTATAACTAAATGTATTTTGTTTACTTCAAATATATTGTCAGCTATTTTTGTGTACAATTTCGCTAATAAAAGATGATTTATTCTAATAAAAATTAAAATTTTGTCTATGAAGATCCTCAACAATCCATATTCTTAAGAAAAGTACAATAAAGACGTCGAATCAGTTTAAGTAAACAAAAATATTATATTTTAATGAATTAATTTATTATTATTATTAATTATTCTTACAAAAAAATTGGTATGCCGACTGTTGGAACATGCCATACCGACAATTAGCAAGTGGTGCCGACAACTGGCAAAAAAGCATTGTTTTAATAAAACTGCAAATTTATGAAATTTAATAAAAAGTTATTAAAAATTTATTTATTATTGCAAAAACTATATAAAATTTCGAATCTGAATAAATTAACTTTGTAATAATTGAAAAGTTCCACTCAGAATGGTGAGCGATTAAAAACGAGAAAATCCTAAAAGTGCCGACTACTGGTACACTTACCCTATGTATATATTAAGGGCAAGCAATGACATCACATGTAAACATGCATACACTTAAAATTGTAGCATGTCATAATAGGTAACTGCAGATCGATATAAAAAAGTCACTTTTTTGTGGGAAAAAGTTCGTCATTTACACCAAACATGCCTGAAGAGCTGCTTGGTCTTTCGTAAAATAACTAAGGAGCGTAGGGTTAACAAGTATGGATTATGGGTCAAAATTAAACTAAATCAAACTTCTATTTTTGAAGAAGTAAAAAAGCTGTTAGTTTGGCCGATCCGAACTTTGCAATGTTCAAAAAAAAAATAAAATCCGTTAAAAAATCTGTTAAAATCTTAAAAATGCTGAATGTAGCCGTTATATTAGGGTCTATACGACGACGTGGACCTGCTTAAGCAACTTTTGTCATAAGCCTAAATAAGCTAATAAGCTAAACTGGAAAAAAAATCGGTGAAGGATGTTGCTAAAATCATCAAAATACCGAATATAGGGAGGTACAGTTATTTGGGTGCTATACGAGGACGTGGACCTGCATAGACAATTTTCTGTCATGGGCTGTAGCATCCATTACGACCTTAAAGTACCAAATTTGAAACAATTCCAGTGAATAAAGTCGCTAAAATCATCAAAATACCGAATACCGGAAGGTACCGTTTTATGGGTGTTATACTAAGACGTGAACCTGCATAGACAATTTTCCGTCATAGGTTGTAGTACCCATTACGAACTTCAAATACGAAAGTTGATGCAATGCCGGTGAATAATGTCGCAAAAATCCTGGAAATACCGAATATCTCAGTGCATCATCGTGCACCTATATAGACAGTTCTTTGTTAGGGGCTAAAGCACTCACAGTGAACTCCTTGTGCAGAATTTCCGACAATTTCATTAAAAAAATGTTGCTAAAATCATCAAAATACGGAACGTCGAGAGGTACAGTTATATGAGAGATATACGATATCGTGGACCTATATATTATTCTCTTTCAAGGGGTTAGGTACTCAGACGGAACTCTTTGTGTCGATGTTAAACCAATTCAATTGAAAAATGTAGCTAAAATCATCAAAATACCGAAATTCGGGAGGCACAATTTTTACAAATGTTTTCATTCAAAAATTTTAATTTCAAAATTTGTTTGACAGTTCATTGTCCCAGCAGCTGTGTCGATGCAACTACCTGTATTCTTCTATCATGGTTAAAAGCGATAAAAGTATGTATGTTAAAATCTTTGCTTTAACGAATGGAATTGACATTTGAAAATATATGCCTAAAAATGTCCTACTAATTTAAAGCAAGAAACCCCTGACATTTCGAGTGATAATCCCTCTAGACAAAGTAAACTATAACCGGGCTTGTAAATCCATTGTAATTATTGAATGATTTTGAACAATTTCGGTTTTACCAAAACACTTTCCTGTTCAAAATGTTTACCTTCATTTCTGTGTGGATAAGAAATTGCCTTAAACTTCAACACGAATATGTTTGAATACCTTGCTGAGATCATGGTTATTTTACCCCCATGTCCATAAATATTGAATCTAGGGGAAAACTAAAATCAAAACACAGTGTTATTATGTTAGTTCAAATAACTTTGTCTACAAAAATAAATAAATAAAACTACCAAATGACATCATTTCAAATACAGACCTTCGCGCTGTTAAATCTGTTTGTCATTTGTTTTGTATTTGTATCGAAACAGAAGTGAAAACAACGCATATCAAAGGAATAATGAAGTGAGAAAAGAAACACAAAAATATATTAAGCGATATAGGTGCACACTTTGAATACCAGCCATATGGCTGAGTGGCGAACCCATATATGTGGTGACCTGACAATAATCGATCGGTTTTTGTTAAAAACAAAATTCTATATCCTCGTATATCTAAGTTGAAAATAAATCGACTTACTTTAACGTTTTCTCAGCTGCCTCCTTATCCTTGAAACCTAGACCAGGCACCGTTTCCACCTTATCGTCAGTGGTGGTTTTGGCATTTTTGTTTGCCGCATCGCCGCCGTTCTCTGCTAACCATTTCTCAAACACCTCTATAGCATCATTGATATTTTTAACTTTATCTTCGGCTTTGGTCACTAAAAATTCAACAGCGACGAGGAGAGAAATCAAATCTGTTAGTATTTCGCTCTAATGGAATGTTTCGGTAATAATCGGCTTACTCGATAGAACACGTTTCGCTCTGCCCAATAGACCACGTACGGTTAGTTTCCGATATTGCATGTCATGGCTTTCCAAGAGGACCAGAGTCTCCTCGGCCTTTTCCTTATTTTTGAATCCGAATTTTGAATCTTCTTTATCAGCCATGGTGACAAGTATTTTCACTTAAATTCGTATTTTGCTTCTTTCAATACGCACGGCCAAAGCACAACTGAATTTTCAAATTTCGAACATATTCGTAAGTTCTTAAAATATTTTAACTCGGTCTACTGCGGGCATCTGTGTGTATGGTTGTTGTATGTTTCCCATACTTTTTATACGTAGGTATATTAGCAAGTGGCATTACGTTTTGCTAGTGTTGGGCTCAGTTAGCTATTTGTTGATAGTAAACAAGAAATGCTCTCCACAATGTTTCTAATAAAACAAGAGTCGCTGTGTGTGTGTGTGTCTGTGAGCACCAGTTTGGAGCACAAAGAGTGTCATTTCGACATACATAGCTCCACACATTTAAGAATGATGTCATTATTTTCACCTCAAATAGCTGAATGTGAGTAGCGTTTATCGCATGAGATAGATTTGGCCGAATGTTTCAAATATAATAAGAGATTGTGTGAAACATATTACTCTTTATTAGTAGAAAATAAGCACAGTTTGTTTACCAAATGATTCCATGTGTAGAATAAAATATATAAAACTTAACTGTCTAATACATTCCATGCCCAAATAGATATAAATGATAAATACTAGTTGAAAAATGATTCCAATCAAGATATCCCTATTTAAAATAAGGACAAAGACCTAAAATGGTAAAGACTGGAAAAAATGCATTCTGAGCAAATGTTTTGTGTCTATACTGTCTAGATAACAGCTCAAGACCGGACCATGTTAATATAAAAAAAAACACATTTATAGAAAAAATGACAAACAAAACTTTGAAAACTCCAAAAATTTGGTTTCAAAATTCTATTCCATAGACTTTCCCAATTAATTACATATTGTCTAAGCGGTTTAAATCGCTTAACATTGCTAACTATGTTGTTACGATATCATAACAAAAGAGGTACTTTCACAGGGTTGCCACATCTTGACTCTGTCTTGTCCCATCTTTATACTTCTATGTCTTTGGATATCCAGGATATCCAGCTCTTCATTTTTGAAAATATAACCAAAGACATAGAAGTATAAAGATGGGACAAGGCAGAGTCAAGATGTGGCAACCCTGTAAAGACTGGACAAAATGCATTCTGAGCAAATGGTTTGTGTCTATACTGTCTAGATAACAGCTCAAGACAGGACCATGTTAATATAAAAAAAACACATTTATAGAAAAAATGACAAACAAAACTTTGAAAACTCCAAAAATTAGGTTTCAGAATTCTATTCCATAGACTTTCCCAATTAATTGCATATTACCTAAGCCGTTTAAATCGCTTAACATTGCTAACTATGTTGTTACGATATCATAACAACAGAGGTATTTTCACAGGGTTGCCACATCTTGACTCTGTCTTGTCCCATCTTTATACTTCTATGTCTTTGTTATGATATCGTAACAACATAGTTAGCAATGTTAAGCGATTTAAACCGCTTAGGCAATATGCAATTAATTGGGAAAGTCTATGGAATAGAATTTTGAAATTTTGAAAAAAGGTTTAATTGTACATATCCATACAAAATTTTACCTTGATAAAACATTTTATCCCGAAGCCCATATTCTTAGGATTCATTGCTTAATATTAATTTAAACAGGGATAGGTAGACCCATCGACATGGCTGCCGATTTTAAAATTGAACATGTTGAATGAAAAATGATTGAAATATGTAAAAATTGTTGAAAAATTCATATGATATCATCCTCCAATTTGGGTCGTATGAGAAAACATATAAAAATATCCCTGATTTCCCCAAGCGTTGATGCATCTACCCGTATTTTTCTTCCATGGCACGGTATAAATATAAGAAAGTAGAAGCAAAACCATAGACAAATAAACGTATAGACATAGACAAATAAATGTATAGACTAACAATTTTTTAAATTTACCCCTTTCGGCAGATGTTACTATGGTTGATCTTGGGCCAGTAAAGTCACTCAAGGCACTAGCCCTCGCCTCGACTTCGAAAACTATTTATTCATTTTTCTGCTATTTAAGTTCTACATTTTTATATTTTACGACATAGTTGGGTAATGTAAATGTAAACAAAGTCACTACTTTGGTCACTATTTCATTTCCAATTGAAAAATAATACTAAATCATAAAAATATTTAATATTTTGTATTTTGAGAAAATTGAGTGATAGTCTTATGCTTTCTCATGCTCGCGATTTCTTATGACAACCATCAATCGATTTCGTATTAAAATCAAACAATACCAAATCCTATTTTGCCTTATGGAAGTTCTACAAAAATGCAGATATCAACATTTAAATTCCTGCCCATGAATACCCGTAAAAGTGGCAACATAGACCTAGCGTCGCATGTCACTTTAAAACTCCACCCCTAAATTGACATATGGCAACATATGTTTGAAGAAAAAGAAGAAGCAGACAAAATATACACAATTTAATTCATTTAATGTATGTTTAATAGAATAATTCGAATAATATTATTAAAACTCTGCAAATTACATCTTTAGAGAGTTCTCGTTTTACCGATATAGTCTAAATTATCCAGTAAACAAGTAAATACAGTGTTCTGATGGGACAATGAACATTCACAAAATACTGAAACTATATCAACATCAACAGTTCTTACAAGCAATTGAAAACTGTTTGGTGTGAACATGTCATTAGCTTTTTTAGAGTTATAATAGTCGCCGCTTCTTTTAAAGAAATTAATTTTTTTTCCTGTCTCAATTTTATTACGTTAACAATTTAATCGATGAGAGAGAGAGCGTTTAACGAAAATATAGATTGGATATTTAAAATAAATTTGAAATGAAATATAAATTTTCTCTTTTATCTTTGTTTGAATTTCGACGCCGACAAAACTGGCAGCAGGTCGCCGCCGATTGGTTTACACCCGATGAGCCGCCGTTGCTAAAAATACTTTCCGCTTCGTTGTCTGCGGCAGAACAAAATATACACAATTTAATTCATTTAATGTATGTTTAATAGAATAATTCGAATTCGAATAATATTATTAAAACACAGCAAATTACATCTTTAGAGCGTCCTCGTTTTACCGATATGGTCTAAATTATCCAGTAAACATGTGAAGTAAATACAGTGTTCTGATGGGGCAATGATGTGTACTGATGGAAGGGTGGAGCGGACAGACACAACAAAAAACTATTTCTAGCAACAAATTGTAAGAAAAAAGAAACAACAAAGACAAAAAGTAAACAAAATTGAAAGGCGCCTTCAACTGGTCATTGGGGAAGAGGAAAACCAATTTAAGTTGGGACAGATCTTAAGATGTCCAACGATGTTCATTTGGCCAAAGTGAGTAAAATCCACAGAAATGTCACAACAAAGGGTGCAATCACTAGCCGCAGTAACTTCCGTCTGAATAACAAAGGAGGAGGCGGCGAAGTTATTGACGATATACGCCCTTCTACGGATGAAGAGTATTTGTTTGGCAGCATAAGCCCCAGGGGCGGCGGTTGTATCACAATGGCACAACACTTTTCTGGAGGAGATTTATTGGATTCTCCAGATCACACGCAACGTGACACAACTGAAAGCGATAACAACATAAGTTCCTGTTCTACATTGGATATTGTTAACAAGGTAAGTGGAGGAAGAAACGACACCGATGGGCAGAATTAATTTGGAGGTCATCATTTCAACAATTCAGTAGGGACGGTTGGGGACTATGTGTTGCAATTTTCTTTGCGCAGATGCGTGCCGAAACGCATTACAAAAACATAAACCTAAAAGCACCAGCTGTAGTAGGTGCAAGCGAGTTGGAGAGTGAAGATGACGTTGAGGCTATTACGAAAAATTCCAATGTATTGGCACATTCAAATTACTTGGGAAATATAATAGAACGAAAAACAAGAAAACAAAAAATTCCACAAGGCCCGACGTAATAACTTTGTATCAATGTTCCTAGGCCACAAATAGGAAAAATGATCTCAGAACAGCTGTTGAGACGAAGTGTTAGTTGTATGTGTTGCTCGGAACAACAACGTCAGGAATCAATGTTAAAGCGGCAGGAAATACGGCGTAGTTGGGAATATACTCTAGTGGCACAGCCAATGCCTTTAAGGCCTATTAATGTCTGCCCCTATAAACGACCTTACTGAGTGCCTCTAATCTGTTATTAATCAATATTTCAGGTGGATAATCTTTCCCTGCAACAACTAGAGGCTAAGGTACGCGAACTTACACAACTGCTAATCCAGACTGAGGAGCAAAAATCTGCGATCCAACAACAACTCGAAGATTGTAAAGCTGAGAAGGAACTATGTCTGCGTAGACTTGAAGTTGTAAGCGCTGCTCATGAGTGTCGCATAACGGAAATGCACTGCGTCATTGCCGAGTTAAGCAAGAAACTTCGCAACAAACAAGAATCTACGATATTAGAAGAGCAGGAGCCCGAAGGCAGTGGTAAGTTCCTTAAGATATCACTAGGTTTTTTGTTTGATTACAGTGTCGAATTTTAGAGATCAGTTACCAAGAGGGCTCTGTCTACAACTCTGAGCTAAATTTGACAAATCCCGACGCAGAATGCCAAACTGATCCTCTTGAAGAAGCGGAGTATTCGCATGCAGAAGTTGACCATAATTTATGTAGTGAGGTAACAGATGAAATAAAACTCTCTGACATAAACTACAAGGCACAAGTTGAGGTAGGACTGAATAGTTTCGTACGACTGGAATTGATCAAAAATAATAGCTTGGAACTGTTTTAGGCACTGCAAGAAGAAATACTGCACTTGAAGGCACAGGTGGCTTTGTTACAATCGGAGGTCAATGCCAACTGTACATCTGGCGTAGCCGTCGGGTCCGCTGTAGAAGAGCCTCCAAGCATTGAACACTTTGGCGCCGATGTTGCCACTCAAAGTTTGGATTCCCCTTCGCTGCAACTAACGCACAAAGACATTGATGATCAAGTGCTTAACGACTTAAATAACACGTCGACACTTACGGCCGTCGAAGATACCTATGTTACTAGTCCACACAAAACTCCTGCAATTCCTAAAATGGCTGAACGAGTTCGCTTGAAATGTGCGAGCAAAACGGAAGTGGACAACATAACAGGCATGGATCTGAGGAATATGGAGGTGGGTGTAAGCAAACTATCATATCGCCACTGTCAATTAATTATTTCTCCTCGCTTTCTAGATTAAAAACGCCAACATTGTTGAGCATTTGGTCTCTGACTTAAAACAAAACAACAGCACCTTAATGGAGTCTTTCACCGAACCCTCGCAGTTGGACAATGAACTGCAGCGCTTGCAACGAAAAGTAGAACACTTGAAAGTTCAAAACACGGTACTGTCACTGACCCTAGACGAATCCAAGGAGCATTGTGAACGCCTATACTTGTTGTGCGGCAAATATGAGTCGAATGCGATAGCTTTGCAGGTGGCCTTAAACTGTAGTGATCGTGCAATTGAAGCATATGATGTTATGCTCGCTTTACTGGAAAGCAAGTAAGCACTAAGACGGAAATGAACTGAAGAATTCGTAAACATGTGCATTTGTTTGTATTTTTTAGATTGGGCCTCATCAAGGAGAAATCATCAGCTGCCGAAGAAAGTAGAAAAGCTGTAGAATCTGTAGCCAGACATTTGTTGGATCGCTTAGAAAGCGAAAAAAACATTTGTGAAAATAGTTTAGGCCCCTGGCAAAATAGGTAAATATATTGTTACAATCGGTAGAAAATAACAAGAACTTGTCTAATCTATATATTCTCTATATGCAGTTTTAGTATTCCCGACAAAGTGTCTTCAAAGCCATGGACACCGGAAGATGACAACCGTCTGCGTTACCATGTATCAAAACTAAAAGGTAGACGTTCGAATGTACAAAATACCATTGTACAGTTGGAGTCGCCATTCAGCGATTCATTTGAGAAGTCACGGCTAGCTTTGGAAAACAAAAAGGAATTAAGTGGAAACAAAGAAAAATCCTCAGCTGTAGATTTGGAAATGGCTGTTTTAATGCAGGAACTATTGAATCTACGTGAAGAGAACATAGCTTTGAAGATGAAAACAGAACAGGCAGAACGAGACAAACAATATGCCAACGATCGAATAGAAGTTTTGCACGAAGCGTTGAGTAACTTTAAACAGCTGCAACTACAATTCAACTCGGATTCATCGGAATTGTTCAATCATCAACACCACCAACGGCAAAGCCATGTGGAACAGCAACGAGCATCCTATTCTGAGGCGGAGCATGCTGCTCTTACTGAGCAGCAGTTGATCGAAGCACTTGGCAGAGAAACTGAACTCAAAGGACGTATACAGTGTCTAATTGCTTCTGTGACAGAAACGCAAAAAATGTCAGATGAAAAATACGAACATCTGCATACAAGTGTTAGGGAATTACAAAAAACCAATCAGTAAGTATGAATTCAAAATAACTTCCGACTAGAGTAAGAACATTTACATTGAAATTTCATCATATTTAGGAGTCTTACACAAATTATTGAGCAGAACAAACGAAAATACCAAACTCGAATACGTCGGTTGGAACAGAAAATTATGGATATTACACTGGAAATGGGCCGCCAACAACAGCTGACCAGTGATATTCCACAGGTAGCATTCGGCGCAAATAAATACAAGTACAGACAGCATGTTTCGACACATAACTCAAACGCGACCCCACCACTCACATCCTCTTCGGCCCATCTAAGGCATGTGGAAAATGTTCCCGAAACAACATTGTAGTAGAAGGGAACACTCAATTTCCTAAATGCATATCTCCGTTTTGACAACCGTCTTTAACAAAAACAAATTAAAATGTATTTTTGTGCCCATATTTACACACCTAGTACTCTTATTTTTTTATTATTCCTACTCTTCGATACATGTCTGTATTTTTGCTATTAATTCTTATGTTACTGAAGTTTGGTGATACCCATTTTGTAGAACGCGTAATAACTAACATTATACACACACACACATATGTGCCATTCGTTATCAAGTTTAGCTTTGTAAAAACATTTCACAAAAACAGCATTACTGGAGCATTTGTTTAATTTTCTTTAATTATATTATCAGAAATACAAACAAACTATTGCAATAATACACTTATTAAAACATACATACTTACCTTAATAGCAATGTTAGCCCTTTAGCAAGAGATGTTGAATGTAAACTGAATATTTAATACCAATGATGATGATTATGTCGAAAAGTGCAGCTTCAATTTGCTTTTTTGTAAAAAATATACATAAATATATAAAATATATAACGGAACTATTTGTGATTTTATTCATTCTACATAAGCCAGGAAGGGTGGGGAAAAGATAAGGATATTCGAGGAATATTATCAATCAATCAACTCAACCATTGCACCATTGAATTTTCAAAATTAGAATGCAAAATAATTCATGTATGTCATAAATTGTTCTTTTATTGTTCCTTCTCTTCAACTGTTGCCATTTCAACATCGTTTTCATCGGATTTTTCATATTGATTTTGATTTTCTGAATCCTCAATAACTGTTTCCTCTGGGACATTTTTACTCACATCTTCCCCCTCATCATCAATATGATGATCGTTCTGCTGTTGGGGAGGCTCTGCTTCAACGTCAGCTGGAACTTCATTCTCAGATATTCGTTTTCTTAATTCATGAATTTGTTTTTCTAGTTCAACACACTGTTGTTCAATCTCATAGTTTTTCGAGACCAACAATACCCAACTGGCCTCTAACTGTCGAAGTCTCTCTCCGGCTTTCGTTTGTGCTTGTTTCCTTTGCCAATTAACGTCCTGTATTTCTTTTTTCAATTCTTGCAACTGCCCCTGCGCTTTAGCCTGCATTGCAACAAATACTTCCAAGTACGCCTTCCAAGCTTCTATGCCGTAATCCAACATCAACTCCAAATTCATAGCTCTCACCCATTGATGTTCCAATTGTGCTTTGGAATTGTCTATCGATTCTTCCCATGCTGACACTTCAGACAAACGACTACCGGATGGCGGCGGAAGTTCATAACGCTTCATACTCAGTGTTTCCATAGGTATCAGATTTTGAATGCGTTCAAATTCTTGTGCCATCAACTTGGTTTCAAACGTGGATGTAGATAAATGTGGCATGTGTTCCAAATAGTTTTTAGTTGGCCTATATCGGCGACATTCCTCCTCAACCATTGCCAATGCCTGAAATCAACAATATTCTCTACATTAATCGCTCACATTATTTACATTAATTTTGTTTACCAACCGATTCTCTGACGCCAGGATCGTCATATCCCTGATCGATGTAAGGCAAAGCATCAACAATGACTTCTCCGGCCATTGTTCAATTATGTTATAAGGAATAAGGATAGCGAATTATTAAAAATCTCTAATTTAATTCTTGTTTTTAATTTTTTAAGCTTAATTTTTGTTTCGTTTTTGACATTCGAATTGGAATATTTTCACTCTATCTCTTACAATTTAGTTATTGTGCAGATTTTTTTGACGATTTTTTCAATTATTTCAGAATTGCGTCAAGCGTGCGCTTTCTTTGGTTGGTTGTTCGTTGCGAGCTTTGGAAACAAAAATGAAAAACGTCCCAACGAAACGAATATGAGGGCCACATAGGAATACCCGATAAAAAATAAACAGAAAGCGAAGACTCGGGGTACTCTGTTGTTTACGAATGAGACATGAGAAAATTGAACATCTTCACTAAAGAGCGCGGAAGTAGTTAAAATTAAATTCGACGGCGGTGCGACATGACAGACGGACGGCATAAGTCGACTCAGAAAGTGATTATTTTTCATTGATTGGTTTTAGAGTCCGGAAGATTAAACATTTATACATTAAATGAATTAAATTGTGTATATTTTGTTCTGCCGCAGACAACGAAGCGGAAGGTATTTTTAGCAACGGCGGCTTACCGGGTGTAAACCAATTTAATGTCAAAATGCAATTATTGTGATTGAATTAAAATTTTTTCTCCGATATCATTCATAAAGTGAAATTGACAGACATGACAGAAAAAGAAAAAGGAGAAAAGTATAGTCGCTTCGACACAGCAGGTGGCAATGAATGAACAACAACCAACTTCAACATGGTACTTGATTTCAAAACAGTATTTGGAATCCATGATGTTCTAGGCCCATTAAATAGTTTAAATAGTCGTTTAAATCGCAGTAAAACTACAATTTATCTCAATTGATCAAATTTGTAAAAGTTGTTAAAAAACACGAATTATAATAGCCTCCGAATGACGTAGTATAAAAAAACATATAAAAATCTACTTATATTTGAAAAAAACATTTAAATTTTTTTTTCAAATATAAACATATTTTTATATGTTTTCTTATACTACATCATTCGGAGGTTATTATATTTCGCGTTTTTCAACAATTTTTATAAATTTAAAAAATTTAAAGTACTGTTATATGTGTGGGGCTATGCGAACACTTGAACGTTACAGAAGGTAGAAAAAAGCTACCCCCTAAATACAATTTTTTTTCTTTTGGTATCGTTACTTTGTCAAAACATATACACATTTTGTGTATGTGTGTGTATTGTTTTTAATAAAAAAATACAATAATTTGAATTTATTTCAAATTTGGTTTCAAAATAATGCAAATTTTCGACGTACATCGTAAACTGTACAATTTTTGCCCTGTTCCAGGAACTGCAATAGTCTTGGTATTATAGCTTAATAAAGGGCTAAGTACATAAGAAGCTTGAAGTCATGGCACGGCCTATTTTGTGACATTTCACAAAGGAATTACAGAGCCGCACTAAAATCCTGCCGTCGCTTTTCATTATAATTTGGCATTAATATGCCTAGCCATGACTTCAAGCTTTTTATGTATTTGCAGCCTAAGAAAGCTTCCTCAACTTCAAAGAAACAAGAAAAAATGCAACTCTGTGCTGAAGCCATGGTAGAAGAATACAGGTAGTCGCATCGACACAGCTGCTAGGACAATGAACTGTCAAACCGATTTTCGAATTGAAAATGTTGAATGAAAAATTATTGAAATTTGTAAAAATTGTTGAAAAATTAATATTATAACAACCACATATTTACGTCGTATAAGAAAACATTCAAAAATATACTTATTTTTGATAAAACATTTTAAAAATTTTGACATATCAATGTTTTCAAGCGTTGATGCATCTACCTATATTCTTCTACCATGGCTGAAGCCTTATGGTGTCAAATAGAATTTGAAATATGCTACAGTGGGTTTCACTTATTTATATTAAATGACAAACACCTTTTGCACGTTATTTCAAATATTTCTAAAGATGTAGGTATATAAGCTTGAAGTCATGGTTAGGCATATTTTGTGACATTTCATAAAGAGATTATTAATCCGCACTAAAACCCTGCCGTCGTTTTCCATTATAATTTGATATAAATATGCCTAGCCATGACTTATTATGTACTTGCATCTTAACAGAGGGCGTTAATTACAAAAATGAAATGATGTTTTGCTCCGATAATAGACCAATTAAAATAAATGAAAAATACGTTAAATTCATTCCACATTTGTTTTTAATATTGCAAAATGATGCACTTTGCGATGTCTTACATCGATGTATGGTAAACAAAAAAGAAAGAAAAAACGACACAATCCCATCGTTTTCAAATGTCAATTCCCTCGCTTATACGTCACGCAAATCTTATTCAAAAGTCGATGGGGGTATAATTTGACGTTCACGCCATGGAATTGACATTTCAGATCAAGCGGATTTTGTTTTAAATACGTTTGAGCCAATATTTGCAAATGATGCGAGTTATGTGAACAGGCTATAAGAACACGGCGAAAGAGTGTGAAGGAAAATTACAAAAGAAATGTGTCAATGCTTCGCATGTGTCCACATTTTGGCACTTTACAACACTGTTCTTCGTTCAGTTACAACCCTGATTGTCAGCCATGTTGTACATTCGTCAGGTTGTTTCGTTATTTCAGTTTCTTTCCTCTTCTTTTTTTCTTCCTTTTTCTTTTCGGTCTTCTATTGGTTAATGGAGGACGTTTCTGCAGCTGCAGAATAAAATATTTTCGTAATTTTGAGAAAAATTGCCAATAAAAATGGTAAGCAGTGTAGTCAAATTAAGAAATACCTCGCGGATAAAGTGGATCTATCGGAATTGTGTCAAAATTCGGCGGAATTTTTGTTAAAAGGAACTCGGAAATTTTGAGGTGTTGACACACGTGTTTTTCCGTCGAGATCAAGTGAATTGTGAAATACATAGTGAATGAAGGTTTAAATGAAATGTTTTTGTTTTGTTACTCGTGTTATTGCAGAGTTTAGCCAACGCAAGACCTCTGGTCTCCGTATATTCGGAAAAGAATGAACAAATCAAGGAAAAGAGCATCTGCTTGCCAGCAGTGTTCAAGGCCCCCATTCGTCCCGATGTCGTCAACGATATCCACCAATTGATGCGTCGTAACAAGCGTCAACCTTACGCTGTCAGCGAACAAGCCGGTAAGTAAGTGCGATGGAGCAGGAATAAATAAAATTCGAGTTGTGTGTATCTATTGAATGTGCGTTTGTTACAGGTCACCAAACCTCTGCTGAATCTTGGGGTACTGGTCGTGCTGTTGCTCGTATTCCCCGTGTCCGTGGTGGTGGTACTCACCGCTCCGGCCAGGGTGCTTTCGGTAACATGTGCCGTGGTGGTCGTATGTTCGCCCCAACCAAGACTTTCCGTCGTTGGCACCGTAAGGTCAATGTAAACCAACGCCGTTACGCTTTGGTCTCTGCCATCGCTGCTTCTGGCGTTCCAGCCCTTGTCCAATCTAAGGGTCACATTATTGATGGCGTCTCTGAATTCCCATTGGTCGTCTCTGATGAAGTTCAAAAATTGCAAAAGACCAAGCAAGCTGTTGTCTTCCTCAGACGCATGAAGATCTGGGCTGACATCCAAAAGGTAAGCGGATTGTTATTTTGAACATGGAATGGTCAGTGTTTACATTTGAGCAAAACAAACTGAGCTTGTTAATCAAATGTATCCATGAAAGCCAAACATTGCGCAGTTGCTGCTTATTGTGTAAAAATGTCCTCACTGAGTTTTATACATAAAGCTGTCATATAATCCCAAGTAGCTGCTAGATAAATATTGGTTTCGGTAGGCGTTCCGTTAAGAAGTAGTCAATACTTCCTAAGGGGGTAACTTAAATCAACAACCCTAGAAATTTTATAATCTAACAGTAGTATGTTTATACGTCAATTTCTCATTTTTCAAACAATTTACATTTTAGGTGTACAAATCCCAACGTTTCCGTGCTGGCCGTGGTACTATGCGCGATCGTCGCCGCATTGCCCGTCGTGGACCCCTCATTGTTTACTACAAGGATGAAGGTTTGCGTCGCGCCTTCCGTAACATCCCTGGCATTGAAACTATGTCCGTTGATAAAATGAACTTGTTGAAATTGGCTCCTGGTGGCCATGTTGGTCGTTTCGTCATCTGGACCGAATCTGCTTTCGCTCGCCTCAACGAGCTCTTCGGTACCTGGAAATCTGGTTCCACCTTGAAGAAGGGCTACAACCTTCCTCAACCTAAGATGGCCAACACTGACTTGTCTCGCCTTCTTAAATCTGAAGAAATCCGCAAGGTGCTCCGTGACCCTCGCAAGAAGGTCTTCCGTCGTGTCCGCCGTCTCAATCCATTGTCCAATGTTCGTCAACTCATCAAGTTGAATCCTTATGCTGAGGTTCTCCGTCGCCGCGCCGCTTTGGCCGCCGAAAAACGTACCATTGCTAAGGCTGTCGCCAAGGCAAAGAAGAACAACGTTGAATTGGCCAAGAACCACTTTGCCGTTGTCGCCACCAAAGCCGCTGCCAACCGCGCTAAAATGCTACAGAAGGCCTTTGAAGCTAGAAAGAAGAAAGCCGCTGCTGCCCCCAAGAAGAAGTAAACTTTTAAAAAGTTTAATGTGAGGCGTGTTTTTTAAATTTCTTTTAAAGCTACAAATGTATGAATTTTTTTCATAAATTAAAAAAAATACATAAAACCAACTTAAAATTTAAGTTTATTTTTAATAAATTGTTTTCACAATTGTTTTCATATAAAAGTAAAAAATAGCTTTGAGAAGGGTGCTAGGCAGGATTACGAAAGGTCATATTTAAGAGCTTAGGAAGGGAAACATTTTAATTGATGTTTTTAAATATTTATAAAACATATCTTAGAAGCGCCAATGGGGCTGCTAAAAAGGCAGCTTTTTTGGGGAAATAGTCATTCCAATCATGCTCAGGAATTCAGTGAACAATTTCCGACTTGCCTTTGCCTACTATCAGGCATTAATGTATAGATTAATTAAAGGAATTTTAAAATAACTTTCCTGCATCGAATTATTTGATTATTATTTGTATACCTATATCTGTTTATTGATGACAGAGCACAAGTGATGCAAACACTAGAATGCATACTTGCCCATCTATTATATCGAGTCCCACTTGCAAACTTTAGAGTTTCCAAAAAATTGAAACGTTTCTAATAAGAAGCAATTGCATTGGATTTTCTTTATCAATGCACATACTAAAAGTTGGAAATCTTCTAATAATTGTAGATCAACATACAGTCACGTTTTAATTTTTATTTTTTTTGCTACGGACCAATTATCCATATCCACACCACATTAACAAATGTGCGTTTGCTTTTACATTCAGATATCTCTTGCATCCACATTATATATCATTCTATTTTAAAGCTCAGTTATAATGAACGATAATTGTATTTAAAACATGACCTGTCTTGTGCGACTGATTCAATCAACGTGAGTTCAAAGTTTTTTTCTTTGTTACGACTTGAGCTATTTGTTCAGACAAAAGTCCATGGCAAACAATTGGAAAACTTTATTTGTCCCATTGTCATGTGATATTCAGAGCTCCTTAGGGGTAGAGCATAGCCTATTTGGAAAATTTCAGTTACAAGATTTGAATATTGAGATGTAGGTCCCATACCTCAAATCTTAAAAACCATTTTAAGTCAGGTTCGCATTTTTAATTGATTTTGAAAACATTTTACTCCGTTATATACAATTTTTGTAAATGTTGTTTTTTTTTCAACATTTCCTTGATAGTGCATTTCCTTCTAACGGCGATTAAAGAATTTAAACATTTAACTGTGGGTAAATGGGTGTTTAAAAAACATTTAATAAAGTGACAAATTATTGAAAATTTCGGGGCACACTATGCTGCTGCAGGTGGAAGTAAAAAAGTGCGCAAAAATCGGAATAAATAAATTTTCCATCAAGAATTAACAACAATAACCAAAATAAAAAAAATATTCTACAGCAACGAATAATGCTATGGCAAGGTATCACATTGTAACAAAATTATGAGAGAGGGTAATTAGGGAATCCGTTTTCAATCGAAGAAGAGTATATATTGCTACTGTGATAACAGAGAGAGAGAGAGAGAGTCAAACAACCATAGCGACACATATTTTCGGAAAAATAAATAAACATGCCACATATAAATGAGCACCTTCTTAGTATTTTGACAGCCTTTAACTGTTATCAATGTATTTATCAACATTTAGGAAGAACAACAACGTACGTTTTGGGTTCAATGTGATTTGTTTTTGTTTTTATACACATTAAAAAGGAGCACAATTCAAAGGTCTATTCAAAATAAAAAGATCAATACAAGCACACCATGTATTCAGCTTGGCGAAGTCGAACATTTTTTACCCTAAATAAATATTTCTTGAAATACCACTTTACATGTGCCATTAAGTTTATATTATATGGTTTTAATTTTGAACATTAAGCTAAATAAACTGTATTGTAATTTTCCTGATAATAATAAAACAAGTAAAATAGTATCGGTCGGATTTGCCGACAGAAAACCAAACTCTTGACCAATTCGTATCTGACCTAAGACTGATATAAATATTACAACGTGCCAGATTTGGACTATACAGACAACTTCCTATACTTTATATGACATACGTGCAATTTTTTGGAAAATGTGGAAATATGTGTGAGGTAACATTTATAGCGGACCGAAGAATTTTATTTTCATACTTCATCTAATGCAGATAAAAATATTAGGGATATTAGTATGTGCAAAATTTGAAGGAAATCGAATATTCATATTCACACCAGACCTTGGGTTAATAAAAATATTGTGGGGGAGGTACCAGAAGGAGTGGACCGATACATTCCATCTTCTCAGCAGACGTTGGGCTAATCAAAGTATTATGATGTGTGTAATTTGAAGACAACCGGATACTTACATCACATTTTACTAGATTTATAATTTTTAAAAATTTTGACCGTTTGTGGTTAAGGTACTGGATGGAGTGAACCAATATTGACTATTTCGTAAATGACCTAGCACTGATGGTAATATTAGGATTTGCCAAGTTTGGAGCAAAATCGAATCATCCTTTCTCTTTCTGTGCAGTAAATTATTTTCTTTGAAAATGTTGACAATTTGTGGGGGAGATACCGATATTGCTCAACTCTGAACTCGTTCTAAGTTCTATAATAATATTGCGATGTACGATGTTTGGATCAATTCGGATACTAACTTCGAGAGTTATCGTGCGCACCAGCCAGACAGACAGACGGGTGGACGGACATCGCTAGATCGACTCCAAATGCTCTGAAATGGATTTGGTCCCAGGGTCTAAATCCGTTATGAGACCTGTTATGGCCGTATAAAATGATATATACCCTCTCTAGCCTTATGGCTACTTTACTCCAACGGCCCTTTAAGGATAAATTTTTGATTTTTGTGATTACTTCTATTTTCTTTGTTTCTTCAGGATATAGCTATATTAGTTGGCTGGCATGGTGTTATAAAAAGGTAATGTACCAGCTGAGTACAATTTATTGTAGATGTGCCCAACTTCTACCACTTTTGTTTTTAAAATAAAAGATTGGAACAAAAGTATATTGCGTTAAAAAATGTTAACCAGGTTTGCCATTGAATTTAAAATTGAAGATATTTTTAAAAATTTGAAAGTATTTCGTAAGTTGGCGCACATAAATTTAAAAATGTAGGTTTTTTAATGTTGCCTTTTGTTTCAGTTATATGTATAGATAATTTCTCTTCAGAATACCTTCATAATTAAGCCTTAAATGTTATCTACAACGGCTATGCAGCGAGTAATTAATTTACTCCATTTAACACTAACAAATTCCCATACGATTGTAATGCTATCAAGGTATACCCGTCGTCTGTTCGACACTAATGGTTGTAGGGTATATCACATGACAATTGGAGAGCAGAGAGCAATAAGAGATTATTGTAATGTAGAGGGAAAGAACGAAAACTATATTCCATAGTTTCTCTTTGAATTGCGATCTCTTCGGGTGAGCACCGACTATAATTGAATCACAGACGTAACACTCTGTGTGCAACAACAATAAGCGTTTTTTTGCAAGAACAATAATAAATAACAACAGCGGACTGTCGGGCAAAAGAATCTAATTGAAAATTAATTAATAAACGACTGTCTTTTGGCCGTAGCACGCATATTAAATGCAAAGCTCGAACAGGACGCGGCAAAGAACTCCCACGAAAATTCAAAAATTGGAAACCATTTCCAATAGCAAATAACCGATACATACCTACATATATATTAGTAATTTGTTTACAACACAATTAAGTTCAGTGAAAAGTCAGTGAAAAATCAAAATAAACCAATGAAAAAAATTGTTCAACAAAGCAAAAACACATCACACATCGCTACATTCCAGCTGAAGTTGGTAGCTTTATCATGCAGACAGTAGTTGTTGAATAGAATGCATTGCATCTTCGCAGAGTCGTGTTGTGACCGCAAACCACATAAACTATGAAAATAATAACGAAAATCTTAAAAAAATTACATAAATGTTTGTCGTTTCGCGAAAAAGTAAATCAAAAGCACTACTGAAAAGGCAGAAATCGACAAAACCAACCAACCCCCGTAATATTCAAAGAACAAAATCGTCTACAAAGTAAGAATATAAATAAACAACAAAACGAAAAGAAAGCTAACTAAACGAAAACCGATCATACGATTTTTGTCTTGTCTTTTCTCCGTGCAAAGTAACTATATATTCGAAATAAAAACGTATAGACGGCAGCTAGCATCTGATCGAAAAAGTGGAATAAAACGGACGGAATCGTTCAGAGATATTTTGCACAGATCTCTTCGATGATAAGAGCGCAATCGCGTGTTTGTAGCATGGTACTGTTCCATTGATAATACTGAGGCAGACAAAATCTTCCTAAAGAAATCATTCCGGACCACCCAAATAGATAGTGGTTCTAGACGATCATTTTCAAAACAACCCGTTGTATTTATCAAATTATTTAAATTTAAAAACAAAAATTAAAACAAACAAATAATTTCCAAAACAGAAAAGACTTCAAAACACAACAAAATAAAATAATAAAAACATAATGATCGTGTTGTTGGTACAAAGTCGAAATCTATAAAGAATTATTGCTGCATCAACGTTTGGCAACAGAAACCTGGAACAACAGAAGGCCTGTTGCAGCAGCAATAGCGCGATACATCGCCGTTGCAACCACCAATATTTTAATTTTTGTGTGCCGACAAACTGCATTTATCGCGGATCTCTTTACCTTTTATTCGCTTGAGACTTGGTTCGTTTCTTTGCCGTTCATTTGCAATCCTGCTGTTCGTCATCCTGGTTCCCTCTTTTTTCTCTCATCATGCTTACTTCGGCTATTGGTTTCCTGCAGGGAGCAATTGAATTCTCTTTGCTTGGCTGTTTTGAAGCAGCATCTGTTGCATTTATAGTTTATTATATTTATGCTAAAACCAGGTAAGCTTGAAAACCATATACAATACACATATACATACAGCCAACTAAAACATATATCAAACAAAGAAATACACAGCTTACAGAGCAATTATGTTTCCTCCAAGATTGGATGGATGCACAAACAACTGTTGTATTTACTCGGAGATCTCTTGAATGAAGTTTGTGTTTAGAGTTCTGATAGATTAATTTAACTATTCTTAATTCTTGGCAAAACTTTAGATGACTGGGAAAAATGTTGAAGTTTCTCTATTCCACCTAAAGCGATACTGCAATGGTCATTTACCAACCTTGATTCCTAAAGGAACAAGGAAACCCGCGCCGAACTTATAAGCCATTCAATTCCCCATAATATTGCTATGACTTGATGCTTCCAAAAGCCCCCTCAAATCAAATAGGAATCTCGATATAATGGCTTGTGACTTAAGTGCATTAAGGACCACCCGACTATCGTCATATGTCCATAGCCACTCATGCTTTTACGTTACTTTTAAATTCTTAATATTCTAAAATATATAAGGATGACAATATCATAATATTAGAGGAACAAGTAAAATAGTATCAGTCGGTTTTTCCGACAGATGTATACCCCAAGCCTTGAGTTATGATTATTCTAACTACTGAAGCTTTATGGTGGAGGGCATTCCGCAGTTGTCCAATTCGTGTCTGACATAAGAATTTGAAGGAAATCGAACCTTTATATCCACTTTCATGCGAAATCATATACTCCGATAAATTTCATGTTCATCTCAGATTTCTGGTTGAGAGATTATTGAAAATTGTGACCTTTTGTGGGTGAGGTACCAGAACGGATTCGCAGATATATATCAGATCTTGTGTTAGGAAAAATGTTGGTATATGTCAAATTTGAAGAGAGTTAAATACTTATTTCGGATTTTATAATCGTGTTGGTTATTCAAAATTTGTACACTTCTTTGGGTAGGTACCACCACAGACCTTGGGTGACGTGTGTAATTTGAATCGAACTGGATACTTATTTTGGATTTTATGATCGTTTTGGTTATTCAAAATTTTGACCCTTTGTGGGGGAGGTACCAGAGGGAATGGTCCGATCTCTACTATCTTTATAACAGATGTTGTGTTGATGGAAATATTGAGATGTACCAAGTCTGAATGGAATCGGATGTTAATTTCGCATTTTATAATCTTCATGGATACACAAAATTTTGACCCTTTGTGGGGGTGGCACCACAAGGTGTGGACCGATATATCCCATCTTCACACCAGACCTTGGGTTGGGGTGTGTGTAATATGAAGAGAACCGGATGCTTACTTTAGATTTTGTGATTGTTTTGGTTGTTCAAAACTTTGACACTTTATGGGGGAGATACCAGAAGTAGTGGACCTATTTTGTCCATTTTCGCTCCTGATATAGCACTGATGCAAATATTAGAATTTGCAAAGTTCGTATTATCCATTCTCTTTCTGTGCAGTAAATTATTTTCTTTGAAAATGTTTTTTTGGCGAGGTACAAGAAGACTCGGTCTAAATTTGACAATAACATTACGAGGTACTAAGTTTGGCAGATTTGGCCCGAAGAGACCTAGGGTCTAAAACCGTTATATATATGGATATGGATCATAATTTTTAGAGGTCAAGGAGATATTTTAAAGACCTTAAAGCCTGTAAATTGTTCTTAGGCATTCCACACAGTGTCATGAAAAGGACATTGCGATCATCATACTTCAACAACATCCGATTTTCATCCATATTTTCTATATCTTTAACGTAAAAGTATTGATCGCAATCCAGATCGCGCTTAAAAAGGCCTTTTCCATATTTTTTTTCAATATTTTCGTGGACTGATGTATAAGCATTTTCTTTAATTGTGAAAATACTTCTGCCATTTTTTACTAATTGTGAATCATTTGCACTACGAATTAATTGAGAAAATTGCTTATGTAAATTGGAGCCGTTTATAAATATTTAATTGTAATTCGTTGAATAAAGTTTCAGTCCATTGGCCTCTTATTATATTTAGCTTTAGCTTATTTATACGAATATAAAATAAAAATGCGATTTAAATGTTAAACATTGGCATTCATGAAAATTAAACCCGATAATCAAAAAAGAAAAAAAAATGTTGAACATATCTTATAGATCTTTAATTACACAAATGAGCTAAACATAAAAAAATATCTCTGGTTAGCTTTATTGTTTTTGGATTATAAATTTTATAATTGTACTCGAAATGAATTGATATTGTGTTAGGTATTAACTTAATCTAAAAGGCGGTACTAAATATTTTTTAATAGAATTATAACACGCTGCCGTTTACTGTTTCTATCTGCAATCAAGTACAAAGTTTACACAAACACAACAGATTAGAAAACATTAAAACAATAGAAAGATTGTAAAATTATAATTGAAGTAATTACTAAAAATGAAAAGAAATTTTCGAAATCGAAGATAACCAATACACATACAAATGAGAAGATGAAAGAGATAGCGTTTCCTTGTGATGGGACTCATAATAGGATTTATAAGGAAAAGTATCCTATATGATTCCGTTGGATTTCACATTAAAGAATATATATTAATCCTCTGAAAACACGGAGCAATTTATTTGTGCCTTACAATCTACCTACCATTATTTATTCCGAACCCTTGAACTTTAAATGTTATCATAAAACAATGTTTACTTGAAGCAAAACAAGTGTTGTGTAGTACAACAATAATTTTGGAAATATTTAGCAGGTGTGCCATGTCCAAAATCATTACATGACTCATTGTTTCTAATCTGCTTACCGATTAGGAATGGTCGGACAGTGTTTCGGCAAAAATATGTTATTTGTTAGCTAGAACCATCCATGTAAAGTCGTAATTGTCTTTTTGTTTTATTAAAGGAATTGAACGATATGGATAAGACTATGTTATATTAACCGATTGGATTCATTGTTTTTGTTTAGCGTTTCGTTAAAGGTATATTGACATCAATAATGTGTCAATCGAACGTTATCACACTTAAATTAAAATCGTGCCGCCATTATTATAAGTATCTCATTTGTGCATCGATAATAGATCAATAAAGCTAACGCACAAATTTCTAATACGAAAGGCTTTAACGACTGATAATTACATCTCAATTGAATGCAATTAATTTGTTTTCGTAACTGATTTAATTCATTCAGGGTTGGCAGTTGGTATAATTACAGTTTTCAGATTATGAGTCCATGGTACATTAAGTCCATTTTTCTTTTATGATAACATGGAATGCGTAATTAACTAAAGGTGCGTTTAGATTTCCCAAATCCACTCGATTTCAAATGCCAATTCCATATTGTATAACATGGTACTCTTTATTGTAGAATAACTTAGAGGAAGTTGTAAGAGAGGATTTAAATGTCAGAATTGCTATCACAACAATGGTATTACAAAATGTTGGTCCCTAACCCAAAAGACCAGTAAATGAGAGCGAGCAAAGTGAGGCAATTTGACAGTGCTGCGAGTTTGCAAAATGTTGCAAAAATATTTACAATTTTCAGACAATAATTAACATATTTTAATTATTTTTTAGATAATAAGTATTTAACATTATTATTCTATTAAATAACTAGCGTCTAACTACATTGCTACGATGAAGACAAGGTGGGATAAGTTGGAAAAAGCATAACTGTATGGATCGTAATAGATATGTACGATAATTTCTATGCTGTTTCCAACTTATCCCACCTTGTCTTCATCGTAGCAATGTAGTTAGACGCATCAAGACAGATGATGGGATAACGAACTGTCTAACCAATTTTGGATTTAGAAATTTTGAATGAAAAATTCTTCAAATTTGTAAAAACTGTTGGAAATTCATATTTTTCATTCAAAATTTTAAATTCCAAAATTGGTTTGATCTCTCATTATTCCAGCAGCTGCGTCTTCTACCATGGTATACGCTATGGAATTGACATTTGAAATTGAAATGTATCCATTTTACCATTGCTTCAAAAATCGCAAGTAAATAGAGAAAGCATCTTGAATCAATCAAGAATTTTCTCAATAACCCACTTAATATACTAGGATTTTTCGTATTCCCTACAAAAACGTATATATCTTAAAAAATACAATTATTTATACAATATTCTATAGGTTTTTGTTCTCTTCTCATTGCAGAGCGCCTTCAATAATTGCCAGCTTGTTTCCAAACCTACACTTGAAAATCAATTATCGATCTCAATTGTTGAAATTCAACAATTTGGGCAATGAACTTCTTCTCACGATGCGTATCAAGCCAGTAAGTATTATATAATATTAAATAATGTTAATAATAATAGTTACAAAGAGAAAAGCCATTGGATAGCAGAAGTTTCAAATATTACAAAGGATCCTCATCTGCCCACCAGGTTTCATACCCTTCACCATGCTTTGTAGGATACATTATGTTATTTCTTCCGTTTCTTACTCTTCGAATTAATAATTTTATACCGCACAAATCATACATTTTTCGGATCGGCATAAAAAACTAAAGGTGGGAATACATGAAGCGCTTATTTGGCTGGCTTAAGTCATCGGCTGTCTTCTTCGTAGAGGAACAAAGGAGTTTTAGCTTGACTTAGTTCGATTTTGGTCCTAGGGACCTTTGCTCATTTCCGAAAAACCCAGCCGATGACTTAAGCCTGCCAAATAAAGGTTAGAGTACATAAACAGATGGAAGTCATCGCATGGCATATTTTGTGACATATAATAAAGGGATGCCAGAGCCGCACCCAAATTCTGCCGTCTTTTCCCTGTATAATTTGACAATTTTATGCCTAGCCATGATGCCAAGCTTTCTATGTACCCTCACCTTAAGCGCTTTATGTATTCTCACCTTAAGATCCAATGGTAGAACAATACAGGTAGTCGCTTCGACACAGCTGCTGGGACGGTGAACTGTCAAAATGATTTTGGAATTGGAAATGTTGAATGAAAAAATTATTGAAATTTGTAAAAATTGTTGAAAAACAACTACCGATTGGCTTCGTATAAAAAAGAAATATTAAAAAAGTATATTTTTAACACATTTTAAAAATGTTCAAAGCCTATATTCTTCTACCATGTTAAGGCTGTAAATACACAAAGCGCATATTTGGCGGGCTTAAGTCATCGGCTGGCTTCTTCGTAGATGAACAAAGGGGTTTTAGGTTGACCTAGTTTGATTTTGGCCCTAGGCTCCTTTGTTCATTTCCGAAGAAGCCAGCCGATGACTTAAGCCAGCCAAATAAGGCTGGAAATACATAAAGCGCATATTTGGCTGGCTTAAGTCATCGGCTGGCTTCTTCGTAAATAAACAAAGGAGTTTTAGGTTGACCTAGTTCGATTTTGGCCCTAGGCTCCTTTGTTCACTTCCAAAGAAGCCAGCCGATGACTTAAGCCAGCCAAATAAGCGCTTTATGTATTCCCAGCTTAAGCGCTTTATGTATTCCCAGCTTAAGATCATATAATTAACAATATTTTTACTACATTTACGTCACATAATTTAAAATGGTCACCCTAACTTTTTTGTTCTTTTACGAAAAAGGAGCCGGAGACATGCGAGAAAAATCCTTCTATGTAACCTCACATTTAAACTTGACTTTAACTTTCAACTTCATTATGTATTCTCATCTTTAAGGTAAGAATACATTAAAAGATTTTTTCTGGAATATGTCATGGATTTTTCGTAAAAGAACCAAAGTGTGCAGGTTAATTTAGTCAATAATGACCCCATCATATGAAATCAAAAGTCCAATAAATACATGTACCTATTTTAGAAAAAAGTCTCCTTGCAACCACGAATCAATTAAATCTGAAAGAACAGCACTCAAAAATCTTTTAGAAAAAATGGTTAAATGAAAACTTGCATGGTTTTGCAAGTTGCACTTTCCAACATATCAAAGCGGACGACATAAAAAACACTACATATACACTGGCAAAATCTCCCACGAACAGCTGATAGACGACAGACGTCAACGTCGTCTAAGGCTTTGGCACCGACTTTGACCTGACTTATTTGCGGCAAAAATTGCATTGTGCGGTGCATTTCTCGCTTGCTTTAATTGAAGACACGAAAATTAAATTATTTTGTAACAAATGGAGGCAAAACGCTGTTAAGTTAATAATAATCAACCGTTTTAAATGTGTCGTTGGCGACATTTTATTGAATCTTTCGAGGAGACTGAGATTTGATTTGTAGAAGATGAGTGAATTTGTTATAAGAACGCGTGGCTGGTTTGAGGTGGGTTCATTAGGAAAGTACACATGCACTTTCTTATGAATATACATATATACACATCCATATATTTCCTCCAAATTATGGGCATTAATTATAGATGGTTTATACTTTGTTTGTTACATCACAACAAACCGTCGACTGTTTGTTTAATTATTGTTTCTCTCTCTCGTTCTACCCCATTCTTCGGCTGCAGGAACCGAAACGCGAAAATGCACTGGCCCATGGTATTGGTACCCAAAATATGTTGGACATGACTCCACATGCTGGTCGAAAGCCATACAATTCAATATTTGATTGGGGCGTCTATTTCCCATATATTGCCCAGGCGACACGCAGCAAGCAGTTTTGCTATCCTCAGGTAAGTGCGTTTATTGTGCGTGGCCGAATGCAATTTTTATATTATTGTCGTATTCTTGCAGGTTTCCAACTTAGTACAAAATGACCCGCTTCTTCAGAGAGCCATCAAACAAGCTGCCGAACAAATGTTAAAGGAGAAACAAACCAATTCGGCGAACTCAAACGAAGATCTCAATAGAAATAGTGAAAGCAAAGATAGCTATTTAGAGGACTCCATGGCCGACTACCAACAGTTTCTCAATAAACAGGAGCGCCGTGCCATTAGCATACTTAAGGACATGCGTTCCACACTCAACAACTTCCTATTGGCCCTAACTTCCTGGATATTGTACAAGCTGTTGCCCTGTTTTCTGAGCGGCGTGGTCACGCATACACAACAAATTGAAATGCTAAAAGCCGCCTCGGAGAAAGCTCCAGGCATACCACTGATTTTCTTGCCATTGCATCGCAGCCACTTAGATTATATTATGGTTACCTTTATATTATATAACAATGACATTAAAAGTCCCCTGGTAGCAGCTGGTAATAATCTACAGATTCCTGTTTTTGGAGAACTGCTTCGCGGCCTTGGAGCATTTTTCATAAAGCGGAAAATCGATCCGGTTGTGGGAAAGAAGGATATTCTGTATCGCGCTGTCCTACATTTGTATTTGCAACATGCTCTGAAAATGGGTCACAACGTAGAATTCTTTATTGAGGGAGGTCGGACGCGAACTGGTAAACCCTGTCTTCCCAAAGGCGGAATACTATCGGTGATTGTCAATGCATTTATGGACGGAACTATACCCGATGCTCTAATAGTACCAGTGTCGGTGAACTATGAAAAACTTGTGGATGGAAATTTCGTTCGAGAACAAAAAGGCGAGAAAAAAGTTCCCGAAAGTTTTGGAAAGGCCATATCAGGCATATGGAAGGTAACTTACTACAAACATGGTCAAATACCATCTTTGTTGAATGAATATTTCTAATTACAGGCCTTGAATTCCAAGTACGGACTTATGCGCATAGATTTCAATGAACCTTACTCCATCAAAGAATTAGTACAATCCTACAATAAAATAGCCAAGGAAGATGGATCAATGAGAATTTACAAACCGTCAGCTCGTACTTTGCAACACAATCAGTCTACCTCATCGCTGTACGGCACTGATGTGGTGTGTGAGGAACATCGCAATCTCATAGACAGTATTTCGCGGCAAGTTGTTTTCGATTGTGCGGTTGCCACATCTGTTATGTCCACAAACGCGTTGGCTTTCCTTCTGCTCACGCGCTATCGCCAAGGTGCGACAGACATTGAAATTGCCAAAGGTTTAGATGAATTGCGTACCACACTCAAGGGACGAAAAGATATTGGTTTTTCCGGGGAGTCTTCGCATATTGTAAACTATGCAGCCGATTTGTTAGGCGAAAACTTGGTTGTGCGATCAAAAGACGAAAATGGCTGTACGATTATTAGACCGAAGGGAACAGTGGAAAGCTGGATTGAATTGGCCTATTACTCGAATACGATTACTCCCCACTTTGCTTTGCAATCGATTGTTCTTACAACGTTTCATAAACTGCTCCCAACATCAGATGAAGTGAATGAGAAACAGGAACCCGGTGTATCTCGTAAAAAGGTCATCGAAATGGCTTTAGAGAACTGCGAAGTATATCGGTACGAGTACATTCTCAATAAACCCACTCAAGTTCTTGCCAACATGCTAGAATTGGCTCTGGATGAATTGATAATGCAAGGCTTCATTAAAACTGTGCAGGTAGGTTCGACTTAGTATTATTTTAAATATGTTTATATACATACGTATATTTTGTTTAATTTCTTCAGTCTGATAATCAAACTGATGCCCCCATGGAAACAATGCGAATGGCTCGAGCCATAGCTTCTTACATCGAAAATAATGATTTGGATCAAGATGAAGACCCCAACGATTTCGACAATTTGGAACCAACCGATGAACCAGATATTTTCCTAGTTCCCGAAACGATAAATCAACAGAAGGCTGTTTGTGAAGTCCTAGCCCCATTTGCTCAGACATATTATATAGTTGTCAATTCATTATTTATATTATATAAGAATTCAATACTCGAAAGTGAATTTATAAAATTCGTAATGAAGGAATTGCACGAGAAGGTTAACAAGCAACTATGCCCCTATGGTAGGTACTACTCGATGTGGCAATGTGACATATTAAACATCAACCTTTTACTTGTTCCTTGCAGCTGAAAGTATATCCACCGACTCTGTGCGAAACTGTTTAAAAGTTCTCGAAAAATGGTTCGTCATTGAAATAACCAACCAAAGCGGTTTGCGGCTATTAGCTTTGCGAACGCCTTATGAAGCAAGTCGTGACTCCTTGAAGAGCATAGTCCAGCGAATGTCAAATGTTGTGCCACTGTACGATAATGGTTATTTTTAACCCTACATTTCCGAGACATTAATTTTTAAAATGTAATTTTAAGAGAACATTTTTTTTTTGTAAATTTCACATTTGTTTACCCTCACGTAGAAAATGACAACTTCGATGCTCTCATCCATACATTTTTCTACTCTAAGTAATCGAGCGTTGTTTCTAAAACGGATCGCTATTTTAGCCATTAATCATATAACCGTAAGCGATTGGAAATCAATCTGTAAATGCCAAAGTTCTATCAAATTATAAAAAGTTAAAGGCGAATAATGGAACATTGTAAATGTTGCTTATTGAAGTCCATAAAACTTTGACTGAAAATTTTTATTTTATATTGCATTTTGTATGCAGTGTATGTATATTATAAAACCAAAAAAAAAAATCAGATACATATTTTGAACGAAAAAAATGAAATAAATCCAATAAATACAAAATGTAAAAGCATGATTTTTGTGGGGGAATCAACATGAATATGGGTATGTTCATTTAGATTGTTCAGTGCCTCGAAACAAGAGATTTCTTGTGACTTTATTGTTTAAAACGCCATCAATCGAATTATTTTCCAAGTCTACAATCAAAAAAAGGGAAACACGATACTAAAACCTCTTCGTAGCCATAAACATACACAAGTAATAAGTACAAAATAATGCACAACATTTTATTATAAAAAACATAGTTTTATTCCATATAAAATGTTCACCACCTCCGTCCGACTGCGACAAACACTATATATTTTCGTATGGTTGATTGTGTCATAATAAATCTTTCAATAAGAACATTATAATTATTTTCCTCACTAACAATACACAATTGATTCCTTCTCATATTTAGCAATATATATGTAATCTTAACAGATGTAAAAAATAAATATGCAAATGTTCAGGCAGATTATAGACAATTTAACTTAGATTGATTTGTATTTTGGTTAAACTAATACTAAATCTGTGTAGTTCCTAATTTCAAACGAGTACGTTGGGACTTTGTAAAAAGTTATAACAAATCTTGGAAGAGACTATAACAAAAAAAAAATGCAATAAAAACTAGAAACAGTGTAAAAATTGTTAAATTCAGCATAGGAGTGGAGCAGCATCAACAGGCGAATCGGGGAAGCAGACTAAGAAAATCAAAAATAAATGTATATCTAATGCAAGAGCTGTTATAATTTATGTTTGGAGATACCCGTATAAATGAATAAAAATAAAATACATATGTTTACATATAAACATTTACACAATTTCGAAAATTAGCTACCAGCTAAGACATGGCGTCCTCGTTCCCTATAGAAATATTGCTGTTGGTCGCTTCCTCTTTATCGTTGGTTGTGATGTCAGCTTCGTTTGGACTCGTGTTCTTCTTTTTGGTTCTAGCTGCAACAGCTGCAGCTGCAGCCATCTTATTTGATTTAAATTTAGCCGTCGCATTTACCTTCAATTTTGTTATGGGCTTGCGTTTTCCAACGCCAGCTGTTTTTGAGGGAAGTCGTTTTAATGGCTTTAGTTTTGATTTTTTCTGCTTTCCCTTGCCGCTCTTAACAGGCATTTCATCGGAACTAGGAGACATATCCTAAGAGGTAAATGTAAAACACATAATGCATATTCATGAACAAATTTTTATATTTTTTCAATTACCTTGCTCTCGATTTCCTTGATTTTGCCTCCGATTTGACCTGCACAATTTTTAGAACCACAATAGCAAGTCTTCTTTTCGTTACCCAACAAGTCATCCCAATGATAATTAAATGTCAATTCGGTATTCTGTAGAGCAGAGCAGTTCGATATTAATGTCAAATCATACATCTACAACATATTGTCGTATTTACCTCGGGTATATCTTTGATGGCAAACAGGCCTACACGATTCAATGAATTCACCGACCATTTTTGTGTCTCACAGTTCGGATCACATGAATGATTCATGAAACGAGCCAAATTGCCCTTAGGTCCTGCATCGATAATATAATCCTTTTCCACAGATAAAAAGTAGAAATTCTCATCACGATCCAACGACTTTTGGGCCATTCTCGCCCGAAACTCGTCATCGTTGATTATTTCTCCCACATATTCTATAACAAAACTGCCAGATTTAATAGGTTCGCGGGTAATTAGTCCGAAACCACGTTCTTTCATGTATATGACATCCAACTGTGGCGATTTTCGAGACTCAAACATTTGATTCTGGCAACGTTCTCCGGCCGGGCACACTTTTGGATTACATTCATGATATAATACCCGATTTAGGCAGTTGCTTTCTGGACCACATGGATTTTCTTCGTTTGGATCACAGTCACATTTGCTTACATTTTCGATATCGATGTGAAGTTTCACCGGTGGCACGGGACGATTGGCTTTAATTCTCGTATAAGGTTGTGGATGCAATCGCTCTTTATTTTCATTCAACATGCTTTGTTGTTGTTTTTTGGCTTTGACAACTTCATAGATTTGTTTAGCTTCTTCTATTCCGCTATTATAGTACTTATCAATTGCTGTAACGATTGTCAAAAAAATTAGTGTGAATACTTGGTTTAACAGCAGGGCTTGTTAACTAAATACCTGCTTTCGTTCTGGGCGGTTCCGACGTGTCCCCTTCCAAATACAGATATACTCTCCGTCTTGATATCCAGCCATGATCATGCGTGCCAAAGAATCTAACGACAAAATCGGAAGGATTGTGGTTCTTTTTGGCTATGTTTGTAGGAATTTCAGTGGGAGGCAAAATAATGGCAGGCCACCATCGAAAATTGGTAAACTTGGCCCACACCATTTCGCCATAGAGTGGCATTCGCCCCGACTCACATTCTTCGCAGATGTAGCCCTCGTTAGGGTCTATGGGGATTTTTAGACACTGGGCATGTACAGCAGTAGGACATGTCTCACAACACACCACCTGGCCGCCGCGAACACATATAAAGCACCAATTGACATTGATGGTCATGTCATGTCTCGGACTAGAATGCCTGGGGCAAATTATATGGGCCGCAGTTAGGATCTGTGATCCGGCCGGAATGCAGGTAGAATCCGTATGATAGGTGGCGGGACATTTGACACACTTCGTTATTTTAGCGTTACTCAACTGCTGAAATTTTCCTTTGGGATCATCTGACACACAAGTATGGCAAACGTGAGACGGACAACGGAAAGATTGTATTCGATTTTTTGATATTGTTATTTTGGATTGAGGCCAGTACTTGCAACAGGCGGGATGGAACGCCCTATCGCATTGACCCATGGTACACTTAACTAGCGGGTCATCTAGTTTGGCAGAGTCCGTAAGTTTGCACACCATGCATTTCGTGGGCTCATTGTTAGCACATTCCCTACAAATCACTTCAACATCAGTTTCCGAAGTGATGTGAGGTACGGCGCTTGATGATTCTTGCATTAAGTCAATAGCGACGAGATCCGTGGTCGACGAACTATTACTTTTACTAGCCTCAAGGTTGGAGTCGTTCGCAGACTTTATGGCGGAAGTACTGCGTTTGCCTATTTTCTTTAGTTTGCCATTTTCGGAAAAATGCATATGCAGACATTCAGGATGTAGCCAACCATGACAACGACCTGTGCATCGCTTTAGACCACCACCTGGTTTAAAGCAGTACTTACATACGGGGTCTCGACCCAATCCTTTAAAGAGATACTTGCTATCTAGTTCGAAAATGTCATCGATGACCTCTAAAATTGGACGATTTACCATTTTCTTAGGCTTATCGACCACGGACTCCTTTACTTGGGGTGCTTTGGAAGCTGTGGACGCTTCATTCGTCAAATCGATTGATGAACGTTGCGAGAGCATAGATTTTCGCATCATAAGAGTTCTCAAACGATTCGAAAGGCGTTTAACACCGCCAGTTTCAATATCGTTATTGGAACTCGTATCCAAATCGCCAGCGGAAAGGCTCAGTTTACACTGCATTTGTTGATGGCTCAGCTGTTTAAGTGCCCAAATATTCCGCACTGCCACAAGTAAACTTTTATCCAAATTCTCATCGGTATTCTCCTGCAGTACGAAATCTTTCATAGCCACATAAAATTCTTGAAATGCTCTGCCACTGAATAAGTTCAACTCATCCAAAGATTTTCTCACAGCTATTTGATTGTTGGTATTGGAGGAGTTCTGCTCAACACTGGTAGTTTCAGGGACGGCACTATTTGTGGCTTCCGCATCCGTTGATGACGCCGCGATGTCCGAACTCAGTTTACGTTTTTTAACAGACAAATGTTTTATAGGAGAATAAGCGGGACTAAATGGTGATGTAGAACGCTCACGCTTGCCTGTTGCAGACGGAGCCGACAAATTATTTATATTTTCATGGGAACCATATAAACTTTCTGCATCTGATGGTGTTACATTTTTGACTGCAGGTATATACATTGACTTCCTGCGCTGTTGTTTGTTTTTTTGTGTCAATCTACAAAAAAGAAAGAAAATCATTGAATGCTGTATAAATCGTGGTTAGCATTAAAAAAAGACTCACTTTGATTTATCAAATATTTCATAAAACTTTTCCAAGCGTTCTTCATATGGTACGGCTGCAACCATATTTGCCTCGTTCACTGCTTCGTACCAAACGGGCACTTGATTCCGTTTCGGTACAAACTGCTTAAACTTGGCACTTTTCGTCCCATATTTTTGACGAGACTCCTCTAAACGTTCTTGATAGTGCTCCAGCGTTGTGAAGGGCATTAGGTTTTCTCTTTTTACCCAGTTTCGACGAGCGTTGTCCGCAAAAAAACGAACATGTACCATAACATGTTGATCACTGGCGGCATTATTTTCTTTTGCGGTTATTGTTTTACCTTCAGGGTCTGGACAAACCATACAAGGCCAATAACAATAATTGTAGATTTGTCCCCAAAATAGATCACCGGTAGAAAATGACATCCACGAGCCCTCATTCAATATCGAAGATCCTTTGGCACTGTCCATGCTTACCGTTGATGGCGACTTAGCTGACGAAGCATCTACGAACTCTGAATTACCGTCAACCATACCACCATCACCATCTGCCACATCTACCGTAGCATCGGATCTATGTTCATTTTCAGTGGTTGTCTTCTCGTGTGTACTTTCACTATGATTTGTTTTTATTTCGCTTACATTTTGATCTTTTATTTTTGAAAGTAAAGTGGATGTCAAATGTTTTTCATTTGCATTCTCATCTATCTCATTGTGGGTTTGGGCATTTAGTTCTACTAGACCATCATTCACACTGTTGTGACAACTTACTTCCATTTCTTTGTCAAGATTTACAGACAAATAAGAACTGTACATTTCCATGCTTTTGTCTCTGTCTTTTCTTCTTATATGTTCTGTTGATTCTGCAGACTCGATTGGGCTTAGGTCTCGTACATCTTCGGAACTAGATGTCTCAATTCTGACGTTGGCTTCGGAAGTCTTCTCTGCGTCGAGTGAATTTTCTGTGATAGGTATATGTGAGTCGCATACGTCTTTTTCAACATCGCCATTTGTTCGCACACTCTTATTTTTATCTACTGTGCAACCATTTTCACTGTTATTTCCTACCACATGCTCTTCGTGTTCTTCATTACCAATTATGATTCCTTGACATTCTTTTTCTTGCCCGTCATGGGGGATCTGATCTTCGCATTTTGCAGGATGGTGATTGTTATTTAAATACACTTCATCACAATGAGTGTGTTTGTCTTTATTATCCAAGGATTTGTTTTTTCTATCATGACTATCGTCTTCAGGAAGCTTATCAGTCTCCACCATAGATCCATTTTTTCTTAACAATTTGTCAATGGGACTAACAAATTCTTTTCTTCGGCTGTTGCGATTCTCTGGTGAATTAGTAGTAGGTTCTTTAACTCTTCGCACAAAACCAACTGAAGTATCATGCACTCCGCAAAATTTGTTATTAATGTCGTCGGCCATATCGGACGTGTCTTTAGTCAAAGACGAGTCTGTACCGTTGCTCAAATTGTGACGCCTCCGAGTCTTTCGGCTTCTGTCTTCAGTACTGCTATCTAAATTAGTTGTAGGTGTTACAAAACCGATATATTTGGGACTAAGATTGGAATGAAGATTTGCGAGTGGATCCTTTTTCCCTATCAAAAAATTATGATAATTAATGAAATTTTGTCAAAATAAATGAAAAGTTTACACACTTCTTGGCGTCGACGAATTTGGTGTACTCGACAACTGTTTATCTTGACCAGGTTTGGTTATGGAATTTTTGTCTGTTTCTGCGGAAACTGAGTTGAGTTCCGATGGCGTGCCATCAGTGGATATGTCACCAATGTTTTCTTCATTTGTACTTCTTTCATTCTGCTGTCCAATTTTGCTACGTCTCGCAGATCGCCCTTTCACAACAGTGTTTTCACCTTCGCTTTCCATTTTAACTTAGTTCACTTTAATGGCGTGCTTTCGCATCGAGGTCTCATTCATATGATTTTGGTGTTATTTATTGCTGTAAAAAGCAGTTTACACTCTCGGAATTACCCAAACAGAACGATGAAGAAAACTAGAAAACAAAATAATTTATAAACTATTTCACAAAGACTCAGATATTTCTTGCGCTCAACGCCACTCGTTTTGTTGTTTGCGCCAAAAGCAGAAAAAGAAGCCGACAACAATTTTTGATCGTATGCGCCAGGTAGTTAATCTCAACGGCGTCAGAAAAAATCAATGGACAACTCAAAATTTCTAAAGTCGCTGGGCACAACTCAAATTCATGCATTGCTGTCGAGAAATCTACTAACTGACATATAAACAAGACAAAATTATGAATTAAAAGTCTAAATTTAAGTAGACGGCACTATTGCAATCGGACCATGGTAGAAGAATATAGGTAGACGCGTCGACACAGCTGCTGGGACAATGAACTGTCAAACAAATTTTGGAATTGAAAATGTTGAATGAAAAATTATTTAAATTTGTAAAAATTTTTGAAAAAACGCGAATTATAATGGCCTCGACTGACGTAGCATAAAAAAAAACATATAAAAATCTACTTATATTTGAAAAAACATTTAAATCTTTTTGGCATATCAATGCTCCCAAGCGTTGATGCATCTACCTGTATTCTTCTGCCATAACTGAATGAAAGGTCAACACTTCTTTTCAAAACCAGGTTCCATATATCTCTAAAGGATTATTTCGCTACAAAAACTCTAGATTTTGTCGATGCATACGTTGAAATAAACATTTTGAAAACATCCGAATTTTAATATTTTCTGATCAACTTTTTTGTTATTGAAAAGAAAACACATACATAAACAAAATAACAAAAAAATTGTTCAGAAAACATTCAAATTCGGATCGACAAAATCTAGAGTTTTTGTAGCGAAATAATCCTTTAGAGATATATAGAACCTGGCATGGTAGAAATACCAGGTAGCAACATAGGCGAAAATTACAACAAAGCAACTTTTTTAGAAACTTGATATGTCAAAGTTTTAACCAGGGCGAATTTATTTGAAGTATAAAATTTGGGGCAAATTGGTTTGCACCAATCAGAACTCTTCATTCTGAAACATTGAATAAGTTTGTTTTGGTTTATTCATATGTATATATTAGTTGAGATTAGTATATTTTTTAACATATAAACTGAAAATACTACAATAACTGGAAGTGTATACGTATTATACCATCAGTCATATCGCTAGAGAAGGTCTGTATAATTTCATATGATCAAAATGTATCTGATCGAAATAACGCCTCTTTCGACGAAATCCGTTTCAGGACATTTGGAGGCGACCCGTCCGTCTGTCTTGCTGGTGCGTACGATAGCTGTAGAATGGATCATCATCCAAACATAGTGCATCGCAATATTATTAACAAACATAATGCGGAGATAGGCAATGTCGTCCCACTCCTTCCGGTTCCTCCCTCACGACATTTTTAACAGCACAGAATCCAGTGCGAAAATACAAAATATATGTTATGTTATCACTTATTTTGTATTCTCTTAATAAAATAAATAATTCTCCTAGTAGCATTAGATATAGGTTTTTAAGAAATGTGTAAAGATTCCAAGTTATCCTTTTGTATTAGAATTAGGGTTGATGCTTTGCCATTAAAAGTGAGTAAATAATAAATGTACATATATGCGTGGAACTTGTGAATTTAAACCTGTGTGCAACTACGGTGGATCTATCGGAATTGTGTACAATATAAATGTCCCCACTGTATTTTAATGATCTTAGTCACATTTACCCACGGAATTGTTTCAAATTTGGTATTTAAAACTTGCAGTAGATAGAAATCCACTTAGTATAAATATGTCTATATAGGTTCATGTTTTGGTACGACTCCAATGTAACGGTTCCACACACTTTATTGGTATTTGAAATCTTTTACTGCATTCTCCTACCGATCTCAGTCGTATTTGTAGTTTAAAGTGGAACATGTTTGAATCCAGATACTTTTGTATAAAAATGTTTTCTTAGGTAATGGTGGAGGGTATTCAAAGCTCGGCCCGGCCGAACTTAATGTTTTTATACCCTCAGCCATATGGCTAAAGAGGAGATGGGCAATATCGGTCCACCCCTCCTGGTACCTCCCCCACAAAAGGTCAACATTTTTATTGAAAATAATTTACCGCATATAAAGACAACGGATTGTTGGATTTTCTTCAAACTTTGCAAATCGTAATATTTGCATTACCCCAAGATTGGGTGGGAGAATGGACAAGATTGGACTACTCCTTCTAGTACCTCCCCCACAAAGGGCCCAAATTTGGAACAATTAAAATGCTCATAGAATGCAAAATATACATCGGATTCTAATTAAATTTCACACATACTAATACTTTTATCTTTACAATGTCTGGAGTAAATATGGAGTGTTGCCGGTCATTCCTTTTGGTACCTCCCCCACAAAGGGTCAACATTTGGAATAACAAAAACGCTCATAGAATGTAAAATATACATCGGATTCTCATCAAATTTCACACGTATCAATATTTTTGCTATTACAAAGTCTGGTATAAAGATTTAGTATCTATCTACTTATTCCTTCCTTCCTTCCTTCCTTATATTATGTTTAGGTCAGATGCTAAACGAACAATATTGTTGTTCTGTAATTCCCTCTATAATGGTTCGATATATTGAAAACCCACAGGACAAAAGTCTTAAAATATTTAAATAATACAGACTTAGGCTGAGGGTATTCATCCGTCGGCAATACCGACTGATACTATTTAACTTGTTTAATTGTTATTTTTAATATTTATTTTATTTTTATTAAGTAACAATAAAAAATGATATAATTACAAATTATATAATTACAAAATTAAACCAAAGAGTAGTTAGTAAAATTAAAAAACAGGGGGCGTTTTTGGTCAAAATTTTCTCAAAGGTCTGGATGACGGTTAAATGATGATCTAAATAAAAAAATATATATATATATATTTTAAATGAAATTAATAAAAAATATTGAGTTTACGTAAATACCAACCGTTAAATGAAGTTCATAATTTTATTTTGAAAAATTTTTTATTGGTCATGATCCGCTGTTTCGCTTTCTTAACTTTGAGTCGTCTATTTAGTTGCCTAACCCTAAAAAATATTCGGCATTTGAAAAAAAGCTCTTTAGCTTTATCCGTTAAGTTGATGTTGTTGCTTCTTTGCATAAGATATGTGATATGGTAGGGCATAACAACTTCTTTGTCATTTTTATTTATTCCAGCCTCACACTGAAGCATCCTCCCGACTTCTTTGCATTGGGCTCCGCTATATATACACCGTATTTTATATATTTAATGTATATTCTCACTGCTAGCAAATACGTACCCTGGACATTTCTTTTTTGAACCACCATAGAATTAGAATTGATACATCTCTGGTACAGCGCATGGTAATATTTTCATTCTACAACTTATGCCCGTTATATACTTTGGGTTGAAGTTATGAGAACATATTTTGGCGTTTGGGTTTAAAGTGATCCCACAAATCGCACTCCACTTCAACCTCTTCGTCTCTCCCTTGGGTACATTGAAAAATGTTGCTTGTCGTTCACTATCCTTTCTTTTGCAAACAGCACAGCACCTCATATTCTGTTTTTTTTATTTGAATTATATCACAAAATTTGATTTTTATATTTTTGTGTTTATTTTTTCCTCTATGATGTTTGAATTTCTGTTATGTATTTCTACGGCGAATTCGAATTACAACAACTTGTTTGACATATCAAGTTGACTACAGCTGGCCTGAAAGGGTTACCTTGTAATTCTACCATGGAACCTGGTTTCGAAAAGAAGTGTTGACCTTTCATTCAGTTTTCGCGGTTTTCAATTATTTATTCAAAATAAATGCAACAAGTTGTTTGATTTTGTTATTGTTTTGATACTATTTCTGACATTACAAGCCAAACAGGTAGACCTCTATACTTGCAATTTTTTCAAAGTTGACCTACCTTCTCTTCTTTGTACCATGATTGTACCATGCATCTACCTATATTCTTCTACCATGGTATAAAAGCTCTACTGTATGTTTTTAATTTTTTTTTTTTCAAAAATAAGTACATTTTATAAATATTCTTATACGACACCAATCGTAGGTTTGTTGATATGTATTTTTCAACAATTTTTGGAAATTTGAATAACTTTTCATTTAAGATTTTGTTATGGTTACCACCTTATGCGGTACTGTGGTGGGTATCCAGCTGCTCAGGGGAGCTTTTTGCTCAGGTCGGTTCCAACCCTGACACCAACAGTCCAAGGGGCCTAACAATTAAAAAAAGGGGACATATTACAAACATCAAAACAATCAAAAATACAAACACTCCATACACCGGTGACAAGGGTGCTTGGTGGAAGTTGCACCCACACTTAGCCCACCCAACCTTGACCCTTTTGTCCAGTAATTTTTTAAATATTTAAGGGCCCCGCATTCCACTAACACTTACCACACAATTTACACCCTATATTCCCCCAAGAGTTAACAAATTAGCACATCATATTCACTGTTAACATTTACACATATAAATAATTTATTGACATATCGAGAGTTGACTTAATCCTAACAATTAAATATTTGCACAATGTTGAATTTAAAATTCCTAACACCTGAATCTGTATTTATGTGAGCCAATTGCTCGGGCTACTACAGTCTACGAAGAGTACATAAAAATTTTTGCCAATCTGGCCACTTCAAGCATCTACTCCCTCCCTAATAGAGCTCTGTTAAGGGGATATTATGGACGTTACCTTATGTCCAAAATTAAAAATAAACTGGAATTCTCCCTTCGTACGACGGTCTAACCCTACGCTCAGGTATATAACCGGGCGTTAGAAATTTTCACAATATCAAAATCTTAACCTAAATTCTATACACTAAGGACAATCACACTTAAACTACAGACAATTACATTAAATTAAACTAGTCAGTACAAAATTTTGGTGTCATTCCATTTTTCATTCAAATTAATTATTAATCAAAATTCTCTTCTTTTTTCCAGGCCGCAGGAGGAAGATATATATATATATATATATATGCCGCTTGGCCGCACCAACCGTTCAGGACTCGGTAAGTTTTAATAATACAAATTATTACCTGGAGATTCTGTACTTATATATTTTCTTTTCTTTCCAGATATTGATGATCTTTTTGACCTTTTCGGCATCAGACCTACCGAGCCGACCACTCTTTGATTCTCAGAACTTTGGCGTACCAGGGCTTAGCCTCAACCACGGACTGGGCAGCTGCGCTCTCTTTATATAAAAAATTTGCTGACCTCCTCCACCGAAAACTTGGAGGGGTCAGATATCTAACCGTCTTTTGTTGGGGTGTTATCTTAAAAGAAAAAACACAACATCGAAACACCAAAAAGACATACACTATTAGAACAACAGAAACTTACGAAATTTTGGTCACACCCACACATACACAACAATCGGCAAATAAAAATAAAAAAATTACGAAAACTTTAATTCCACTATCTTGGTGTTTTTATGGGATCACTTTTTTAAATTTTAGCTTAGAAAAATTTTTCCTTGCCCGTTTACCAAAACTTTAATGGCGAATTTTTCTGTCCGTTACCCCTTTTATATGGCAGCCATTGGACGCAATCTTCCCACTTTTCCTTTTTTTTTTTGTTCTCCCTTGTTTATTCTCTTCCTCTTTGATCGCACTTAGCGAGCCCTATCGTTACCCATGGTTGCATATGATCTTCGTACCATGTACTAAGATGAACATTGGCAGCACCTTGACACCCAACCGTATCCGGTTCATTCATTTTTTCAAGATCGGCTGGAGCGGTAATTACAAATGTAAATTCTCGCTCAGCCGATAATACAGAAAATTAATCTTTCGCAATCGCGGTACGCACGCAACAATTTTCAATTTGAAAATTGGTTTGACAGTTCATTGTTCCAGCAGCTATGCGATGCGACTACCTGTATTCTTCTACTATAGTTTTGAAGTTTGTTTTGGTTGCAGCGAATTCAAATTTAATTGACAGATCATGTGGTAATCAGCTGAGCTGGAAGGGGGACCTTATACTTGGATCATGCCGACAAAAATTTTTGATCGTATGCGCCAGGTAGTTAATATCAACGGCGCCAGAAAAAATTAATGGACAACTCAAAATTACTAAAGTAGTGCTGTCGAGAAATGTACTAACTGACAATAAACAAGACAAAATTACAAATGAAAAGTTTAAATTTAAGTAGACGGCACTATAGCGTCAAATTATTATTATTCGTCTTGCTTAGAGCGCACTTTTGGACTACAAAATCCACTCCATCTAAAATTTGAATTCGATAGCGTATACGTCAAATAATATTCCCTGGATCTATAGAACTGACTTTTGAAATTGAGTGGATTTAACAATGACATATACAATATATGGCAAATTTGTACCAATTAAATGCTTTAAATTTGAATCATTGAATAATTTTTTGTTAAAACGCCAATGTAAGGTGTTTAACCGTGATTTGGTTTCACAAAAAGTACCCTTGTACATTGTTACGGGAAAGTGCAACCCTGCTCACAGTATATACGAACGAAATGAAAAAAGAGGCAAAAAAACAATGTGTTGAAAAAGAAGAAGACTCGAATAAAGAAGGAAGAACTTGTTGTTTTGGCAAACAATCTAAAGAATCAAAGAGTCAACATCGAGGTTGGAAATGGATGCTTCTCTTGTGGAAAAAATAGTGCATGAAGTGAAATCACAAGGAGTGTTTGATGAGTTTCGTAAGGATTCTATGGCCGATGTGGACACAAAGCCCGCCTATCAAAATCTGCGGCAACGAGTAGAAAAGTCTGTTAAAAAGTTTTTGTCCGAACAAACATGGACTCCGGAAATGAACAAGAATCAATTGAGAGAAAAATTGCGACGTCACATTGCCGAGTAAGTAATGGTTACAAAATATACCTGTATTCACATTGTCAAGTCTTATGTTGCATTTAGGTCGGGTTTCCTGGATGTCGGCGTTGAGCGTATTGTTGATCAAGTAGTGAACCCAAAGATTGGTAGTGTCTTTCAACCTCGAATAGAGGAGATAGCCTATAAATATTTGGGTTTGCCACCACCTCAAAAAATTTACGAACCTCCTCCCCCGCCTCTGATGCATCCACTGCCACCATTACCTCTGACTGCCCCGCCACCACCGCTGAAAGTCGAAACATGCAGTCTCTTGCCGAATGATTTGGAGCAAGTTAGTCCCGATTCTGATAAAGGAACCGTGAAATCCGAGGCAGAAGGTGATGACAAGACAAATGTGGATATGGAGACCGAAGAGAAAATAATAGATGATGATGAGTCGCCGCCTTTTGAACCATTGGTGAAGAGTGAATCAAAGGATATAAAGCTAGAGCCGAAAGCCATAAAGACAGAGCATGACGAGCCCGAAGACAACATTAAAAAATTTGATGACAATGATAGTACCACCGTTAAAACTGAGATGAAAGATCTGGGTGAAAGTCAGAGTTCTACTAACATAGATAAAGACAATAACAGTCAATCGATGGATTGCAGAAACTCGCAAGATTCACAATTATCAAGTGTTTCCAGCGACACGCGTTTAACACCTGAAATTAAGGATGACTCTGCGCCACCTCGCAGTTCGCAGGAGGAAGCCGTAACTGCAAATATTTCCGAAGAAGCACAAATGCCCAAGTTCAATGAAAACTCCAGCGAACCTAGCTGTACTAATGGCCGAAAGGAGTCAGACTCGACACTTCATTTCGATATCAAGAAAGATGAAATAAAGTTTGAGGGAACCGAAAGGAAGAAATTGGAAGATTCTCAGGTATCACCTATGGATGATGATATAAAATGTGAGTTGCCTTCGGGGACTCCATTGTCTGAATGTAAGAGTGACATGTTTAAGTTTTCGGTAAATACTAGCTCTGTAGCTGAGCAAAAGGAACATGATTTGGAACGAACTCCAAATGCTCAGGAGTCAAGCTTTGGTTCGAGCATAGAAGATTCAGCTTCAATTCCCACGAACATTACAAACCAAGTAACTGTGGATGAGAAAGATAAAGATTTGAGCAGAGGAGAAAAATCACCACAAACCGCAGTATCTACAATATCCAAAATACCATCGACCCCCACGGCCACACCGACCGCAACACCAACAGTTACGCCAACCCCTACTCCTATTTCACAACCTTTGCCGCCAACTCCGTCGCCTATATCCACTCACCGGGCAGACAGAGAGCACTCATCCAGACATTCCTCTTCATCTAAGCATAAGAAACATTCAAAGGAACGTCGTCGATCCCACGACAGAGAGAAGGATAGAGGAGAGCGTTACCGCAGTAGCAAAGAGGGCAAAGAGCGGCACCGTAATAGCAATAGTAGTAGCCACAAAGGCAACAGCAAACACTCATCGTCATCATCTTCCAACAGGCATTCTTCGTCATCGTCCCACAACAAGTCATCGAATGAAAAGGAGTTGGATCGTTCACACTCCTCGTCCCGACATGGAAAATATGCATCATCCTCTGATAAGAGGAATTCCTTGTCTTCTTCAAACAAGGACCATTCGTCGTCGTCGTCCAACACGTCATCAACGATGACAAAACGTAGCGGGCGCTATGATGATGATCACTATGAAGCTAAACAAAAACCACAAAGAAGGAAGTCTACCGATTCAAATGATGATGACGGCGACAAAGGGGGTAGTAGCACTGGCGGTGGTGGCAAATTAAACCACGGTCAATATCAAAAAGTTGCGAGCGCAAGTAGTTCCAAATCGAAAACGAAATATGCCAGTGATACGGGTCATTCAACAGCTTCGAAGGAGCACGGTAAGCCTGAAAATAACTTATTTTGATACATGAACTTATCCATTCAAATATTGCAGGCAATCAACCCGACGATCTTTCACTCAGGGAGCTCTCCGAAAAGAAAGACGAAACTCCAAAATTACCCAACAATGTAGTTATTCTGAATGATTTGCTAGAAAATCCGCAAACTCAATGCATTCAACTAGATTCTCGAGGGCACCTTATAGAAGTACCGGCCATTCAAAGCGATAGCCGAACTATAACAACCGGTAACGAGGCAGATTTGTTATATTTTGAAGTGGATTTGCAAGAGTCCTTCAGGCAGAGAATAAATATCCTAAACGATACTATGGACCTTTGTCGCAAAGCGGTTAATTACTTGCGGTTTGATTCTCCTATTGACGAAGGAATTGAGCTATCCAGTGAAGATGATTATAACCACAATCGTGCCAATACATCGATCAGCTCAATACGAACATCTTTGAAACGCAAATCAATTATAAACTTTGAAGACTATGAGCGAACACCGCAAAAACGCTGCCCGATAGACAAGAGTGACGAGAATGCTTTGAAAACCTCGCCAACACCTTCGGATCTCAGTGTTAGCTCCAAAGAAAATGAAGAAATTGATAAAAATTCCGGTATGTAGAAGAAGATGCAAATATTTTGTTATGCATCGAACAGAGTATTATGGATTTAGTGTGCATATAATTTTTGTTTTCTTTTAATTGCGTCCACGCCCATTATCCTGCCCTAGAATAGTTTCAATTGACAAATAATGAATGTGGTGCCATGCATCAAACATTTCTCGTCTGCAATTTTATCTTAACATTTAAATTTCAACGTAAAACTTAAGTTATTTTTCAATTATTTGTATAACTCGCAAATATTTCCAAGTTTGTATTCAATTTTCAAAGTACAATAACATTGTATTTTGAAATCGAAATTACAACAACATGTTGTTTGAGACTTTAAGCCATCTTGCATAGCAGCCTTGCAAATAAATTTAAATACCAAACGTTAGTTGTGGTATCATCACATCAAAACCATCTTCATACTGCGAATAACTAATTAAATGGAAACAATCTATTTTGTCCCCTTCAGCTCTGTCTAAGAAACTGGACCGCCATAAGGCTGCGGTGGAAAAGCTCGCGCGGCAACAACGTTATTCCAGCGATGATTTATATAAGCCACGTCCGATTTTGGGTCAACGTTCTAGACGTAGAGGCATGGATTCTGTTATGTAATCGCTTTTTTGTTTATTTGTTGTATTTATTATTTTATACCGACATATTTTTGTAATATGTTTAATGCTATTATTTTATTTTTTTGAATAAATATACAAATTATTTTTTATTATTTTGTGTAATATTCTTATTTGTTGAGTTGCGTGAATCTGTAGGAATATTTTTGCGGATTAATATTTAATGCTTCTTTGGTTCCTTTACACCTTTCTGCCTAGGTGGTAGCGTTAGCATGGATGCATCAACATTTGTGTCAGGAGGAGCCTGCTGTTTTTGATTGCCATCGATTGTGCGGTGTTCTTAGAACTGAAAATGCCATTTGAGTGATCTTCGAAATGGGTGTTAATAACTCAAAATACCGTATGATGCTTTGTTGTCCGCCCGACTGAGGAATATGCACTTAGTTATTCACTGTGCAGAAGAGACCACATTAATTCCCCATTAAATGTTCCAAATAAAACAACTACGAAACTTTTTATTGGTAATTGACATAAAAACAATTTTATTTTTGTTTTTGCTTTCGTTTGTATATATTTTTTACAAGTATCAGATTGATGTTTCTCCATTGTTGTGGGGTGAGTGTGTATATCTGTGTGTGTGTGTGTCGTGTATCACGATAACAATTTTTGTTTTTGTTTTTCCAAAATTTCAAATTCTCTTAAGGAATTTCAATTTTAATGCTACTCGTTTTTGATAATAGCACTACAACTAATTAATTACTTGTTTAGCATTTTAAGAGTATGTTAAATTTCTCACAACTAATTGGTAAAATTAAGAAGAAAAAAATAACACATTACTACTTCAATTAATAAATTAACGCGTATTCTTCGAAGATAATCTGAGCTTATGTCTTAAACACATACATACATATGTCTTTAGGGATAAAATGTAAACTTAATCGCAAATATATTTTTTCAAAAACACTTTTTTTTCATTTTCAATTAAGAAAATATAAAACAATACTTATGTAGTAATATAAACCAGCAGAACATAAACAATTCCTTTAATGGATAAAATAAAAAAAAGCTCTTCATAAAATTTCGAGTGTTCTTTTTTTGGGGTTATCCGATCTATATTCCGAGGAGCATCAGGCAAATAATACACCTTACAATATAACACAATGAAATTTTGTATTAACAATAAATACAGCTCTTTTAACAAAAATTCAAATCATAGAATCCATTTTATAACATAACCTGAAAAGGACCTTGTGTGTTTTATTTACATAAAAAAGAATAAGAAAGATAAACAACTGGTTTTAATTTGTTTTTAACGCTGTTCAGAACAAATGTGAAAACAGGATTGCTGCTGTATTTGTTTATTTCCTTTCTCTCTGTAATTTGATTACAAATTGAGTTTTCTTTCTCCTTTCTCTTTAATTATTGTTTTTCCTTTGTTTATTTCTAGTATTTTAAATATATAACATCATACATATACATAGTTGAATTTTAAAAATAATAATAGTAATAATATAATAATAATAATAACGATTACAGGGCATTGTTGTTTCTGTTTGTTTTGTTTTTTTTTCTGAATTGTTACAGCAAATATATTTTACATGAAAGTAGGTAGTTTCATCAACCATGACTCGAGCTTACGTTCTGGGAAAAAACAATGTTCATTGTTTGCAGTTCTTTTTTTCTGACCATGCAGAGGAGATGGGGAAATGACTAACTAAAGACAAAACTAGGTTTTGTACTTTGATCTGCGCGATTGGTGAAAAAAACTAAGTTATTGTATTGTAACCAATTTTACAAACACAAACGTTTGCTCGCTCTACTCTCTCGGCTCATTATTCGTCTTACGATCAATTATTGTATTAGCACGGCGCGAACAATTCTATCTTCTTCTTTTGTCTTCTTCTTGGGGGAGATGAGCGCGCACCAGCAAGGTTATGTAAAAGCGTTTCAGGCGCTGCTGGAACTCACAGGCGAGACGCCCATCAACGCTGAGCGACAAGTTTTGTTGGACTGCTGCTGCTGCATGTGGGGGGTGGTGAGTGTGGTGGTGTCGTTGTCGTTGGCGTGGCTTGACAAGTGGCGCTCGATAGAACGTTGATTGGATTGGATTTTTTAAAGTTGTTTTATGTACCATCTCAATGATATCTTTATGTACTCGAGAATCCTCTGTCGAAGGGACTTTTGACATCGGTGTGCCTGGTGGTCAAATTGAGGGTGGGTGCTGCCACAGATGTCGATAGCTCGCAAACGGTTTTGATCGGCCCAGCTGGTAGCGGAGGCGGTGTTGTTTGTGGCGCGGCTTCTTTGGGTGATTTAGTTTCTTCTGTCGCTTCCGACACCGGTAGGACATAGGCATTGTGCAGCAGCTCGGCCTCGGTGGTGTCTGTGCTGGAAGTTTTACGCGGTTGTAATACATTTTTGCCGGTTATCGTTGATTTGTACTGATCACGATCTAGGCCACACAAATAGAATTTGAAAAATTCATAGGTGGACCAGCAGATGGCGGTAGCTGGCATTGAATACAGAACACGGGCGGTCAGGCCTTTAAAGAATCCAAGTGGACCAGCCATTGTATAGATCTGGAAAACAAACATTTGAAACATTTGAAATAATGTTTTCAGAACGAGCTTCTATTTTGCCTTTGACCAAAGTTAATAGTATCTCACCTGTTTAATAGCTTCCATCATGCCTCGTACTAGACCCGTTTCCTGAGTATTCAACAACGTTTTGACTACATCTAATGGTGTGGTAACTGCCGCAGCACATGCTCCAGCCGCGCCGCCGGCCACGACATGAACAGGAGGATTGTATTTTCGTTCATGATTCAGCTACGAAAGACAAATTTAAATATGTGTGAGATGGAACATTTGGGTATACCATCATAATAATAATACGAACCCTATTTTGGAAAAATTCATATGTGGTAAAGTGTATTGTCTGATTTGGTATATTCATTACCAACTGGGTTGAATAGGATCGATAGAAAGCTTTTAATCCTTCATTTTGGTAAACACCGCGCATGCAAGCTACCACCGATTTATATGGCGAATTGTACATCTGCATGCGTTGTTTTATGACCTCAGCTGGATTGGAGACGGCATCATGGATAAGGGTGGCAATGACACCACTAGCCACTATGGTAACGGAAATCAAAGAGGACAGGCATTAACTCAAAATTTCAAGAGAAAACGAGTGTGGACAAATGTACTTACTATAATTTATGTGATTATGTGTGGTTATTTTGGTCATAAGCTCTTTGGACATTTCATAGGAACCAAAATATAAAGCATGAGCTGGTCCGGCCCCGGCCACCACAGCAGTAACGCCTCTTATGGGTCTGTAATATAACAAAGAATTAATGGTTATTGCATTCAAATATTTGCAAATTTCAAAGTACTCACCTAAATATACCCTCTTTTCGAACCATATTCTGGAAAGTTGCTGTGATGTTTAGTTTTGATGTGGCCGGTGATAAGCTCTGCATGCGTGTCTGCGAAAAGAGGATAAAAATGAAAATCGTAAGAATGTGTAATTAGCATAAATGTTTCATCAACATTTTAAGAATTCCTTAAAAATGTTATTTTAATGTTCGATAGCATGTATGACGTAAGAACGGCATTACATTCAAAGGAACACCAAATAGGGGGAGTTGGGAGAAGGACAAGCTTTCCGTAACGTTTCTTTTGCGCACACATTAAAAATGATAGGTTAATAGATTTATTCTACCCCTAAAAACATGTTTTATTTCCTGTTAACAAATGGGCCAATATGGTTTGTTTTTCAGAAATTAATATTCCCACTATTAAAATAGTCCATAAACCGTTTAAGGCTATAAATAAAATGTGTATGTAAAACTCAGGGACGAGCCCGATATAGAGAAGTCGTCAAGGGGAGGTAATTGTGAAAAATGCCACAATAAATCAAAGATTTAAGATTCTATTTCAATTCAGTTTGGTACTGTATATTTTTCGGAATTTCCGAGTAAAACAAACCATGTTGTGGGAAAAATCAATAATGATTCGTTTCAGCCCGACCTACCAAGGAATCATATTGTATTATTACACAACCAAAGTGTGTATTTCGCCGTTTATGTATTCCTTTGTAAAAAAAAAACACGAATAGCCAACAAAGGTTGCCTACCTACATATTTATATAATATTTTTAAGCGTACCATTAGTTTTAGCCAGAAACATGAAGGAGTAGAGGTTTGAGTTTTTATTTAATAATAATTTGTTTGCTAGCTTCATTGTTATTCATTGGACGCAAACAGGGGAATGTGAAAAAAGATTAATGGAACTATATCCACATGCTACATCCAATAATAAAATTTTCTTGAGATAGTTATATTGCTTTTGTGAAACAGAATAACAGAAATGTAAACCGCAAAATTTTATTCGGTTTTCTAGATGCTTCTCTATATATGGCGAATATAAGCAGAAGCCTCGTCTACATTATATCGATTGCGGCTATATATATGCATACGTGTTTCTCACACACACACATTTTTATTTGCATGTATGTAATGCAGTGCATGTAAATGTAGTAAAGGTTCTCATATATACTACATATATATGTGAGCGTATGTATCTGACATGACTTGCCGCAAACAATACGAATAGATAATTGTGTGATATAACACGTTCGTTCGAAATACAATTTTTCTTTTATTTAAATGATCATTTCCCCATGCCAAGCAAAAAGCAATTGCTAATAATTGATAATTTGGCAAATTAGTCTAAATCATAAGTAGCTGCAATAACTATGGAGCTGAATGCAAACCATGGCATTGGAATGAAAGGAAGTAATTAGCAAAAGAAAAAAAATGGTTTATGGTCAAGGGCAATGGAGCAGATTTGCCGACTTGACGATATTCGATAGCTATAGCACAATTTTTTTTTTTGAAATGTCCATTTTTATAAACAAAAGTTATTGACAATTATGGGAATTTGCAATTCAACACAATTATGCCACCAACAATGATAAACATATTGGTTCCCATCTGTCTGGTAAAAAGCTGAGTTCGATTCGTTTTCGTGTACATCATCATACACTTCGATTTCTTTTAAATATGTAGTTGCCCAGCAAAATGTTTGTTGCCAAAGAAATAGTTCAATAATTGGTTCAAGTGATACCGAACTTCATAATTTAGGGTGAAGGAAGTTATGCTTTTTACAAAGGCTAAGAAGCGGTCTACTTTGAATTTTGATAGGTTTATTTGCCAAGGATAATGAGAGTTGGGTAGAGAAACTCATTTTTAAGAATGTTTGTGGCTGCAGAAAATGTATTTCTTTGTATTCCATTTGCGGTATAATAAAGTAAAAAACAAGTTAAAAAGTATCAGTCGGTTTTGCCGACATATGGTCAATGTTCGATTTTTTAAATATATTTTGACTTCTGTTATGATTATTCAAATTGTTGACCCTCTATGGAGTAGATTCCGAAGGAATTGACCAATATTGTCCATTTCGTATCGGACCTAATTAAAAATTATATAAATATTGCGACGTGCCAGGTTTGGACTGTATCGATTACTTCCTTCACTTTATGAGATATGTGATAATTTTTAGAAAATGTTGAAATGTTTGTGATAGACACTACAGTCGACCGAATTTTTCCATTTTCACACTTCATCTAATACAGATACAAATATTGGTATTGCAAGAAAATCAAATATTTATATTGAATTTTAAGCGAACTCATAAATTCCATATTCATCTCAGGTTTCTGGTTGATACAAATATTTAAATATAGCAAGTTGTAACAAATCGCTGACTTGTTTTGTAAGTTATGGCAGAAAAATATTGAAAATTGTAAACCTTTGTGGGAAAAGAAGGAATTCGCAGACATATATCATCTTCAAAACAGTTCTTGCGTTAACAAAAATATTTGGATGTGTGAAATCTGAAGAGAGTTGGATGTTAATTTTGCTTTCTTTCAGCGTTTTGTTTTTTAAAAATCTTGAACCCTTTGTGGGGGAGGTCGCTAGAGCGACTCCAAATGTCCTGAAACGGATTTGGTCAAAGAGACCTAGGGCCTAAAACCGTTATTTCGATATGGCACGTTTTGGCCGTATCAAATGATATATACCCTCCCTTTCTAGCCATATGGCAGAGGGTATAATAATAATAATAAATAATTTCGTGATAATTTGTTAAGTTTCAGACATGTGTGTCTAAATAAAATTTGTAATTGCTACCTTAAAAAACTACAATGCCTTGGTTTAAATATAAAGTATAGAAACTATATTTCATGACACTATGTGGAGTGCTCCGAAAGAAGCATAGTAGGTACTGCCTCATTCTGAAAAAATTCAACATTATTTTGCTGGGTAGTCACGTCTTTTTATTGATACAAATCGTATCGAATAGAATTCTCGTGAAATTAATTTTTCTAAATGATTCATTAAAAGAAAAACGTATGTAATGTAATTGCAAATAATTATTAGTATTCAAGTGTTGAATATTTTATAGAAATATCGCCTATGCACCCTATCTGTGTATGTGTGTGTGAAAAATAATGCACACAAAATAGCAGAAACGAAATAATTTATTAATTTAAGTGTATTAGCTGCAATATCAATGTCCATTTCATATATATTGGAACAATTTCTAAGAATTCATTGGTCTGTCTAGGCGTTACCCTAAATGATAAGGTACCTTGCAGAAATGGAGATGGAAATCTCTAAAAAGAATAGTGAAATAACTGACTGAGAATCTAGCTAGAATATTTAAAAGGCTACGAAAATGACTAAAATGTACTAAAAATTGAACACTTTTTATTGGATTGGAATGAGGACCGATGGAGTGGAAGAGGATAGATTTACGAAAAGTTCTAAAATTGTACTAAACTTCTTAAATGGTAGCATTTGATATTTTTTGAACCAGCTAAGCCAGCCAGCTGAGTTGAATTTTGGTTAGAGAATCAAGTTTGGAAAGTGAGTTTGATATATGAAGGTGCTTTTGGTGATGTATGCTAAGTGTGTGAACTGTACTAAATTTAGAACAGTTTGGCTCAGGGAAGGCGAATGAACATATAGAGGTGGTTTCGGAAGTGTGTAGCATAATTGTACGAGAAGTATGGTTCTATATTTGGTATTGGATGAAATTCTGAAACTCGATATTTAGATTACTGATGGTATATGTGTTTGAGATTTAGCGGTGGTGTGAAAATGCGTCCTATATCTGGATGAAAAGTACCAAATTTGCTATTGGGTAAATTTGTTATTAAGGGGTTTTTGTATCTGGAATTGAGAGATGTATATTGTCTTGGATATGCGTACTAAATGTTACTAAAGTCGGTATTGGGTGAAGGGATAGAGCTGAAATTATGAAATTTGATTTTTAGGGCGCTGCTGATTTCTAGGGTTTACATATGGAGACGTTAAAATAGTTTTGGATAGCCAAATTGCATGTAGGTCCAGATCCATTACGCAATGGTTTTGGTTGGAAATCATCTAATTTGGTTGAAATTGTGGTAAAAACCCTAAAAAAACCGAAAATCGAGGGGTACCGTTATACCTCCCTGTATCAAATATTCTCTTTTTTTGCAGGTAGCGAACAGTCCTACCAAGAACAAGGATAAAGTTTCAGCTGATTTGGTTGGAAATTGGGTCAGAAATCTTCAAAATACCGAAAATCTATACCTAAAATACTGGGCTATACCTAAGGCTATTCTTACTCCATACCAATCAGCCAGCTTATAATATAAAACTTTGTGCCAATTTTATAATTATATATAAATTACAATTTTATTCTGTTCATATATATACCTTTACATTTCGCTGACGAAGTAATATGCATTTGTTGCAGATTTTGTTCAATTTTTTTACTTTAATTCGATTTTGCTTTATCTCATAAAAAGTTTTCGACTAGGACCTTGAACCCCCTAACTGTATTTTAATCAATTTATACAGGCTTCCTCAGGCTAGTGACATACTTATTTGCATAAAGTTATAATTTCTTAATCGATTGCTTTTTAATCTCGGCTTATTATTTACTGTGGACTAGGAAAACATCAATTAACATTTGAGACTGCCAATAGATATGTACCCTTTGCTTATGAAAATAGTATGAAACGTGTTGGGAAGGTACTACGATCAAATTTGATTTAATTTTCCATCGACTTCTGAGTTTTATAATTTGTTATGACTAGCAGGTTTGAACCGAAAAGGTAATTGGTTTGAACCAAAAAGGTAATATTTTTTTTATTAATTTTCCGATATAATAAGATTATGTACAACCCATTTATCCCAAAAAACATTTTTTTTTGTAAGACAGCAAAATTCGACTCAAAGTCGATGCACATAAATCTTCTTAAATGTCATCATGTCGAATGTTATTTATGTGTTTTAGTAACTATCATTAAAAACAACAACAAAATAGTCACGAGCATACTTTTGTTATTTACGTTACACATTAGTCATTATCAGAGTGATATATTGGCGTCATGTGAATATGCGAGATAAAGTTCTCTTTAGACATGGCTTCCCAC